GGGTTGTCTCCATGTGTGGCATGATGAGAGGGTTGTCTCCATGTGTGACATGACTGATGAGAGGGTTGTCATCTCTCCATGTGTGACATGACTGATGAGAGGGTTGTCATCTCTCCATGTGTGACATGACTGATGAGAGGGTTGTCTCCATGTGTGACATGACTGATGAGAGGGTTGTCATCTCTCCATGTGTGACATGACTGATGAGAGGGTTGTCTCCATGTGTGACATGACTGATGAGAGGGTTGTCTCCATGTGTGACATGACTGATGAGAGGGTTGTCTCCATGTGTGACATGACTGATGAGAGGGTTGTCTCCATGTGTGACATGACTGATGAGAGGGTTGTCTCCATGTGTGACATGACTGATGAGAGGGTTGTCTGCATGTGTGACATGACTGATGAGAGGGTTGTCTCCATGTGTGACATGACTGATGAGAGGGTTGTCATCTCTCCATGTGTGACATGACTGATGAGAGGGTTGTCATCTCTCCATGTGTGACATGACTGATGAGAGGGTTGTCTCCAAGTGTGACATGACTGATGAGAGGGTTGTCTTCATGTGTGACATGACTGATGAGAGGGTTGTCTCCATGTGTGACATGACTGATGAGAGGGTTGTCTCCATGTGTGACATGACTGATGAGAGGGTTGTCATCTCTCCATGTGTGACATGACTGATGAGAGGGTTGTCTCCATGTGTGACATGACTGATGAGAGGGTTGTCTCCATGTGTGACATGACTGATGAGAGGGTTGTCCCCATGTGTGGCATGATGAGAGGGTTGTCTCCATGTGTGACATGACTGATGAGAGGGTTGTCATCTCTCCATGTGTGACATGACTGATGAGAGGGTTGTCATCTCTCCATGTGTGACATGACTGATGAGAGGGTTGTCTGCATGTGTGACATGACTGATGAGAGGGTTGTCTCCATGTGTGACATGACTGATGAGAGGGTTGTCATCTCTCTATGTGTGACATGACTGATGAGAGGGTTGTCATCTCTCCATGTGTGACATGACTGATGAGAGGGTTGTCTCCATGTGTGACATGACTGATGAGAGGGTTGTCTGCATGTGTGACATGACTGATGAGAGGGTTGTCTCCATGTGTGACATGACTGATGAGAGGGTTGTCATCTCTCCATGTGTGACATGACTGATGAGAGGGTTGTCATCTTTCCATGTGTGACATGACTGATGAGAGGGTTGTCTCCAAGTGTGACATGACTGATGAGAGGGTTGTCATCTCTTCATGTGTGACATGACTGATGAGAGGGTTGTCTCCATGTGTGACATGACTGATGAGAGGGTTGTCATCTCTCCATGTGTGACATGACTGATGAGAGGGTTGTCTCCATGTGTGACATGACTGATGAGAGGGTTGTCTTCATGTGTGACATGACTGATGAGAGGGTTGTCTCCATGTGTGACATGACTGATGAGAGGGTTGTCATCTCTCCATGTGTGACATGACTGATGAGAGGGTTGTCATCTCTCCATGTGTGACATGACTGATGAGAGGGTTGTCTCCAAGTGTGACATGACTGATGAGAGGGTTGTCATCTCTCCATGTGTGACATGACTGATGAGAGGGTTGTCTCCATGTGTGACATGACTGATGAGAGGGTTGTCTCCATGTGTGACATGACTGATGAGAGGGTTGTCTCCATGTGTGACATGACTGATGAGAGGGTTGTCTCCATGTGTGACATGACTGATGAGAGGGTTGTCATCTCTCCATGTGTGACATGACTGATGAGAGGGTTGTTTTCATGTGTGACATGACTGATGAGAGGGTTGTCTCCATGTGTGACATGACTGATGAGAGGGTTGTCTCCATGTGTGGCATGATGAGAGGGTTGTCTCCATGTGTGACATGACTGATGAGAGGGTTGTCTCCATGTGTGACATGACTGATGAGAGGGTTGTCATCTCTCCATGTGTGACATGACTGATGAGAGGGTTGTCTCCATGTGTGACATGACTGATGAGAGGGTTGTCATCTCTCCATGTGTGACATGACTGATGAGAGGGTTGTCTCCATGTGTGACATGACTGATGAGAGGGTTGTCTCCATGTGTGACATGACTGATGAGAGGGTTGTCTCCATGTGTGGCATGATGAGAGGGTTGTCATCTCTCCATGTGTGACATGACTGATGAGAGGGTTGTCATCTCTCCATGTGTGACATGACTGATGAGAGGGTTGTCATCTCTCCATGTGTGACATGACTGATGAGAGGGTTGTCTCCATGTGTGACATGACTGATGAGAGGGTTGTCTCCATGTGTGACATGACTGATGAGAGGGTTGTCTCCATGTGTGGCATGATGAGAGGGTTGTCTCCATGTGTGACATGACTGATGAGAGGGTTGTCATCTCTCCATGTGTGACATGACTGATGAGAGGGTTGTCTCCATGTGTGACATGACTGATGAGAGGGTTGTCTCCATGTGTGACATGACTGATGAGAGGGTTGTCTCCATGTGTGACATGACTGATGAGAGGGTTGTCTCCATGTGTGACATGACTGATGAGAGGGTTGTCTCCATGTGTGACATGACTGATGAGAGGGTTGTCTGCATGTGTGACATGACTGATGAGAGGGTTGTCTCCATGTGTGACATGACTGATGAGAGGGTTGTCATCTCTCCATGTGTGACATGACTGATGAGAGGGTTGTCATCTCTCCATGTGTGACATGACTGATGAGAGGGTTGTCTCCAAGTGTGACACGACTGATGAGAGGGTTGTCTTCATGTGTGACATGACTGATGAGAGGGTTGTCTCCATGTGTGACATGACTGATGAGAGGGTTGTCTCCATGTGTGACATGACTGATGAGAGGGTTGTCATCTCTCCATGTGTGACATGACTGATGAGAGGGTTGTCTCCATGTGTGACATGACTGATGAGAGGGTTGTCTCCATGTGTGACATGACTGATGAGAGGGTTGTCTCCATGTGTGGCATGATGAGAGGGTTGTCTCCATGTGTGACATGACTGATGAGAGGGTTGTCATCTCTCCATGTGTGACATGACTGATGAGAGGGTTGTCATCTCTCCATGTGTGACATGACTGATGAGAGGGTTGTCTGCATGTGTGACATGACTGATGAGAGGGTTGTCTCCATGTGTGACATGACTGATGAGAGGGTTGTCTCCATGTGTGACATGACTGATGAGAGGGTTGTCTCCATGTGTGGCATGATGAGAGGGTTGTCTCCATGTGTGACATGACTGATGAGAGGGTTGTCATCTCTCCATGTGTGACATGACTGATGAGAGGGTTGTCTCCATGTGTGACATGACTGATGAGAGGGTTGTCTCCATGTGTGACATGACTGATGAGAGGGTTGTCTCCATGTGTGACATGACTGATGAGAGGGTTGTCTCCATGTGTGACATGACTGATGAGAGGGTTGTCTCCATGTGTGACATGACTGATGAGAGGGTTGTCTGCATGTGTGACATGACTGATGAGAGGGTTGTCTCCATGTGTGACATGACTGATGAGAGGGTTGTCATCTCTCCATGTGTGACATGACTGATGAGAGGGTTGTCATCTCTCCATGTGTGACATGACTGATGAGAGGGTTGTCTCCAAGTGTGACACGACTGATGAGAGGGTTGTCTTCATGTGTGACATGACTGATGAGAGGGTTGTCTCCATGTGTGACATGACTGATGAGAGGGTTGTCTCCATGTGTGACATGACTGATGAGAGGGTTGTCATCTCTCCATGTGTGACATGACTGATGAGAGGGTTGTCTCCATGTGTGACATGACTGATGAGAGGGTTGTCTCCATGTGTGACATGACTGATGAGAGGGTTGTCTCCATGTGTGGCATGATGAGAGGGTTGTCTCCATGTGTGACATGACTGATGAGAGGGTTGTCATCTCTCCATGTGTGACATGACTGATGAGAGGGTTGTCATCTCTCCATGTGTGACATGACTGATGAGAGGGTTGTCTGCATGTGTGACATGACTGATGAGAGGGTTGTCTCCATGTGTGACATGACTGATGAGAGGGTTGTCATCTCTCTATGTGTGACATGACTGATGAGAGGGTTGTCATCTCTCCATGTGTGACATGACTGATGAGAGGGTTGTCTCCATGTGTGACATGACTGATGAGAGGGTTGTCTGCATGTGTGACATGACTGATGAGAGGGTTGTCTCCATGTGTGACATGACTGATGAGAGGGTTGTCATCTCTCCATGTGTGACATGACTGATGAGAGGGTTGTCATCTTTCCATGTGTGACATGACTGATGAGAGGGTTGTCTCCAAGTGTGACATGACTGATGAGAGGGTTGTCATCTCTTCATGTGTGACATGACTGATGAGAGGGTTGTCTCCATGTGTGACATGACTGATGAGAGGGTTGTCATCTCTCCATGTGTGACATGACTGATGAGAGGGTTGTCTCCATGTGTGACATGACTGATGAGAGGGTTGTCTTCATGTGTGACATGACTGATGAGAGGGTTGTCTCCATGTGTGACATGACTGATGAGAGGGTTGTCATCTCTCCATGTGTGACATGACTGATGAGAGGGTTGTCATCTCTCCATGTGTGACATGACTGATGAGAGGGTTGTCTCCAAGTGTGACATGACTGATGAGAGGGTTGTCATCTCTCCATGTGTGACATGACTGATGAGAGGGTTGTCTCCATGTGTGACATGACTGATGAGAGGGTTGTCTCCATGTGTGACATGACTGATGAGAGGGTTGTCTCCATGTGTGACATGACTGATGAGAGGGTTGTCTCCATGTGTGACATGACTGATGAGAGGGTTGTCATCTCTCCATGTGTGACATGACTGATGAGAGGGTTGTTTTCATGTGTGACATGACTGATGAGAGGGTTGTCTCCATGTGTGACATGACTGATGAGAGGGTTGTCATCTCTCCATGTGTGACATGACTGATGAGAGGGTTGTCTCCATGTGTGACATGACTGATGAGAGGGTTGTCTTGTTGCAGGAAGCGCCAGTGTCTGCCAGAGCAGCTGTGCTACTTGAGTGTGCTCATTTCATCCACCGCTGTAACCGTGGCGACTGGCCCAACTGGATGAAGCTCAACTTGCCCAGCTTCCGCCACACTGTGGCCGCCTTACAGAACAGAGGTCAGCCATCAGGGTATCGCAGGAACCTCATGCTGCAGAGGGCAGCCGGACGAATGTTTTATTCCTGGGCTGAGGTAAGATTTTGGCTGAGGTAAGATTTTGGCTGAAGTCAGACTTTGGCTAAGGTGGGACTTTGGGTGAGGTAGAATTTTGTGGTGAGGTAAGATTTTAGGTGAGGTTGGATTTTGGCTAAGGTTTGACTTTGGGTGAGGTAAGATTTTGGGTGAGGTAAGATTTTGGCCGATGTAGGATTTTGGGTGAGGTAAGATTATGGCTTAAGTCAGATTTTGGGTGAGGTAAGATTTTGGGTGAGGTAAGATTTTGGGTGAGGTAAGATTTTGGGTGAGGTAGGATTTTGGGTGAGGTAGGATTTTGGGTGAGGTAGGATTTTGGGTGAGGTAAGATTTTGGGTGAGGTAAGATTTTGGGTGAGGTTGGATTTTGGCTGAAGTCAGATTTTGGGTGGGGTACCCTGTCCATGTTCTATCACATTTTGTGCTCCAGGGTATTGTCAGAGTGGGGTACCCTGTCCATGTTCTTTCTTTTTGCCAAACTACAATGAGTGGGGGGGGGGGGGCAAGCCAGTAGAAACACCTCATCACTTAACTATTTATTTGAACTATTATGGTATGTTTGTACCTGGTTTTCTAATGTCCTGTTGGTAGTTCTCTTCCTTAGTCCCTAACTGTAGCCTTTCAGACAACTTTGATGAAGGCAAACATCTTTCTCCTCTTGACTTTGTACACTGTGTGGTGTGAGAATGACTTCCTTCCTACAGCAACTCAACACCCATGGCATTCTGATGGTTTTTAGACAACTTTGATGAAGGCAAACATCTTTCTCCTCTTGACTTTGTACACTGTGTGGTGTGAGAATGACTTCCTTCCTACAGCAACTCAACACCCATGGCATTCTGATGGTTTTTAGACAACTTTGATGAAGGCAAACATCTTTCTCCTCTTGACTTTGTACACTGTGTGGTGTGAGAATGACTTCCTTCCTACAGCAACAACACCCATTGCATTCTGATGGTTTTTAGACAACTTTGATGAAGGCAAACATCCTTCTCCTCTTGACTTTATTTTGTACACTGTGTGGTGTGAGAATGACTTCCTTCCTACAGCAACTCAACACCCATTGCATTCTGATGGTTTTTAGGCTGTGTTTGGACCTTAGAATATACATGTCTATATGAGCCCTAAAATTGATGGCTGTGCTTAAGAGATGGTGTGGTGTAGCTAACTCAAAGTCTCCTGGGGAGATTTGTACCTGACCCAAGTCACCTGGGGATGTAAGTGGACCAGTCAATTTTTATCTCTGTACAGAACCTTGGCCTGCAGATGGAATACATTCTAGCAAGGGAACATGCTGACAGACTGGCCGTGATTGATGAAGTCAAAGATGAGAACAGGAAGAAGGAACTAAGACAGGAGGATGAAGAAGAAGATTTTCTTGATGAAGGTCAGTTGATGTAGAGCTGAGCTAGGTGTTGTAGACTGCAGCTTGCTAATGTTGTGAAGGTCAGTTGGTGTAGAGCTGAGCTAGTTGGTGATGGTGTTGTAGACTGCAGCTTGCTAATGTTGTGAAGGTCAGTTGGTGTAGAGCTGAGCTGGTTGGTGATGGTGTTGTAGACTGCAGCTTGCTAATGTTGTGAAGGTCAGTTGATGTAGAGCTGAGCTGGTTGGTGATGGTGTTGTAGACTGCAGCTTGCTAATGTTGTGAAGGTCAGTTGGTGTAGAGCTGAGCTAGTTGGTGATGGTGTTGTAGACTGCAGCTTGCTAATGTTGTGAAGGTCAGTTGATGTAGAGCTGAGCTGGTTGGTGATGGTGTTGTAGACTGCAGCTTGCTAATGTTGTGAAGGTCAGTTGATGTAGAGCTGAGCTAGTTGGTGATGGTGTTGTAGACTGCAGCTTGCTAATGTTGTGAAGGTCAGTTGATGTAGAGCTGAGCTGGTTGGTGATGGTGTTGTAGACTGCAGCTTGCTAATGTTGTGAAGGTCAGTTGATGTAGAGCTGAGCTGGTTGGTGATGGTGTTGTAGACTGCAGCTTGCTATTGTTGTGAAGGTCAGTTGATGTAGAGCTGAGCTAGTTGGTGATGGTGTTGTAGACTGCAGCTTGCTAATGTTGTGAAGGTCAGTTGGTGTAGAGCTGAGCTAGGTGTTGTAGACTGGTAATGTGTTATCCTTGTGTCCAGCTTGTGTCAACCAGAAGGGCAAGGAGTGCCCCTACGCCCTCAAGATGTTGGCCTGCCTGGTGCTGGTGGAGATCACCACCTTTCTGAGAGAAACCTTCCAGTACCTGCCCAGGTCGCGCTCACACAAGCGGGAACATTTGTGGGACAAGAATGCTTCAAGCCGGCGCTATAGCAGCATAGTCAGCAGTCCTGGCCACTCTGACAAAAGCTCCGAGTCCAACCTGGCAGAGTTGCCATCTGGCTTTAGTGAGTACCTGACCATTGCTTGCTCCCATGTTTTTGTTGAATGATGCCATCCTGACATATTTTTGTTGAATGATGCCATCCTGACATGTTTTTGTTGAATGATTCCATCTTGACATGTTTTTGTTGAATGATGCCATCCTGACATATTTTTGTTGAATGATTCCATCCTAACATGTTTTTGTTGAATGATTCCATCTTGACATGTTTTTGTTGAATGATGCCATCCTGACATATTTTTGTTGAATGATTCCATCCTGACATGTTTTTGTTGAATGATTCCATCCTGACATGTTTTTGTTGAATGAATCCATCCTGACATGTTTTTATTGCACTCACCATTACATCCAGATTCTCATGAGCCAACTGTTATTGCAGGCAACATTGGCAGCCCGGGGGACAGGAAGATCAGCTTTGCCGTCCTGACGGAGAGATCTGATTCCCTACACAGCAGCACCACTTCATTGTCTGCCCTTGACCCTAATGCTACACCAGAGGAGAAAAAAGAAAGAGGTCAGCTAACTGCTTTTAAGCTCTCTGCTTTTAAGCTCTCTGTGACTCAGATTGTGTCTCAAGATTTGGAGAGACTTATTAAATCTGCTTTGATATTTTAGGCAGACGATTAGCCCAGGGCAGACAGAAACTGTTGCGCCATTTTCGTCGTGGCTCTGGTCACAACTTGAGCTTCAGACGCAGCTTCAAACTGGCCAGATCTGATGGAGGAGGAAGTCAGTGGGCCCAACTTTTTTTTATTTCATAGGTTACATTGAGGAAGTCAGTGGGCCCAACTTTTTTTTATTTCATAGGTTACATTGAGGAAGTCAGTGGGCCCAACTTTTTTTTATTTCATAGGTTACATTGAGGAAGTCAGTGGGCCCAACTTTTTTTTATTTCATAGGTTACATTGAGGAAGTCAGTGGGCCCAACTTTTTTTTATTTGATAGGTTACATTGAGGAAGTCAGTGGGCCCAACTTTTTTTTATTTGATAGGTTACATTGAGGAAGTCAGTGGGCCCAACTTTTTTTTATTTGATAGGTTACATTGAGGAAGTCAGTGGGCCCAACTTTTTTTTATTTGATAGGTTACATTGAGGAAGTCAGTGGGCCCAACTTTTTTTTATTTGATAGGTTACATTGAAGAAGTCAGTGGGCCCAACTTTTTTTTATTTGATAGGTTACATTGAGGAAGTCAGTGGGCCCAACTTTTTTTTATTTGATAGGTTACATTGAGGAAGTCAGTGGGCCCAACTTTTTTTTATTTGATAGGTTACATTGAGGAAGTCAGTGGGCCCAACTTTTTTTTATTTGATAGGTTACATTGAGGAAGTCAGTGGGCCCAACTTTTTTTTATTTGATAGGTTACATTGAGGAAGTCAGTGGGCCCAACTTTTTTTTATTTGATAGGTTACATTGAGGAAGTCAGTGGGCCCAACTTTTTTTTATTTGATAGGTTACATTGAGGAAGTCAGTGGGCCCAACTTTTTTTTATTTGATAGGTTACATTGAGGAAGTCAGTGGGCCCAACTTTTTTTTATTTGATAGGTTACATTGAGGAAGTCAGTGGGCCCAACTTTTTTTTATTTGATAGGTTACATTGAGGAAGTCAGTGGGCCCAACTTTTTTTTATTTCATAGGTTACATTGAGGAAGTCAGTGGGCCCAACTTTTTTTTATTTGATAGGTTACATTGAGGAAGTCAGTGGGCCCAACTTTTTTTTTTTATTTGATAGGTTACATTGAGGAAGTCAGTGGGCCCAACTTTTTTTATTTGATAGGTTACATTGTCTGTAGATCAACAGACTTAGTTTGATAGCCAGGGGATTGGGGAGAAAGTTAAACCAGTGTAGTTTAGATATGACACAGTTTAGAAGCCTTTTGATTGGGGAGAAAGTTAAACCAGTGTAGCTTAGATATGACATAGTTTGGAAGCCAGGGGATTGGGGAGAAAGTTAAACCAGTGTAGCTTAGATATGACATAGTTTGGAAGCCTTTTGATTGGGGAGAAAGTTAAACCAGTGTAGCTTAGATATGACATAGTTTGATAGCCTTTTGATTGGGGAGAAAGTTAAACCAGTGTAGCTTAGATATGACATAGTTTGATAGCCTTTTGATTGGGGAGAAAGTTAAACCAGTGTAGCTTAGATATGACATAGTTTGGAAGCCTTTTGATTGGGGAGAAAGTTAAACCAGTGTAGCTTAGATATGACATAGTTTGATAGCCTTTTGATTGGGGAGAAAGTTAAACCAGTGTAGCTTAGATATGACATAGTTTGGAAGCCTTTTGATTGGGGAGAAAGTTAAACCAGTGTAGCTTAGATATGACATAGTTTGATAGCCTTTTGATTGGGGAGAAAGTTAAACCAGTGTAGCTTAGATATGACATAGTTTGATAGCCTTTTGATTGGGGAGAAAGTTAAACCAGTGTAGCTTAGATATGACATAGTTTGGAAGCCTTTTGATTGGGGAGAAAGTTAAACCAGTGTAGCTTAGATATGACATAGTTTGGAAGCCTTTTGATTGGGGAGAAAGTTAAACCAGTGTAGCTTAGATATGACATAGTTTGATAGCCTTTTGATTGGGGAGAAAGTTAAACCAGTGTAGCTTAGATATGACATAGTTTGGAAGCCTTTTGATTGGGGAGAAAGTTAAACCAGTGTAGCTTAGATATGACATAGTTTGGAAGCCAGGGGATTGGGGAGAAAGTTAAACCAGTGTAGCTTAGATATGACATAGTTTGGAAGCCTTTTGATTGGGGAGAAAGTTAAACCAGTGTAGCTTAGATATGACATAGTTTGGAAGCCAGGGGATTGGGGAGAAAGTTAAACCAGTGTAGCTTAGATATGACATAGTTTGGAAGCCTTTTGATTGGGGAGAAAGTTAAACCAGTGTAGCTTAGATATGACATAGTTTGGAAGCCAGGGGATTGGGGAGAAAGTTAAACCAGTGTAGCTTAGATATGACATAGTTTGGAAGCCAGGGGATTGGAAAGAAAGTAAGAGCTTAGATAATGTCCCATGTTACAGTGAGCGTAACTTTGCAGGCATGAAGCATGGGGGCAGCATGAAGTCCCGCAAGATCAGCAGCCACTCTCTGCAGTCAGATGGCAAGTTTGTGGAGGAGGAAGCTCCCACTGAGGACACCGAGTCAGTGGCCATGATGAGTGACGACACCCAGGAGTCTCCCATTGATAAGGACATGGAGCTGGAAGATGAACACCTCTACACCAACTTGCCTTGGATCAAAGTAAGACAACATATCACTCACTCAAGTACTTCCCACATCGGGAGAGTTTAGTAGAGGGGAAACTACCTACATCAATCACTGAATATAGGGGAAACTACCTACATCAATCATTGAATATAGGGGAAACTACCTACATCAATCATTGAATATAGGGGAAACTACCTACATCAATCATTGAATATAGGGGAAACTACCTACATCAATCATTGAATATAGGGGAAACTACCTACATCAATCATTGAATATAGGGGAAACTACCTACATCAATCATTGAATATAGGGGAAACTACCTACATCAATCATTGAATATAGGGGAAACTACCTACATCAATCATTGAATATAGGGGAAACTACCTACATCAATCATTGAATATAGGGGAAACTACCTACATCAATCATTGAATATAGGGGAAACTACCTACATCAGTAATTTAATATAGGGGAAATTACCTACATCAGTAATTTAATATAGGGGAAACTACCTACATCAATCATTGAATATAGGGGAAACTACCTACATCAATCATTGAATATAGGGGAAACTACCTACATCAATCATTGAATATAGGGGAAACTACCTACATCAATCATTGAATATAGGGGAAACAACCTACATCAATCATTGAATATAGGGGAAACTACCTACATCAGTAATTTAGTATAGGGTAAACTACATCAGTAATTTAGTATAGGGTAAACTACATCAGTAATTTAATATAGGGGAAACTACCTACATCAGTAATTTAGTATAAGGGAAACTACCTACATCAAGTATACCATATGAAAACCAAGCAACTAGCCAAATATTTTTCAGGTGGTGGTTCAGTTGGCCAACTTATCTAACTTTATCTGCACTCATCAAAACTTTTGCCACCCAAATTGTTATGAGCGCCAGCGTAGGTCTTGCTCACGTCTGACCGCTGCCATCAGAAAAATCTACGAGTCCACAGAAGAAGATGAGAGAGACATAAACAAACAGATGGATAAAAAGGACTTGTTCAAAGAGAAACTCAAGAGAAGGGTAGGTACAGTTCTGCACCTTCAGATTGCTTCTAGCATGCCTAGCCCTCACCACTTCAATTGCTGGCCTCATAATCAAGTCTGGTTAACCCACTTTCTGTGCTATACAATGCTTCTGTTAGTCTCTACTGAGATCTTTAAGTTATTTCAAGTATACAATGCTTCTGTTAGTCTCTACTGAGACTAAGTTATTTCAAGTATACAATGCTTCTGTTAGTCTCTACTGAGATCTTTAAGTTATTTCAAGTATACAATGCTTCTGTTAGTCTCTACTGAGACTAAGTTATTTCAAGTATACAATGCTTCTGTTAGTCTCTACTGAGACTAAGTTATTTCAAGTATACAATGCTTCTGTTAGTCTCTACTGAGACTAAGCTATTTCAAGTATACAATGCTTCTGTTAGTCTCTACTGAGATCTTTAAGTTATTTCAAGTATACAATGCTTCTGTTAGTCTCTACTGAGACTAAGTTATTTCAAGTATACAATGCTTCTGTTAGTCTCTACTGAGACTAAGTTATTTCAAGTATACAATGCTTCTGTTAGTCTCTACTGAGATCTTTAAGTTATTTCAAGTATACAATGCTTCTGTTAGTCTCTACTGAGATCTTTAAGTTATTTCAAGTATACAATGCTTCTGTTAGTCTCTACTGAGACTAAGTTATTTCAAGTATACAATGCTTCTGTTAGTCTCTACTGAGACTAAGTTATTTCAAGTATACAATGCTTCTGTTAGTCTCTACTGAGATCTTTAAGTTATTTCAAGTATACAATGCTTCTGTTAGTCTCTACTGAGACTAAGTTATTTCAAGTATACAATGCTTCTGTTAGTCTCTACTGAGACTAAGTTATTTCAAGTATACAATGCTTCTGTTAGTCTCTACTGAGATCTTTAAGTTATTTCAAGTATACAATGCTTCTGTTAGTCTCTACTCAAATCCTATCTAAAATTGCCATAAGAAACACTTGCATGCATTAACTAACAGCATAAACTGGAACAAGATTAAATCATTAAAATGTTGGATTGGAAGTAAAGTTCTACTTAGATTTCCATCAGATTTTTGTGTAAGGTTCTACATGTTGCCATGTATTTACAGGAATCCATATTCCAAGTGACATCCCCAGCAAGCAGAAGAAGGGAGAGCACACCACTACTGGAGAAGATCAAAACTGACGTGTCCCTGACCAAACTCAAACTCAGCACCAAGAAAGATGAAAAGCCTAAAGAGGCCAAAGAAGATCCTCCAATTATCAAGTATCTAACCTCACAGGTACTGCCAACTTTGGCTTCACATCTCAAACCATTTGGACTATCAAATTGTCCACACACACACACTCTCTCTCTCTCTCTCTGCAGGCCCAGAGATTAACCCAGTGCCCCATTTGCTCTCTCTCTCTCTCTCTGCAGGCCCAGAGATTAACCCAGTGCCCCATTTGCTCTCTCTCTCTGCAGGCCCAGAGATTAACCCAGTATCCCATTTGCTCTCTCTCTCTCTCTCTGCAGGCCCAGAGATTAACCCAGTATCCCATTTGCTCTCTCTCTCTCTCTGCAGGCCCAGAGATTAACCCAGTGCCCCATTTGCTCTCTCTCTCTCTCTGCAGGCCCAGAGATTAACCCAGTGCCCCATTTGCTCTCTCTCTCTCTCTGCAGGCCCAGAGATTAACCCAGTATCCCATTTGCTCTTTCTCTCTCTCTCTCTCTGCAGGCCCAGAGATTAACCCAGTGTCCCATTTGCTCTCTCTCTCTCTCTCTCTCTGCAGGCCCAGAGATTAACCCAGTATCCCATTTGCTCTCTCTCTCTCTCTGCAGGCCCAGAGATTAACCCAGTATCCCATTTGCTCTCTCTCGCTCTCTCTCTCTCTCTGCAGGCCCAGAGACTAACCCAGTGTCCCATTTGCTCTCTCTCTCTCTCTGCAGGCCCAGAGATTAACCCAGTGTCCCACTTGCTCTCTCTCTCTCTCTCTGCAGGCCCAGAGATTAACCCAGTATCCCATTTTCTCTCTCTCTCTCTCTCTGCAGGCCCAGAGATTAACCCAGTATCCCATTTGCTCTCTCTCTCTCTCTGCAGGCCCAGAGACTAACCCAGTGTCCCATTTGCTCTCTCTCTCTCTCTGCAGGCCCAGAGACTAACCCAGTGTCCCATTTGCTCTCTCTCTCTCTCTCTCTGCAGGCCCAGAGATTAACCCAGTGTCCCATTTGCTCTCTCTCTCTCTCTGCAGGCCCGAGATTAACCCAGTGTCCCATTTGCTCTCTCTCTCTCTCTGCAGGCCCAGAGATTAACCCAGTGCCCCATTTGCTCTCTCTCTCTCTGCAGGCCCAGAGATTAACCCAGTATCCCATTTGCTCTCTCTCTCTCTCTGCAGGCCCAGAGATTAACCCAGTATCCCATTTGCTCTCTCTCTCTCTCTCTCTCTGCAGGCCCAGAGACTAACCCAGTGTCCCATTTGCTCTCTCTCTCTCTCTCTCTGCAGGCCCAGAGACTAACCCAGTGTCCCATTTGCTCTCTCTCTCTCTCTCTGCAGGCCCAGAGATTAACCCAGTGTCCCATTTGCTCTCTCTCTCTCTCTGCAGGCCCAGAGATTAACCCAGTGTCCCATTTGCTCTCTCTCTCTCTCTGCAGGCCCAGAGACTAACCCAGTGTCCCATTTGCTCTCTCTCTCTCTGCAGGCCCAGAGACTAACCCAGTGTCCCATTTGCTCTCTCTCTCTCTGCAGGCCCAGAGACTAACCCAGTGTCCCATTTGCTCTCTCTCTGCAGGCCCAGAGACTAACCCAGTGTCCCATTTGCTCTCTCTCTCTCTGCAGGCCCAGAGACTAACCCAGTGTCCCATTTGCTCTCTCTCTCTCTCTGCAGGCCCAGAGATTAACCCAGTATCCCATTTGCTCTCTCTCTCTCTCTGCAGGCCCAGAGACTAACCCAGTGTCCCATTTGCTCTCTCTCTCTCTCTGCAGGCCCAGAGATTAACCCAGTGCCCCATTTGCTCTCTCTCTGCAGGCCCAGAGACTAACCCAGTGTCCCATTTGCTCTCTCTCTCTCTCTGCAGGCCCAGAGACTAACCCAGTATCCCATTTGCTCTCTCTCTCTCTCTCTGCAGGCCCAGAGACTAACCCAGTGCCCCATGGCCATCTTGACCAAGGCCGCCCCTGTGCTGAACGTGGAACATTTCATTGACATAATGCCAGTAGCCTGGGAGCTGATGCTGGAGAGTGACCAGGAGCTGGCAGCTGCTGCTGGTAGGACATTGTCACTGGCCACTTTATATCTCATTCACTGCCTTGTGGCATTGGCCAATTTATAGTATATCTCATTCACTGCCTTGTGTTTATTCCATTGGCCACTTTATAGTATATCTCATTCACTGCCTTGTGGCATTGGCCACTTTCATTTGTTGCCATTTATCTCAGAAATTGAAATGAAAAATTGCCGAACCAGGTCATGTGGTTTAAAAATTCAAATTGAAAAGGACTTGAGTGTATAAACAATAATAAGAGCTGTATGAACCTTTTGAGTAGTACACTGATGGCTGCCTTATTGCACTGCATGTATGATCTTTATGTTGTTTCAGCTTCTGTCTTCCTTCTGTCCTCGGCCAAATCTTCAGATAAAGCCAGGAATATGATCATCAAAGAACTTCAGCATGAGGAGACCAGTCAGAGAATCAATGCTGTACTCAGGTATGTAGTCCACAATGCTGTACTCAGGTATGTAGTCCACAATGCTGTACTCAGGTATGTAGTCCACAATGCTGTACTCAGGTATGTAGTCCACAATGCTGTACTCAGGTATGTAGTCCACAATGCTGTACTCAGGTATGTAGTCCACAATGTTGTACTCAGGTATGTAGTCCACAATGCTGTACTCAGGTATGTAGTCCACAATGCTGTACTCAGGTATGTAGTCCACAATGTTGTACTCAGGTATGTAGTCCACAATGCTGTACTCAGGTATGTAGTCCACAATGCTGTACTCAGGTATGTAGTCCACAATGTTGTACTCAGGTATGTAGTCCACAATGTTGTACTCAGGTATGTAGTCCACAATGCTGTACTCAGGTATGTAGTCCACAATGCTGTACTCAGGTATGTAGTCCACAATGTTGTACTCAGGTATGTAGTCCACAATGCTGTACTCAGGTATGTAGTCCACAATGCTGTACTCAGGTATGTAGTCCACAATGCTGTACTCAGGTATGTAGTCCACAATGCTGTACTCAGGTATGTAGTCCACAATGCTGTACTCAGGTATGTAGTCCACAATGTTGTACTCAGGTATGTAGTCCACAATGCTGTACTCAGGTATGTAGTCCACAATGTTGTACTCAGGTATGTAGTCCACAATGCTGTACTCAGGTATGTAGTCCACAATGTTGTACTCAGGTATGTAGTCCACAATGCTGTACTCAGGTATGTAGTCCACAATGTTGTACTCAGGTATGTAGTCCACAATGTTGTACTCAGGTATGTAGTCCACAATGCTGTACTCAGGTATGTAGTCCACAATGTTGTACTCAGGTATGTAGTCCACAATGCTGTACTCAGGTATGTAGTCCACAATGCTGTACTCAGGTATGTAGTCCACAATGCTGTACTCAGGTATGTAGTCCACAATGTTGTACTCAGGTATGTAGTCCACAATGTTGTACTCAGGTATGTAGTCCACAATGCTGTACTCAGGTATGTAGTCCACAGCATGACCCCAACTATACACCAGTCACCTCTACACACCACTGTGTCACCTCTACACACCACTGTGTCACCTCTACACACCACTGTGTCCACTGACCTCTATACACCACTGTGTCCACTGACCTCTACACACCACTGTGTCACCTCTACACACCACTGTGTCACCTCTACACACCACTATGTCACCTCTACACACCACTGTGTCACCTCTACACACCACTGTGTCCACTGACCTCTACACACCACTGTGTCACCTCTACACACCACTGTGTCACCTCTACACACCACTATGTCACCTCTACACACCACTGTGTCACCTCTACACACCACTGTGTCCACTGACCTCTACACACCACTGTGTCACCTCTACACACCACTGTGTCCACTGACCTCTACACACCACTGTGTCACCTCTACACACCACTGTGTCACCTCTACACACCACTGTGTCACCTCTACACACCACTGTCACCTCTACACACCACTGTGTCACCTCTACACACCACTGTGTCACCTCTACACACCACTGTGTCACCTCTACACACCACTGTGTCACCTCTACACACCACTGTCACCTCTACACACCACTGTCACCTCTACACACCACTGTGTCACCTCTACACAAAACTGTCACCTCTACACACCACTGTGTCACCTCTACACACCACTGTGTCACCTCTACACACCACTGTGTCACCTCTACACACCACTGTGTCACCTCTACACACCACTGTCACCTCTACACACCACTGTGTCACCTCTACACAAAACTGTCACCTCTACACACCACTGTGTCACCTCTACACACCACTGTGTCACCTCTACACACCACTGTGTCACCTCTACACACCACTGTGTCACCTCTACACACCACTGTGTCACCTCTACACACCACTATGTCACCTCTACACACCACTGTGTCACCTCTACACACCACTGTGTCCACTGACCTCTACACACCACTGTGTCACCTCTACACACCACTGTGTCACCTCTACACACCACTATGTCACCTCTACACACCACTGTGTCACCTCTACACACCACTGTGTCCACTGACCTCTACACACCACTGTGTCACCTCTACACACCACTGTGTCCACTGACCTCTACACACCACTGTGTCACCTCTACACACCACTGTGTCACCTCTACACACCACTGTGTCACCTCTACACACCACTGTCACCTCTACACACCACTGTGTCACCTCTACACACCACTGTGTCACCTCTACACACCACTGTGTCACCTCTACACACCACTGTGTCACCTCTACACACCACTGTCACCTCTACACACCACTGTCACCTCTACACACCACTGTGTCACCTCTACACAAAACTGTCACCTCTACACACCACTGTGTCACCTCTACACACCACTGTGTCACCTCTACACACCACTGTGTCACCTCTACACACCACTGTGTCACCTCTACACACCACTGTCACCTCTACACACCACTGTGTCACCTCTACACAAAACTGTCACCTCTACACACCACTGTGTCACCTCTACACACCACTGTGTCACCTCTACACACCACTGTGTCACCTCTACACACCACTGTGTCACCTCTACACACCACTGTGTCACCTCTACACACCACTGTGTCACCTCTACATACCACTGTGTCCACTGACCTCTACACACCACTGTGTCACCTCTACACACCACTGTGTCACCTCTACACACCACTGTGTCACCTCTACACACCACTGTGTCACCTCTACACACCACTGTGTCACCTCTACACACCACTGTCACCTCTACACACCACTGTGTCACCTCTACACAAAACTGTCACCTCTACACACCACTGTGTCACCTCTACACACCACTGTGTCACCTCTACACACCACTGTGTCACCTCTACATACCACTGTGTCCACTGACCTCTACACACCACTGTGTCACCTCTACACACCACTGTGTCACCTCTACACACCACTGTGTCACCTCTACACACCACTGTGTCACCTCTACACACCACTGTGTCACCTCTACACACCACTGTCACCTCTACACACCACTGTGTCACCTCTACACAAAACTGTCACCTCTACACACCACTGTGTCACCTCTACACACCACTGTGTCACCTCTACACACCACTGTGTCACCTCTACACACCACTGTGTCACCTCTACACACCACTGTGTCACCTCTACACACCACTGTGTCACCTCTACATACCACTGTGTCCACTGACCTCTACACACCACTGTGTCATCTCTACACACCACTGTGTCACCTCTACACACCACTATGTCACCTCTACACACCACTGTGTCACCTCTACACACCACTGTGTCCACTGACCTCTACTCTACACACCACTGTGTCACCTCTACACACCACTGTGTCACCTCTACACACCACTGTGTCACCTCTACACACCACTGTCACCTCTACACACCACTGTGTCACCTCTACACACCACTGTGTCACCTCTACACACCACTGTGTCACCTCTACACACCACTGTGTCACCTCTACACACCACTGTGTCACCTCTACACACCACTGTGTCACCTCTACACACCACTGTGTCACCTCTACACAAAACTGTCACCTCTACACACCACTGTGTCACCTCTACACACCACTGTGTCACCTCTACACACCACTGTGTCACCTCTACACACCACTGTGTCACCTCTACACACCACTGTGTCACCTCTACACACCACTGTGTCACCTCTACACACCACTGTGTCACCTCTACATACCACTGTGTCACCTCTACACACCACTGTGTCCCCTCTACACACCACTGTGTCCACTGACCTCTACACACCAGTGTGTCACCTCTACACACCAGTGTGTCACCTCTACACACCACTGCGTCACCTCTACACACCAGTGTGTCACCTCTACACACCAGTGTGTCACCTCTACACACCAGTGTGTCACCTCTACACACCAGTGTGTCACCTCTACACACCAGTGTGTCACCTCTACACACCACTGTTTCACCTCTACACACCACTGTGTCACCTGTATACACCACTGTCACCTCTACACACCACTATGTCACCTCTACACACAACTGTGTCACCTCTATACACCACTGTGTCACCTCTACACACCACTGTGTCACCTCTACACACAACTATGTCACCTCTACACACAACTATGTCACGTCTACACACAACTATGTCACCTCTACACACAACTATGTCACCTCTACACACAACTATGTCACCTCTACACACCACTGCGTCACCTCTACACCCCAGTGTGTCACCTCTACACCCCAGTGTGTCACCTCTACACCCCAGTGTGTCACCTCTACACACCACTGTGTCGCCTCTACACACTTTCCTATCCTGCAGGTTTGGAGCTTTGTGGAAGTTTCGCTACCAAGTTTGGCCCAGAATGGAAGAAGGAGCCAACATGTATTTTAAGGTAAACAAATCAGCTTGTTGTTTCAAGCATCACTTCCCTTTCACCTCTAAAAACTTGAGAAATATGGACAGGGGGCAACTCACAATAACAAACACAAGTCTTTAGACAGGTAGCAACTCAACTCTTGTTTTCTGTTGACAGCTGCCACCCCCCAGCATTGATTTCACCCTCCCCTCTCCAACCATTGGCCTGCCCAACCTGATTGTGGTGGACCCTCCTTGGATGCCCCACTTTAAGACCAACATCGAGGAGGTGACAGTCAACCAGGAAGAGACAGTAAGTTGGTTGCTAGCACACACATAGGGTTGGCACACACACAGGGTTGGGGCACACAGAGGGTTGGCACACACAGGGTTGGCACACAGGGTTGGCACACACACACAGGGTTGGCACACACACACAGGGTTGGGGCGCACAGAGGGTTGGCACACACAGGGTTGCCACACACAGGGTTGGCACACACACACACAGGGTTGGCACACACACAGGGTTGGCACACACACACAGGGTTGGCACACACACACAGGGTTGGCACACACACAGGGTTGGTACACACAGGGTTGGCACACACAGGGTTGGCACACACACACAGGGTTGGCACACACACACAGGGTTGGCACACACACACAGGGTTGGCACACACACACAGGGTTGGCACACACACAGGGTTGGCACACACACAGGGTTGGCACACACACAGGGTTGGCACACACACAGGGTTGGCACACACACACAGGGTTGGCACACACACACACACAGGGTTGGCACACACACACACACAGGGTTGGCACACACACACACACAGGGTTGGCACACACACACACAGGGTTGGCACACAGGGTTGGGGCACACACAGGGTTGGCACACACACACACAGGGTTGGCACACACACAGGGTTGGCACACACAGAGGTGGGGATAAGATAAGGTCGGCCATAATTACGGGGTCGGCCATAATGATGGGTGAAGCATAATAAAGATCCAATGAGATTGACAGGGTGGGGGGGGGAATAACGGCAGGGTAATGTCCTACACCCTCATACACACACGTTATCAGCTAGCACACACACACACAGACCATGAGATGACACACACAAGTTATCAGCTAGCACACACACACACAGACCATGATATGACACACACAAGTTATCAGCTAGCACACACACACAGACCATGAGATGACACACACAAGTTATCAGCTAGCAGACACACACACAGACCATGAGATGACACACACAAGTTATCAGCTAGCACACACACACACAGACCATGAGATGACCTAGCACACACACACACACAGACCATGCGATGATTTCTTCCAGAAGTCTCTGGTGACAGCCACCACCACCAGACGCAAGCAGCAGCAGGAGATGATCAGAAAAGCCCTGCTGGCTGAGGAGGAGCGCAAGAGGGTGGGGAGGGAGAACTTCCCCATGACCACCATGCCCATCACACAGCTGGCAGCTTATGAGCCTTCCCTTCACCATGGGGATGAGGGCCATGAAGAAGGTAAGCCCAGCCCCCAGCTGTAGGAGCTGGACCTGACATTGTAAGCCCAGCTGTAGGAGCTGGACCTGACATTGTAAGCCCAGCCCCCAGCTGTAGGAGCTGGACCTGACACTGTAAGCCCAGTCCCCAGCTGTAGGAGCTGGACCTGACATTGTAAGCCCAGCTGTAGGAGCTGGACCTGACATTGTAAGCCCAGCTGTAGGAGCTGGACCTGACATTGTAAGCCCAGCTGTAGGAGCTGGACCTGACATTGTAAGCCCAGCTGTAGGAGCTGGACCTGACATTGTAAGCCCAGCCCCCAGCTGTAGGAGCTGGACCTGACACTGTAAGCCCAGCCCCCAGCTGTAGGAGCTGGACCTGACATTGTAAGCCCCGCTGTAGGAGCTGGACCTGACATTGTAAGCCCAGCTGTAGGAGCTGGACCTGACACTGTAAGCCCAGCCCCCAGCTGTAGGAGCTGGACCTGACATTGTAAGCCCAGCCCCCAGCTGTAGGAGCTGGACCTGACACTGTAAGCCCAGCCCCCAGCTGTAGGAGCTGGACCTGACATTGTAAGCCCAGCTGTAGGAGCTGGACCTGACATTGTAAGCCCAGCTGTAGGAGCTGGACCTGACATTGTAAGCCCAGCCCCCAGCTGTAGGAGCTGGACCTGACACTGTAAGCCCAGCCCCCAGCTGTAGGAGCTGGACCTGACATTGTAAGCCCAGCCCCCAGCTGTAGGAGCTGGACCTGACATTGTAAGCCCAGCTGTAGGAGCTGGACCTGACATTGTAAGCCCAGCCCCCAGCTGTAGGAGCTGGACCTGACATTGAATCACACAGTGGAGTTAGATAGACACAACCAAGGAGCCTGCTGCTCTAATGGGCGGCTATGTACTGTATTGGTACTACTAACATGACTTGTTCAATGAGAAATGGTACCCTAATCAGCATCAAGAACTGAGTGCTCTGAGAGAGTCCATTTGACAAGTTGGACATGCAGTTGTGGTTTGAACAAGCACATAGATTACTAATACAAAGACTTTTTTTTTTACTTTCTTTAACAAACCATGTAGCCATAGGTCAGTGGTGGCTCAGCTCATGTACCAACTGCTGACCACCACAGTACTGTGTCAGCTGACCACCTCAGTACTGTGTCAGCTGACCACCTCAGTACTGTGTCAGCTGACCACCACAGTACTGTGTCAGCTGACCACCACAGTACTGTGTCAGCTGACCACCACAGTACTGTGTCAGCTGACCACCACAGTACTGTGTCAGCTGACCACCACAGTACTGTGTCAGCTGACCACCTCAGTACTGTGTCAGCTGACCACCTCAGTACTGTGATGTACATTAACCACTGACAGATGAGTTACACTGGAAGCAACTAGTCATTGTGCCATAGATGTGTATATTGTAACTACGCAGGCTTCCATTATTTACCGCTGACCCCTCAAATCTGTCGGACAGAACTGGGAGAGGAAGGATTCTTCATCATACAAAACACAACTTTATACAAAACTAATAACAATACACCACTAAACCATGTCCATCACACATTGTCCACAGGCCATGAAACCACAAGCCACATTTGAAACAAGGCACATCCACCACACATTGTCCACATCCACCACACATTGTCCACATCCACCACACATTGTCCACATCCACCACACATTGTCCACATCCACCACACATTGTCCACATCCACCACACATTGTCCACATCCACCACACATTGTCCACATCCACCACACATTGTCCACATCCACCACACATTGTCCACATCCACCACACGTTGTCCACATCCACCACACGTTGTCCACATCCACCACACATTGTCCACATCCACCACACATTGTCCACATCCACCACACATTGTCCACATCCACCACACATTGTCCACATCCACCACACATTGTCCACATCCACCACACATTGTCCACATCCACCACACATTGTCCACATCCACCACACATTGTCCACATCCACCACACATTGTCCACATCCACCACACATTGTCCACATCCACCACACATTGTCCACATCCACCACACATTGTCCACATCCACCACACATTGTCCACATCCACCACACGTTGTCCACATCCACCACACATTGTCCACATCCACCACACATTGTCCACATCCACCACACATTGTCCACATCCACCACACGTTTTGTCCACATCCACCACACATTGTCCACATCCACCACACGTTTTGTCCACTAACCACATCAACCACAAGCCATATTCACCACGCTGTCCACAATGGGCATGCACCAAAATTGACACCCACTCCCACAATCCACACCAGGAGTGAGTTGGTCTGTGATGATTGGAATGAATGTGCAGTTCACCAATTGATGTCTCCGACCTTTTTGAGGGGTTTTAATGTCTTTCTAAATTTTGTTTGATTGATATCTTGACACCTTCCTACCCTTTGACACTTGAACTCTTCCCTTCCCTTTCCAGTTGTAATTGCAATGTCCCCCAGCATTTCCCAATTGTTTTGTAACTCTTCCTGCTGGTTTGTGTAGCACATGACTCATGTAGTCACACTACCTAGGCAACTAACTTGGCTGTCAAGACTAATGAAGGCTAATCACAAGCTAACAATAGCACTCATTTAATTTCACGCTATATTGAGTTAACATGTAATGAGCCCTGAAATTTCACCCTATATTGAGTTAACATGTAATGAGCCCTCATCAATGAACTTGTGTCATCAATGACATCTTGTCACGTATCTACTCCTGTTTTGTCCTGTCTTTAACCATTGAATGACCATTGATAGCGCGCCCTGGTACCAAGTGATTGTAACTTTAGAAAGCAGACGCATTCCCCTCTCTGGGCTGTGCTCTCATGTCTGGGCTAGATCAAGCTTGTTACCAAACATTGGGTTAACTGCCCTAGCTAGATCCAACCTACTGGGTTAACTGCCCTAGCTAGATCCAACCTACTGGGTTAACTGCCCTTGCTAGATCCAACCTACTGGATAACTGCCCTTGCTAGATCCAACCTACTGGGTTAACTGCCCTAGCTAGATCCAACCTACCAGGGTTAACTGCCCTTGCTAGATCCAACCTACTTGAGCCTGGGTTAACTGCCCTTGCTAGATCCAACCTACTTTAGCCTGGTTTAACTGCCCTTGCTAGATCCAACCTACTTGAGCCTGGGTTAACTGCCCTTGCTAGATCCAACCTACTGGGTTAACTGCCCTTGCTAGATCCAACCTACTGGGTTAACTGCCCTTGCTATATCCAACCTACTTGAGCCTGGTTTAACTGCCCTTGCTAGATCCAACCTACTGGTTTAACTGCCCTTGCTAGATCCAACCTACTGGGTTAACTGCCCTTGCTATATCCAACCTACTTGAGCCTGGTTTAACTGCCCTTGCTAGATCCAACCTACTTGAGCCTGGTTTAACTGCCCTTGCTAGATCCAACCTACTTGAGCCTGGTTTAACTGCCCTTGTTAGATCCAATCTACTGGGTTAACTGCCCTTGAGCCTGTTGAAGCAGCCCTTGCTAGATCCCACCTACTTGAGCCTGGTGTAGCAGCCCTAGCTAGATCCAACCTACTGCTTTAACTGCCCTAGCTAGATCCCACCTACTTGAGCCTGGTGTAGCAGCCCTAGCTAGATCCAACCTACTGGTTTAACTGCCCTAGCTAGATCCCACCTACTTGAGCCTGGTGTAGCAGCCCTAGCTAGATCCAACCTACTGGTTTAACTGCCCTAGCTAGATCCCACCTACTTGAGCCTGGTGTAGCAGCCCCAAGACATGTTTGCTGCCTATGATTGGGCTGGTCGTCTAGCAGAACGTATTGGCTGGTCACTTTATGCCAGGGCGTGTTTTCTCAGCTTGCTGTGTGCATTGTTTGCTTGATACTACGCCAGTTGTACAGGAGGAGATGACTCTGGCGGCACGACGTGTCTCGTTGGCCCCAACCAATCGGGCCAACAACCAAAGCCGCAGCATGTCCTGGCGCAATGGTAGTCTACATTGGGGCAGAATAGCCTGGGAAGGTAGTACTCATATCTTGTTCTTCACTAAGCCAATCAAAAAGCTCAACTAGATCTAGTTACATCTGTTTACTGTAGTAGCTAGTTTTTTTTTTTACAAGTGCCCCCTCCCCTCTCTCCCCTGTTTTAACATAGCAGTGGACAGCTAGTAGCTGAAGGTTTTCAGGCATATCTCAGGATAGACTTTTATTTTTTACTAGTAAGTTAACACTATTAACAGTGAACTAATCCTTGTTGTCACATGAATCCAGTGTGTCACTAAATCTATATTTATTGCATGTCTTTACACTAAGCAGACTAGCGACTAGTATTACCTTCATTCACTGATGCGAACTAACGGTTGACTGTCCTCATTTCAAACAACTGCAGGGTTATGTGCAATTTTGTTTGATGTCAAGTGGATCAGTAGAAACCAGCAGAAGCAATTCCTATATAAACCTTAAAATCTCTAATTAGTCTCTAATTATCTCTTATTAAACTCTCTAATTAGTATTTTGACACTTTGAAACCAGCAGAATCAAAGCCTATCTAAACCTTGAAAGTCTCTAATAATTAAATTAAAGTCCTTATTGGTATCTGGACAGTTTGAAACTAACAGAATCAAATCATATCTAAACCTGTTTGGTCTCTAATTAAAGAATCTAATTACAGTTATTATCTAGACAGTTTGAAACCAACAGAATAAAAATTAAAATCCTAAAAGTTTCTAAACATTTAAAGTCTCTAATTAGTAGGCCTATCTGGACTGCTTGAAACAAACATAATCAAATCCTATCTAACCCTTTAACGTTTCTACTAACAGCTTCAGAGTGACTAAATTTGCTTAGCTACTAACTTTATTTTTTATCACTGAACAATCTGATCAGTTTCACAAATTCTAATGTATAGTGTACAATAAAAATTAGAATCAGAATAAATTTATTAAAATGTGGCTAGGAATTGATTTCTCCCAGTAAAAATGTGGATAGGAATTGATTTCTCCCAGTAAAAATGTGGATAGGAATTGATTTCTCCCAGTAAAAATGTGGATAGGAATTGATTTCTCCCAGTAAAAATGTGGATAGGAATTGATTTCTCCCAGTAAAAATGTGGCTAGGAATTGATTTCTCCCAGTAAAAATGTGGATAGGAATTGATTTCTCCCAGTAAAAATGTGGCTAGGAATTGATTTCTCCCAGTAAAAATGTGGATAGGAATTGATTTCTCCCCACTCCCTCTCAGGAGATGAGGATAGAATGGAGCATGGCCACCACCTGCAGACAGCTCAGTCGGTTTTCCCATCATGCATCTGCGCTGCTGTCTTGCCAGTTCTACATCTGTTAGATGACCATGATGTGAACGCTGATGGGGTTTCAGGTATATGAAGACATTTTCTTGGGGTTTATATATCAGAAGACGTTTACAATTCATCATATCTAATATATAAAGTTGAATTTTTAAATATTTTTTAAAATTCTGTGTGCGACAGCGAACGGACAACCCCGTGATTACATAGTAACAAAGCAAAAAAAATATAATTGATCGCCATAGTGTTATATGTCTAAAGTGCTCATCATCTAAATTAGTGGTTTAAAAAATGAATATTGAAGGTGTTATAAAACAAGCTTCATTTTCCGAACTTATAGTGTTAATTGACGGCATGTGCATTAAACAAAATTAAAGAAAATGTATCAGCCTTCACAAAAATTCTAAATTGTTTCTGAAAATTATTTTCATTTAGTCCTTTAGCACTAATTACGTCCCTTGATAAATTAGGAAAACACAATTACTTCCCTTTAAAAACTACATGGGGGGGGGTGTTTCCTTTTATTACTTTGTTTTGGTGTTGGGAAAAAATAATTAGCGTGGATTGATAAAGTGCAGTGAGGTAAGTAAAACAGATATTTTAAATGCTCCCTTTTATTTATTTTACACTGAACGTACTGTTTACTAAATATTATTTGCAATCAATTACAGTTTACAAGTACAAGCCGCACCTAAATGTCCTCTATGTTTACTTCTTTCCGTTTGCTAAATTAAATCAGGCGCGTCCGCCGACGCCCCGGCAGGGTTCGATTTGGCGCCATAGTCTTTAAATGAATCGATTTTGAGTTGTTGTTTGCGTTTGCTTTTTTTGTTTGTGTTTTTTTTTGGATGTGGGTTTGTTTTCATTTGTTTTCTTTGTGTTTGTAGTTGGGTTTGCGTTTTCATTTGTGTCATTGTTATGTTTGCGGGTGTTTTGTTTTGGTTTGTTGTGGTTAGGGTGGGCAATGCCGGGTATATGCTGATTACTAAACACGCATGCCATGGTCCTTTACAGATAGGTTTTTCACAGAGGCCAGTGCAGGGCTTGGTCGGCTAGTATTATAATGGACACCAGCGAGTTGACGAGATTCCTTCCATAATGTTGACATGGAATAAAAACGTGCTTTTTAGATTTAGACCGTAAAAAAAAAAAAAAAAAAAAAAAAAACTTAAGCCTAAAATTAATTTAGAAATTTAATACATTTCTATTTATTTTCATCAAGCCTAAGTTATAACCGGATGTTTAACTTTCGTAAGACAAATATTGATTGGCTGTACAGTAACTTAGTGATCGATAACTATTTGTTAACAAAACTTTGCAGATCAAGTTTTTAAATAACAATGCAAATTTAAACCCCATGACCTAGTTTTTTCTATTTTTAGCTTAAAATGTGTACAATAAAATTTATGGTGGCCTATCGAATAGCAGGATGACATTGTTTGTTTATGTCGCCATTACACGTGAAAACCAAATTGTTTTTGCTTTTTTTTTTATTTTTTATTTAGTTACCGAAAATGTTAATAAACATCAGTCATGAGATACATCCAATCTTTAGTAAAGTCCGAAAAAACCAGACAGGCAGGATTTTATAACCATATTATGCATTATTAATTGTAACTATGCCGTGCATGATTTTTAAATTAATTTATGGACCTCTCAAATACTGACAAATACCTTTGTTGAGACTTTTCTCGCTGGCGTCCATTGGAGGCCTATTGTGAACATGCTGACTCACAGACATGCCTACCATCCAGCCCAAAGTGGAATTGTTTCATTAAATGAAAAAAATCGTGTCTCGTTCCGAAATTATGTTGTCGTTGAAGTTTGTTCTGCTAAATTTAGAGGCTAAATCAACAAAATAAAAATAAATTTAAAAATTAGAAATTCAAAAGTCAAATTTTAAAAAGAGCGGAAAAAAGTTCAATAATTTCCCTTTGCATCGCACTTCCGTTTCCTTATTAACTAGTTATACCGCGTTTACACTTGCGACATGTTTACTATACATTTCTAAAAAAAAAACTTCGCCATAGGGCCTAAGTTAAAATAGGGGAGCCTACTCACTTTATTGCGAAGTTTTTTTTTCTAACCATGTATAGTATACATGTCGCAAGTGTAAACGCGGTTTTACACTTACTTGACTTTCTGCACGTATGTGGAAAATGTCGGCTGCTGAGAATAGGCCAATCATTTGTTTTCATTTAGGGCTTAGGTGACTTTTTAAAAAGACACACGATTTTTTTTTTCATCTATTTTGAGAAGTTTGTCATTTCGAATTCGTTTAGCATTTGTAATCGTAAATTGATGGGGCTTTCTTCTACAGATTAGAATTTTTAGATTTAGAAAATCTATAATAAAATAATAATTAATAATTGTAAATTATGTAAATTGTACATTCAAGTAGAAAATAAAATAGATTCTAGATCTAGATCTAGACGTCTAGATCTAGATTCTAGAATCTACATACATAGATCTAGATCTACATTCAATTAATTTAAAATAATTTGGTAATCTATCGTTATAGGTAGATCTAGATCTACGTAAAATCGCCCGCGGCTAGAAATCTAGTAATGTACCAAAAAGTTAACTCATTGTCAAGGCTTTAACAGTTAATAGAAATAGAAGTATATTCTATTTATTGTGATATATTTATTTAATATTTGTCAAACACAGATACATGAATAATATTAATAAACCTAAGTCTAAGTCAATAGCTAAATAAAAATAGGCCATAGGCTACTATTATACTATAGGCCAGGAATTAACTTTAAACAGCAGTGTTTGCTAGCAAGATTTGCTGTATCTATTATATAACAGCAGCCATTTGGAGTTGCTGCCCCTGAATCTCGCGCAATAAGTTAACCAAAAAAAACTTAAACAAGAAGGCTGCTATAGTAAATGAACATGGTTGCATCTGTTGGAAACATCGCTAGATTTCTAGTCTTCAATTATTACTGAAAAGTTTTAATTCAATTGTTTAAAAACAGGTACATAAATGAAACAAGGAAACATTTTTGTATTTTTCAAAACATAAATCCTCCTCAAAATGTGAAATTATTATTAAAATTTAAGGGGTCACCTGTTTTTCACAATTTTACGTACCTAAAACAATAGATTACCAATAATTTAAAATATTGAGTGGGAAATACGAGAATCCAATGAGTGAGATGAATATAAAATCCTCAAAACTACAATATAATTGAATATAAATATAATATTAATTAGGCCTAATAATCATGGGATAACTGTTGTTAGGGTAATTAAAATTGGCAGAGGCTAGTAATGTGAAAAAATATGACTAGGGCTTAATTATTATAAATAAATTATTATGGTGACTTTATTAGTACAAGTAATCTTTATTTATAATTTATATATTAATATTAAATTGTGATATATTTGTGTCAAATACAGGCCAACTAATAGATCTAGCCTCTGCCAATTTTACATGCCTAAAACGATAGATTACCAAATAAGGATATACACTTGGCCTAATCCTAAAATATAGATCAATATATAGGCCTATAATTTGTATTTATTGAATCAATAATAATTGATCTATCAATCTGCATCTATCAATTTGTATCTCTGAATTAAGTCCATGGTATGACTCGGTAGCCTTGACTAGACTATACTCTAGGGCCCTAATAATAGACATATATAGATTCTGGGAGATTCTATATATAGTCTAATAGTAGATCTATATTATTATTACTATTATTATTATTAGTCTATCATACACTTAGAACCTTAGATTATAGTTTCAATTACGAGTGCCCACTTACTAAAAGTAAAAATAAATAAAATATGTCACATGACACCCTTGAACATTAGATTTTGTGTATTGCCTTCTATACACTAGTTACTAGTAGATCTACTCTACTTTACATAGTTGAAGTTGATTGGAAAGCTAGTTAGTTAAAGAATCCTAAATTTAAGATTGTTGTAGCATCAACTACTCTAATTATTATACTTAGGCTAACTAGGCCTGTAGATCTATATATAGTGTAAATTTAGTGTTAATTATTAGATCAAACCTTTAGTTTTATAACATCTAAAGTTATGGTTTTATTATATAGTGGGCAGTACATTTAAAAAAAAATGTAAGTGGAAATTAAGCATTAGGGCCCATATAGATATTTATATATGGGTAGAAAACTAGCAATAGGATATCAATATAACTATAATAAAGCACATATTTTTTACTCAAGTTAATCTTTGTAAGTATATTAACTGTTCCTACTTTTGGTCACCTTGAACTAGGGAACAAAAGAAAATCACAAATAAAACAGACTTTAATACTAGAACATAGGCCCTACACTATGCTAAATGAAAATAACACCGCATTTGATATCTGGATACTGGAACACATTAAAATTGACAAATGCCAGAATACAGTGATGACTGTAAACTATTGTAATGTAACTGCCTCCATTAACACTGTAGAGGCAAGGTTTATGTGTATACTTGTATCTGAAACAAGTGACTAGGCTGGCCACATGAAGAATGGACAGATATGCTTACTAGGTTAACAAGTATACCACAATTACTTTCATTTCCACTACACTACAACAATAGTTGTTGTCCTCTAGAACGTTGTCAAACAGTTGTCGTCCAGACAGGTTTTGCTCTCAAGACAGTTGCACCTATATGAACTTGTAGTTCTAGTGGTGGTGATGTTTCTATTGGGCTATTTTTCTTGGGTTTGTAGTCAGGGTCACAATCAAAAGTTGTTGGGTTTAGGGTTACATTCTTGTCTTAACCTTCTATGTGCCAGTGTGTCCTAACTCTGTTGTTTTGGACCCTAGTGGCAGAGGTGGCCAACAAAGTAATCTGGGACTGCATTGTGGACGACCCCATCCTTTTTCTCAGGCATTTCTTGGAGAAGTTAACAGTTAAAGACAGACAGGTGAGTCCTGTATTGTTGCATGTATGTGAGGACAAACTGAGATCAAATTGTTCAGTCTTTTCCATTTCAGGAAATTTTCCATCAAACAATATTGGAAATTTTTAAAAATCTTTTATCTTTTCCACTAATCTGTTTTTTCTGTTTTAACAGATGTAAAAAGGCTTATTTATTTGGTCTATTTTATTCAACAATTATATGTAAGGTTAAAAGAAAAGTCAGTAATTTAGTTTTAGAAATAAAACTTTTTCACGTTGTCCTTATTTTCCTACGAACAAAAAGGCTCCTCTTTAGTGATTTTGCTCATTTTGTTCCCCAATGCAAGCACATTCAGTTACTGATCTACATCATTCTGGTGAGGGGAAAAGACGATTATTTTTCTACGACATGTTAATTTACTGTGACAGTGTGAATGTGTTACGAGTGATTATGCAGACACTACCACTGGATTTTGCCCATAGACGTTGGATGAAAATTGTTTATTGTTGTCATTTTTATGACATTTGTGTTGTGACGTTTTTTGTGGTTATTAATGTTGGTGGGTAAAATTCGGCTAATTAACACATTGTCTTCTCTAGACAGCTGCTAGGCTGTAATATAGTCTACTTCACTTTTTTTAGGATAGTGCAAGGATGCCACTTGTTTCTGTATTTTTACGGAGTTTTTTTTATTTTTTAAAGGACTACTTTTTTTACTCAATTTTACAGACACTTCTGCACCATGTGCCTCCATACCTTACGCCACACTTACCACTTTTGGCCTACAACACAAGCAAGCACTGTTATTTAAATATCCAATTTTAATCATCTTAAGTTGTGCCACAAAATAAAGTTGTAGGCCCAATATGATTTGGTTACACTACATAATCTAACAGGGCCTAGATCTCATAGTTTTCAAACTTATGTTTAAAAGAAACCTTTAAAATGAAATACCATAAATTGTTTGAGGAATTTGCCGCCTCAATTACATCTCTGAATATAAGCTCATATAAAAAAGGTGAGCCGACTCTGACAGCCCCAACCCTTTTTTTCTCTCTTGTCCCATGGAATGAGTGGGTCTTGTTGAGTCGGTAAGACCAGTGTTTCTTTCAGACATCTTTCACATGGAGGGGGGAGGGGCATATCCCCACCCCCTTGAAGAGATGCCTAAAAGAAACTGGGTCAGTCGTGTCATGTGATTACTGTCTGGTGGGTGTAAGAAGTGTCATCTGATTACAAATGTTCAAACAAATGTGTGCATATATGATGTTGGGCTCAAGTTAGATCTCTCGTTGTTGTAGTTGTACCCACTTTTGATCTGTTATTGCAGGAAGAGCTGATGTTCCTCCTGCGCAAGTTGATCCTCTACTTCCCTCAGATGCCAGCCCAAGCTGCCCATTCCATCTTTAACTACCTGGTCAGTCTGTCCACTAGTCCATGTGTTGTCCATGTGTTGGTCAGTGTTGCCTGAATCTCCTCTGACCAAGTTGTATTTTCTGCAGATTGGGTACATCATGTTCTATGTGAGAACCCCATGTGAGGGAGGACAAGATGCTATCTCTGGAGCCTTGTCACTGCTGTGGCTGGTAGGTTTTTTTTTTACTACTAGTGGCTAGGTTTGAAACATTTGGTGGGCAGGTTTAATACATTTGATGGGCTGGTTTTATACATTTGGTGGGCAGGTTTAATAAATTTGGTGGGCAGGTTTAATACATTTGGTGGGCTGGTTTAATACATTTGGTGGGCTTGTTTAATACATTTGGTGGGCTGGTTTAATACATCTGGTGGGCTGGTTTAATACATCTGGTGGGCTGGTTTAATACATCTGGTGGGCAGGTTTAATACATCTGGTGGGCTGGTTTAATACATCTGGTGGGCTGGTTTTATACATTTGGTGGGCAGGTTTAATAAATTTGGTGGGCAGGTTTAATACATTTGGTGGGCTGGTTTAATACATCTGGTGGGCTGGTTTAATACATCTGGTGGGCTGGTTTAATACATCTGGTGGGCTGGTTTAATACATCTGGTGGGCTGGTTTAATACATCTGGTGGGCTGGTTTGATACATCTGGTGGGCTGGTTTAATACATCTGGTGGGCAGGTTTAATACATCTGGTGGGCTGGTTTAATACATTTGGTGGGCAGGTTTAATACAATTGGTGGGCTGGTTTAATACATCTGGTGGGCTGGTTTAATACATCTGGTGGGCAGGTTTAATACATCTGGTGGGCAGGTTTAATAAATTTGGTGGGCAGGTTTGATACATTTGGTGGGCTGGTTTAATACATCTGGTGGGCTGGTTTAATACATCTGGTGGGCTGGTTTAATACATCTGGTGGGCTGGTTTGATACATCTGGTGGGCAGGTTTAATACATTTGGTGGGCTGGTTTGATACATCTGGTGGGCTGGTTTAATACATTTGGTGGGCAGGTTTAATACATTTGGTGGGCAGGTTTAATACATTTGGTGGGCAGGTTTAATACATTTGGTGGGCTGGTTTAATACATCTGGTGGGCTGGTTTAATACATTTGGTGGGCAGGTTTAATAAATTTGGTGGGCAGGTTTAATACATTTGGTGGGCAGGTTTGATACATTTGGTGGGCAGGTTTAATACATCTGGTGGGCTGGTTTAATACATCTGGTGGGCAGGTTTAATACATCTGATGGGCTGGTTTACTATATCTGGTGGGCTGGTTTAATACATCTGGTGGGCAGGTTTAATACATCTGGTGGGCTGGTTTAATACATTTGGTGGGCAGGTTTAATACAATTGGTGGGCTGGTTTAATACATCTGGTGGGCAGGTTTAATACATCTGGTGGGCAGGTTTAATACATTTGGTGGGCAGGTTTAATACATCTGGTGGGCAGGTTTAATACATTTGGTGGGCTGGTTTAATACATCTGGTGGGCAGGTTTAATACATCTGGTGGGCAGGTCTGATACATCTGGTGGGCAGGTCTGATACATCTGGTGGGCTGGTTTAATACATTTGGTGGGCTGGTTTAATACAATTGGTGGGCTGGTTTAATACATCTGGTGGGCTGGTTTAATACATCTGGTGGGCAGGTTTAATACATCTGGTGGGCTGGTTTAATACATCTGGTGGGCAGGTTTAATACATTTGGTGGGCAGGTTTAATACATCTGGTGGGCTGGTTTAATACATCTGGTGGGCTGGTTTAATACATTTGGTGGGCTGGTTTAATACATCTGGTGGGCAGGTTTAATACATCTGGTGGGCAGGTCTGATACATCTGGTGGGCAGGTCTGATACATTTGGTGGGCTGGTTTAATACATTTGGTGGGCTGGTTTAATACAATTGGTGGGCTGGTTTAATACATCTGGTGGGCTGGTTTAATACATCTGGTGGGCAGGTTTAATACATCTGGTGGGCTGGTTTAATACATCTGGTGGGCAGGTTTAATACATTTGGTGGGCAGGTTTAATACATCTGGTGGGCTGGTTTAATACATCTGGTGGGCAGGTTTAATACATTTGGTGGGCTGGTTTAATACATCTGGTGGGCAGGTTTAATACATCTGGTGGGCTGGTTTAATACATTTGGTGGGCTGGTTTAATACATCTGGTGGGCTGGTTTAATACATCTGGTGGGCTGGTTTGATACATCTGATGGGCTGGTTTACTATATCTGGTGGGCTGGTTTAATACATCTGGTGGGCTGGTTTAATACATCTGGTGGGCTGGTTTAATACATTTGGTGGGCTGGTTTAATACATTTGGTGGGCAGGTTTAATACATCTGGTGGGCTGGTTTAATACATTTGGTGGGCTGGTTTAATACATTTGGTGGGCTGGTTTAATACATCTGGTGGGCAGGTTTAATACATTTGGTGGGCTGGTTTAATACATCTGATGGGCTGGTTTAATACATCTGGTGGGCTGGTTTAATACATCTGGTGGGCAGGTTTAATACATTTGGTGGGCTGGTTTAATACATCTGGTGGGCAGGTTTAATACATTTGGTGGGCTGGTTTAATACATCTGGTGGGCTGGTTTAATACATCTGGTGGGCTGGTTTAATACATCTGGTGGGCTGGTTTAATACATCTGGTGGGCAGGTTTAATACATCTGGTGGGCTGGTTTAATACATCTGGTGGGCAGGTTTAATACATCTGATGGGCTGGTTTACTATATCTGATGGGCTGGTTTAATACATCTGGTGGGCTGGTTTAATACATCTGGTGGGCTGGTTTAATACATTTGGTGGGCAGGTCTGATACATCTGGTGGGCAGGTCTGATACATCTGGTGGGCTGGTGTGATACATTTGGTGGGCTGGTTTAATACATTTGATGGGCTGGTTTAATACATCTGGTGGGCAGGTCTGATACATCTGGTGGGCTGGTGTGATACATTTGGTGGGCTGGTTTAATACATTTGGTGGGCAGGTTTAATACATCTGGTGGGCAGGTCTGATACATCTGGTGGGCTGGTGTGATACATTTGGTGGGCTGGTTTAATACATTTGATGGGCTGGTTTAATACATCTGGTGGGCTGGTTTAATACATTTGATGGGCAGGTTTGATACATCTGGTGGGCAGGTTTAATACATCTGGTGGGCTGGTTTAATACATTTGGTGGGCTGGTTTAATACATCTGGTGGGCAGGTTTAATACATTTGATGGGCAGGTTTAATACATCTGGTGGGCTGGTTTAATACATCTGGTGGGCAGGTTTAATACATTTGGTGGGCAGGTTTAATACATTTGGTGGGCTGGGTTAATACATCTGGTGGGCTGGTTTAATACATTTGGTGGGCTGGTTTAATACATTTGGTGGGCAGGTTTAATACATTTGGTGGGCTGGGTTAATACATCTGGTGGGCAGGTTTAATACATCTGATGGGCTGGTTTACTATATCTGGTGGGCTGGTTTAATACATTTGGTGGGCTGGTTTAATACATCTGGTGGGCTGGTTTAATACATTTGGTGGGCTGGGTTAATACATCTGGTGGGCTCGTTTTATACATTTGGTGGGCTGGTTTAATACATTTGGTGGGCAGGTCTGATACATCTGGTGGGCAGGTTTGATACATCTGATGGGCTGGTTTACTATATCTGGTGGGCTGGTTTAATACATCTGGTGGGCTGGTTTAATACATTTGGTGGGCTGGTTTAATACATTTGGTGGGCTGGTTTAATACATCTGGTGGGCAGGTTTAATACATTTGATGGGCAGGTTTAATTCATTTGATGGGCTGGTTTAATACATTTGATGGGCTGGTTTAATACATCTGGTGGGCTGGTTTAATACATCTGGTGGGCTGGTTTAACACATCTGGTGGGCAGGTTTAATACATTTGATGGGCTGGTTTAATACATCTGGTGGGCTGGTTTAATACATTTGGTGGGCAGGTTTAATACATCTGGTGGGCTGGTTTAATACATCTGGTGGGCTGGTTTAATACATTTGGTGGGCTGGTTTAATACATTTGGTGGGCAGGTCTGATACATCTGGTGGGCTTGTTTAATACATCTGGTGGGCTGGTTTAATACATCTGGTGGGCTGGTTTAATACATCTGGTGGGCTGGTTTAATACATCTGGTGGGCTGGTTTAATACATCTGGTGGGCTGGTTTGATACATCTGGTGGGCAGGTTTAATTCATTTGGTGGGCAGGTCTGATACATCTGGTGGGCTTGTTTAATACATCTGGTGGGCTGGTTTAATACATCTGGTGGGCTGGTTTAATACATCTGGTGGGCTGGTTTAATACATCTGGTGGGCAGGTCTGATACATCTGGTGGGCTGGGTTAATACATCTGGTGGGCTGGTTTAATACATCTGGTGGGCTGGTTTAATACATCTGGTGGGCTGGTTTAATACATCTGGTGGGCTGGTTTGATACATCTGGTGGGCAGGTTTAATACATTTGGTGGGCTGGTTTAATACATTTGGTGGGCTGGTTTGATACATCTGGTGGGCTGGTTTAATACATCTGGTGGGCTGGTTTAATACATCTGGTGGGCTGGTTTAATACATTTGGTGGGCAGGTTTAATACATCTGGTGGGCTGGTTTAATACATTTGATGGGCAGGTTTAATACATCTGGTGGGCAGGTTTAATACATCTGATGGGCTGGTTTAATACATCTGGTGGGCTGGTTTAATACATCTGGTGGGCAGGTTTAATACATCTGATGGGCTGGTTTACTATATCTGGTGGGCTGGTTTAATACATCTGATGGGCAGGTTTAATACATCTGGTGGGCTGGTTTAATACATCTGGTGGGCTGGTTTAATACATCTGGTGGGCTGGTTTAATACATTTGGTGGGCTGGTTTAATACATTTGGTGGGCTGGGTTAAAACATCTGGTGGGCAGGTTTAATACATTTGGTGGGCTGGGTTAATACATCTGGTGGGCTGGTTTAATACATCTGGTGGGCTGGTTTAATACATCTGGTGGGCAGGTTTAATACATCTGGTGGGCTGGTTTAATACATCTGGTGGGCAGGTTTAATACATCTGATGGGCTGGTTTACTATATCTGGTGGGCTGGTTTAATACATTTGGTGGGCTGGTTTAATACATCTGGTGGGCTGGTTTAATACATTTGGTGGGCTGGGTTAAAACATCTGGTGGGCAGGTTTAATACATTTGGTGGGCTGGGTTAATACATCTGGTGGGCTGGTTTAATACATTTGGTGGGCTGGGTTAATACATCTGGTGGGCAGGTTTGATACATCTGGTGGGCAGGTTTAATACATTTGATGGGCAGGTTTAATACATCTGGTGGGCTGGTTTACTACATCTGGTGGGCTGGTTTAATACATGTGGTGGGCTGGTTTAATACATTTGGTGGGCTGGGTTAAAACATCTGGTGGGCAGGTTTAATACATTTGGTGGGCTGGGTTAATACATCTGGTGGGCTGGTTTAATACATTTGGTGGGCTGGGTTAATACATCTGGTGGGCAGGTTTAATACATTTGATAGGTGGTCTCCCACTTGTGGGTAGGTTTTCCAATTTAAAGCTAATTTTGTCCTGTCAGTGTATCCCCAGTGTTGAGGGCATCTACTTCAAAGATCTGAAACAGACATTAAAGAAAGAACAATGTGATGTAAGTACCAGTTGCTGCTCTGGTTGTACCATGCTAATGCATGTGCTGGTCTCACCTCTAGCCTTACCTGCTGGTGTGTGTGTGTGTGAAGACATTGAATTAATCTCACCTGTATCTGACCTCTAGCCTTACCTGCTGGTGTGTGTGTGTGTATGAAGACATTGAATTAATCTCACCTGTATCTGACCTCTAGCCTTACCTGCTGGTGTGTGTGTGTGAAGACATTGAATTAATCTCACCTGTATCTCACCTCTAGCCTTACCTGCTGGTGTGTGTGTGAAGACATTGAATTAATCTCACCTGTATCTGACCTCTACACTTACCTGCTGGTGTGTGTGTGTGTGTGAAGACATTGAATTAATCTCACCTGTATCTGACCTCTACACTTACCTGCTGGTGTGTGTGTGTATGAAGACATTGAATTAATCTCACCTGTATCTGACCTCTACCCTTACCTGCTGGTGTGTGTGTGTGTGTGAAGACATTGAATTAATCTCACCTGTATCTGACCTCTACACTTACCTGCTGGTGTGTGTATGTGTGTGTGTATGAAGACATTGAATTAATCTCACCTGTATCTGACCTCTACACTTACCTGCTGGTGTGTGTGTGTGTGTATGAAGACATTGAATTAATCTCACCTGTATCTCACCTCTAGCCTTACCTGCTGGTGTGTGTGTGTGAAGACATTGAATTAATCTCACCTGTATCTGACCTCTACCCTTACCTGCTGGTGTGTGTGTGTGTGTGTGAAGACATTGAATTAATCTCACCTGTATCTCACCTCTAGCCTTACCTGCTGGTGTGTGTGTGTGAAGACATTGAATTAATCTCACCTGTATCTCACCTCTACCCTTACCTGCTGGTGTGTGTGTGTATGTGTGAAGACATTGAATTAATCTCACCTGTATCTCACCTCTAGCCTTACCTGCTGGTGTGTGTGTGTGAAAACATTGAATTAATCTCACCTGTATCTCACCTCTAGCCTTACCTGCTGGTGTGTGTGTGAAGACATTGAATTAATCTCACCTGTATCTCACCTCTAGCCTTACCTGCTGGTGTGTGTGTGAAGACATTGAATTAATCTCACCTGTATCTCACCTCTAGCCTTACCTGCTGGTGTGTGTGTGTGTATGTGTGAAGACATTGAATTAATCTCACCTGTATCTCACCTCTAGTCCTACTTGCTGGAGTGTGTGTGTGTGTGTGAAGACATTGAATTAATCTCACCTGTATCTCACCTCTAGCCTTACCTGCTAGTGTGTGTGTGAAGACATTGAATTAATCTCACCTGTATCTCACCTCTACCCTTACCTGCTGGTGTGTGTGTGTGTATGAAGACATTGAATTAATCTCACCTGTATCTCACCTCTAGCCTTACCTGCTGGTGTGTGTGTGTGTGTGAAGACATTGAATTAATCTCACCTGTATCTCACCTCTACCCTTACCTGCTGGTGTGTGTGTGTGTGTGTGTGAAGACATTGAATTAATCTCACCTGTATCTCACCTCTAGCCTTACCTGCTGGTGTGTGTGTGTGAAGACATTGAATTAATCTCACCTGTATCTCACCTCTACCCTTACCTGCTGGTGTGTGTGTGTATGTGTGAAGACATTGAATTAACCTCACCTGTATCTCACCTCTAGCCTTACCTGCTGGTGTGTGTGTGTGAAAACATTGAATTAATCTCACCTGTATCTCACCTCTAGCCTTACCTGCTGGTGTGTGTGTGAAGACATTGAATTAATCTCACCTGTATCTCACCTCTAGCCTTACCTGCTGGTGTGTGTGTGTGTATGTGTGAAGACATTGAATTAATCTCACCTGTATCTCACCTCTAGTCCTACTTGCTGGAGTGTGTGTGTGTGTGTGAAGACATTGAATTAATCTCACCTGTATCTCACCTCTAGCCTTACCTGCTAGTGTGTGTGTGAAGACATTGAATTAATCTCACCTGTATCTCACCTCTACCCTTACCTGCTGGTGTGTGTGTGTGTATGAAGACATTGAATTAATCTCACCTGTATCTCACCTCTAGCCTTACCTGCTGGTGTGTGTGTGTGTGTGTAGACATTGAATTAATCTCACCTGTATCTCACCTCTACCCTTACCTGCTGGTGTGTGTGTGTGAAGACATTGAATTAATCTCACCTGTATCTGACCTCTAGCCTTACCTGCTGGTGTGTGTGTGAAGACATTGAATTAATCTCACCTGTATCTCACCTCTAGCCTTACCTGCTGGTGTGTGTGTGTGAAGACATTGAATTAATCTCACCTGTATCTCACCTCTAGCCTTACCTGCTGGTGTGTGTGTGAAGACATTGAATTAATCTCACCTGTACCTCACCTCTAGCCTTACCTGCTGGTGTGTGTATGTGTGAAGACATTGAATTAATCTCACCTGTATCTCACCTCTAGCCCTACTTGCTGGAGTGTGTGTGTGAAGACATTGAATTAATCTCACCTGTATCTCACCTCTAGCCTAACCTGCTAGTGTGTGTGTGAAGACATTGAATTAATCTCACCTGTATCTCACCTCTACCCTTACCTGCTGGTGTGTGTGTGTGTATGAAGACATTGAATTAATCTCACCTGTATCTCACCTCTAGCCTTACCTGCTGGTGTGTGTGTGTGTGTGAAGACATTGAATTAATCTCACCTGTATCTCACCTCTACCCTTACCTGCTGGTGTGTGTGTGAAGACATTGAATTAATCTCACCTGTATCTGACCTCTACACTTACCTGCTGGTGTGTGTATGTGTGTGTGTATGAAGACATTGAATTAATCTCACCTGTATCTGACCTCTACACTTACCTGCTGGTGTGTGTGTGTGTGAAGACATTGAATTAATCTCACCTGTATCTCACCTCTAGCCTTACCTGCTGGTGTGTGTGTGTGAAGACATTGAATTAATCTCACCTGTATCTCACCTCTAGCCTTACCTGCTGGTGTGTGTGTGTGTGTGAAAACATTGAATTAATCTCACCTGTATCTCACCTCTAGCCTTACCTGCTGGTGTGTGTGTGAAGACATTGAATTAATCTCACCTGTATCTCACCTCTAGCCTTACCTGCTGGTGTGTGTGTGTGTGTGTATGTGTGAAGACATTGAATTAATCTCACCTGTATCTCACCTCTAGTCCTACTTGCTGGAGTGTGTGTGAAGACATTGAATTAATCTCACCTGTATCTCACCTCTACCCTTACCTGCTGGAGTGTGTGTGTGAAGACATTGAATTAATCTCACCTGTATCTCACCTCTAGCCTTACCTGCTGGTGTGTGTGTGTGTGTGAAGACATTGAATTAATCTCACCTGTATCTCACCTCTACCCTTACCTGCTGGTGTGTGTGTGTGTGTGAAGACATTGAATTAATCTCACCTGTATCTCACCTCTAGCCTTACCTGCTGGTGTGTGTGTGTGAAGACATTGAATTAATCTCACCTGTATCTCACCTCTACCCTTACCTGCTGGTGTGTGTGTGTATGTGTGAAGACATTGAATTAATCTCACCTGTATCTCACCTCTAGCCTTACCTGCTGGTGTGTGTGTGTGAAAACATTGAATTAATCTCACCTGTATCTCACCTCTAGCCTTACCTGCTGGTGTGTGTGTGTGTGTATGTGTGAAGACATTGAATTAATCTCACCTGTATCTCACCTCTAGTCCTACTTGCTGGAGTGTGTGTGTGTGTGTGAAGACATTGAATTAATCTCACCTGTATCTCACCTCTAGCCTTACCTGCTGGTGTGTGTGTGTATGAAGACATTGAATTAATCTCACCTGTATCTCACCTCTAGCCTTACCTGCTGGTGTGTGTGTGTGTGTGTAGACATTGAATTAATCTCACCTGTATCTCACCTCTACCCTTACCTGCTGGTGTGTGTGTGTGTGTGTGAAGACATTGAATTAATCTCACCTGTATCTCACCTCTAGCCTTACCTGCTGGTGTGTGTGTGTGTGTGTGAAGACATTGAATTAATCTCACCTGTATCTCACCTCTAGCCTTACCTGCTGGTGTGTGTGTGTGTGTGTGAAGACATTGAATTAATCTCACCTGTATCTGACCTCTAGCCTTACCTGCTGGTGTGTGTGTGAAGACATTGAATTAATCTCACCTGTATCTCACCTCTAGCCTTACCTGCTGGTGTGTGTGTGTGAAGACATTGAATTAATCTCACCTGTATCTCACCTCTAGCCTTACCTGCTGGTGTGTGTGTGAAGACATTGAATTAATCTCACCTGTATCTCACCTCTAGCCTTACCTGCTGGTGTGTGTGTGTGTATGTGTGAAGACATTGAATTAATCTCACCTGTATCTCACCTCTAGCCCTACTTGCTGGAGTGTGTGTGTGAAGACATTGAATTAATCTCACCTGTATCTCACCTCTAGCCTAACCTGCTAGTGTGTGTGTGAAGACATTGAATTAATCTCACCTGTATCTCACCTCTACCCTTACCTGCTGGTGTGTGTGTGTGTATGAAGACATTGAATTAATCTCACCTGTATCTCACCTCTAGCCTTACCTGCTGGTGTGTGTGTGTGTGTGAAGACATTGAATTAATCTCACCTGTATCTCACCTCTACCCTTACCTGCTGGTGTGTGTGTGTGAAGACATTGAATTAATCTCACCTGTATCTCACCTCTAGCCTTACCTGCTGGTGTGTGTGTGAAGACATTGAATTAATCTCACCTGTATCTCACCTCTAGCCTTACCTGCTGGTGTGTGTGTGTGTATGTGTGAAGACATTGAATTAATCTCACCTGTATCTCACCTCTAGCCCTACTTGCTGGAGTGTGTGTGTGAAGACATTGAATTAATCTCACCTGTATCTCACCTCTAGCCTAACCTGCTAGTGTGTGTGTGAAGACATTGAATTAATCTCACCTGTATCTCACCTCTACCCTTACCTGCTGGTGTGTGTGTGTGTGTGAAGACATTGAATTAATCTCACCTGTATCTCACCTCTACCCTTACCTGCTGGTGTGTGTGTGAAGACATTGAATTAATCTCACCTGTATCTGACCTCTACACTTACCTGCTGGTGTGTGTATGTGTGTGTGTATGAAGACATTGAATTAATCTCACCTGTATCTGACCTCTACACTTACCTGCTGGTGTGTGTGTGTGTGTATGAAGACATTGAATTAATCTCACCTGTATCTCACCTCTAGCCTTACCTGCTGGTGTGTGTGTGTGAAGACATTGAATTAATCTCACCTGTATCTCACCTCTAGCCTTACCTGCTGGTGTGTGTGTGAAGACATTGAATTAATCTCACCTGTATCTGACCTCTACACTTACCTGCTGGTGTGTGTATGTGTGTGTGTATGAAGACATTGAATTAATCTCACCTGTATCTGACCTCTACACTTACCTGCTGGTGTGTGTGTGTGTGAAGACATTGAATTAATCTCACCTGTATCTCACCTCTAGCCTTACCTGCTGGTGTGTGTGTGTGAAGACATTGAATTAATCTCACCTGTATCTCACCTCTAGCCTTACCTGCTGGTGTGTGTGTGTGTGTGTGAAAACATTGAATTAATCTCACCTGTATCTCACCTCTAGCCTTACCTGCTGGTGTGTGTGTGAAGACATTGAATTAATCTCACCTGTATCTCACCTCTAGCCTTACCTGCTGGTGTGTGTGTGTGTGTGTATGTGTGAAGACATTGAATTAATCTCACCTGTATCTCACCTCTAGTCCTACTTGCTGGAGTGTGTGTGAAGACATTGAATTAATCTCACCTGTATCTCACCTCTACCCTTACCTGCTGGAGTGTGTGTGTGAAGACATTGAATTAATCTCACCTGTATCTCACCTCTAGCCTTACCTGCTGGTGTGTGTGTGTGTGTGAAGACATTGAATTAATCTCACCTGTATCTCACCTCTACCCTTACCTGCTGGTGTGTGTGTGTGTGTGTGAAGACATTGAATTAATCTCACCTGTATCTCACCTCTAGCCTTACCTGCTGGTGTGTGTGTGTGAAGACATTGAATTAATCTCACCTGTATCTCACCTCTACCCTTACCTGCTGGTGTGTGTGTGTATGTGTGAAGACATTGAATTAATCTCACCTGTATCTCACCTCTAGCCTTACCTGCTGGTGTGTGTGTGTGAAAACATTGAATTAATCTCACCTGTATCTCACCTCTAGCCTTACCTGCTGGTGTGTGTGTGAAGACATTGAATTAATCTCACCTGTATCTCACCTCTAGCCTTACCTGCTGGTGTGTGTGTGTGTATGTGTGAAGACATTGAATTAATCTCACCTGTATCTCACCTCTAGTCCTACTTGCTGGAGTGTGTGTGTGTGTGTGAAGACATTGAATTAATCTCACCTGTATCTCACCTCTAGCCTTACCTGCTGGTGTGTGTGTGTATGAAGACATTGAATTAATCTCACCTGTATCTCACCTCTAGCCTTACCTGCTGGTGTGTGTGTGTGTGTGTGAAGACATTGAATTAATCTCACCTGTATCTCACCTCTAGCCTTACCTGCTGGTGTGTGTGTGTGTGTGTGAAGACATTGAATTAATCTCACCTGTATCTCACCTCTAGCCTTACCTGCTGGTGTGTGTGTGTGTGTGTGAAGACATTGAATTAATCTCACCTGTATCTGACCTCTAGCCTTACCTGCTGGTGTGTGTGTGAAGACATTGAATTAATCTCACCTGTATCTCACCTCTAGCCTTACCTGCTGGTGTGTGTGTGTGAAGACATTGAATTAATCTCACCTGTATCTCACCTCTAGCCTTACCTGCTGGTGTGTGTGTGAAGACATTGAATTAATCTCACCTGTATCTCACCTCTAGCCTTACCTGCTGGTGTGTGTGTGTGTATGTGTGAAGACATTGAATTAATCTCACCTGTATCTCACCTCTAGCCCTACTTGCTGGAGTGTGTGTGTGAAGACATTGAATTAATCTCACCTGTATCTCACCTCTAGCCTAACCTGCTAGTGTGTGTGTGAAGACATTGAATTAATCTCACCTGTATCTCACCTCTACCCTTACCTGCTGGTGTGTGTGTGTGTATGAAGACATTGAATTAATCTCACCTGTATCTCACCTCTAGCCTTACCTGCTGGTGTGTGTGTGTGTGTGAAGACATTGAATTAATCTCACCTGTATCTCACCTCTACCCTTACCTGCTGGTGTGTGTGTGTGAAGACATTGAATTAATCTCACCTGTATCTCACCTCTAGCCTTACCTGCTGGTGTGTGTGTGAAGACATTGAATTAATCTCACCTGTATCTCACCTCTAGCCTTACCTGCTGGTGTGTGTGTGTGTATGTGTGAAGACATTGAATTAATCTCACCTGTATCTCACCTCTAGCCCTACTTGCTGGAGTGTGTGTGTGAAGACATTGAATTAATCTCACCTGTATCTCACCTCTAGCCTAACCTGCTAGTGTGTGTGTGAAGACATTGAATTAATCTCACCTGTATCTCACCTCTACCCTTACCTGCTGGTGTGTGTGTGTGTGTGAAGACATTGAATTAATCTCACCTGTATCTCACCTCTACCCTTACCTGCTGGTGTGTGTGTGAAGACATTGAATTAATCTCACCTGTATCTGACCTCTACACTTACCTGCTGGTGTGTGTATGTGTGTGTGTATGAAGACATTGAATTAATCTCACCTGTATCTGACCTCTACACTTACCTGCTGGTGTGTGTGTGTGTGTATGAAGACATTGAATTAATCTCACCTGTATCTCACCTCTAGCCTTACCTGCTGGTGTGTGTGTGTGTGAAGACATTGAATTAATCTCACCTGTATCTCACCTCTAGCCTTACCTGCTGGTGTGTGTGTGAAGACATTGAATTAATCTCACCTGTATCTCACCTCTAGCCTTACCTGCTGGTGTGTGTGTGTGTGTATGTGTGAAGACATTGAATTAATCTCACCTGTATCTCACCTCTAGTCCTACTTGCTGGAGTGTGTGTGTGTGTGAAGACATTGAATTAATCTCACCTGTATCTCACCTCTAGCCTTACCTGCTGGTGTGTGTGTGAAGACATTGAATTAATCTCACCTGTATCTCACCTCTACCCTTACCTGCTGGTGTGTGTGTGTGAAGACATTGAATTAATCTCACCTGTATCTCACCTCTACCCTTACCTGCTGGTGTGTGTGTGTGTGTATGAAGACATTGAATTAATCTCACCTGTATCTCACCTCTAGCCTTACCTGCTGGTGTGTGTGTGTGTGAAGACATTGAATTAATCTCACCTGTATCTCACCTCTACCCTTACCTGCTGGTGTGTGTGTGTGTGAAGACATTGAATTAATCTCACCTGTATCTCACCTCTAGCCTTACCTGCTGGTGTGTGTGTGTGTGAAGACATTGAATTAATCTCACCTGTATCTCACCTCTACCCTTACCTGCTGGTGTGTGTGTGTGTGTGTGTGTATGAAGACATTGAATTAATCTCACCTGTATCTCACCTCTAGCCTTACCTGCTGGTGTGTGTGTGTGTGAAGACATTGAATTAATCTCACCTGTATCTCACCTCTACCCTTACCTGCTGGTGTGTGTGTGTGAAGACATTGAATTAATCTCACCTGTATCTCACCTCTAGCCTTACCTGCTGGTGTGTGTGTGAAGACATTGAATTAATCTCACCTGTATCTCACCTCTACCCTTACCTGCTGGTGTGTGTGTGTGTGTGTGTGTATGAAGACATTGAATTAATCTCACCTGTATCTCACCTCTAGCCTTACCTGCTGGTGTGTGTGTGTGTGTGTGAAGACATTGAATTAATCTCACCTGTATCTCACCTCTACCCTTACATGCTGGTGTGTGTGTGTGTGAAGACATTGAATTAATCTCACCTGTATCTCACCTCTAGCCTTACCTGCTGGTGTGTGTGTGTGAAGACATTGAATTAATCTCACCTGTATCTCACCTCTAGCCCTACCTGCTGGTGTCTGCCAGTGTAGCTAGTGCCAAGAAGATTTTAGTCCATGGACCAGACCTGTCCAGCATTCCTTCTCAGCTGCCTATACACGAGGTCAGTTGACGTGCTAGCTTTAAAGATGGCATTTACTTTGAGTCGAAGTATTTATCATGTCAGCTAGTTTAACACTTAATGTCATATGGTTGAAGCTGTTTTCTCATGTGGCATTTGATATCATATGGTTGAAGCTGTTTTCTCATGTGGCATTTGATATATGGTTGAAGCTGTTTTCTCATGTGGCATTTGATATCATATGGTTGAAGCTGTTTTCTCATGTGGCATTTGATATCATATGGCTGTTTTCTGCTCCTCAGGACACCCAGTTCTATCAGATTTTGCAGGAAAGTTTGGAATTTTTTAATATCCCTGAAAACCAACATGATTCTCATTTCCTAGTGGATACCAAAACACGTGAGTCACCACTCTCATTTCTTGTTTTGACAACATACGGAGCTCCAGTGAAATGGCAGGACAGAGACTTTGAATGACATCTTTTTATGACAATCTCTGAATGTTAGGTGAAATGACAGGACAGAGACTTTGAATGACAACTTATGACATCTTAATGTCAGGTGAAATGACAGGACATAAACTTTGAATAACATCTTGTTATGACATATTTGAATGTCAGCTGAAATGACAGGACAGAAACTTAAGTATCAACCACTGTCTGTATTTCAGACCAGATCCACAGCAGTAACGCATATGTCAGAGACTTTTATTTCTTCCGCCGCAACTTTTACCCTCAGCTGAGCTTGGTTCATATGAACCCACAGGATGCTGCTCTAGCCCTACAGAGACGGGTGAGCTTCTCTGTCTGTCTGTCTGTTTCATTGTCTGTTGTTTCATTCATTAACTTTTGCTTGTTAATTGTGTCATTTTATTTTGCACGTGAATTATAGGCCTATATATTTTTATGTTACACTTGTTTGAGAAAAATATTTTATACAATAGTTATTGGTCAAAACGCAATGTTCTTTACTACACGTCAAATGATATTAGTGACAAAGCAAAGAAATAGCTAAAAATCCGATACATTTGAAATAACAGGCTACCAATACCTATTGAAGAAGCCAAATTATATACATTATTAGTTAACACAACACCATATTAAATGGACTCACTGATTAAGAGACTTAAATGATTCTGTTAAAAACCCGGCTGTTCAACGGTATGTACGTTGCTTTTTTTTTTTTTTAGGCCGAGAAAATTGTATCCATTTCATAGCATACGTCTAGATAAATAGACCTATAGATCTAAATCAAATTTGAATGAAATAGTTCATTTCTTCTTATTCTAAAATTGGAAGATGATGCCATAAGTATTATGTTCTTTATTGTTGATTTTGTGCATTTTTTTTACAACAATAAATGCTATTCCGGTTGCATAATTAAAAATTGTGTTTCTACATTCCAATATGCCTTTTTTAAATTTCCTTTTTTAAATAAAATTTATTTTATACATTTATAACTTCCACCAAATTATTTTCAACAAAAGTCCGTATATCTTTAAGTTCTCCATATATCGCTGAACATACTGATCACATCGCCTAAACAAAACTTGCAGACAGAGAAAGAGAGAGAAGTGTGCTTATGGGCTTTTATATATTAGGATTGAAGTTCTTTGTTTCATCCGCTGGTTGGTTGTTTACTTAAGTATGGTTTTGTAGAAGGTTTGTTAAGGTATAAGGTTTTTGTTAGATTGGTTGGTTTGTTGCAATGCATGTTAGAAAGGTTATGAAAATAATAGTGGATGATGTACTGATTCTATTTGTACATTTTCCAGGTATTCCTACTCAAGTTTATTGAAGTTGGAAAAGTTTTGTTGACTCAAGCTGTGATGAAGTGTACACCTCCCCACCAGGTCTGTTACACCTCCCCAAAAAAATTTCCTCTTGGGGGAAAAGCTAGTGTGCAAAATGTATTTTCTGTGTGCGCTGTTCTAAAAATCTTATACAAGGATATATTTATTTTACAAAATCGCTGCGCGGCGGCTCAAAACTACTGCGCAACCGTGCAGCTTAGAGGGAAGATTGCTCCCCACCCCCAGGTCTGCTACACCTCCCCACCCCCAGGTCTGCTACACCTCCCCACCCCCAGGTCTGCTACACCTCCCCACCCCCAGGTCTGCTACACCTCCCCACCCCCGGGTCTGCTACACCTCCCCACCCCCAGGTCTGCTACACCTCCCCACCCCCACTTCTGCTACACCTCCCCACCCCCAGGTCTGCTACACCTCCCCACCCCCAGGTCTGCTACACCTCCCCACCCTGGGTCTGCTACACCTCCCCACCCCCAGGTCTGCTACACCTCCCCACCCCCAGGTCTGCTACACCTCCCCACCCCTGGGTCTGCTACACCTCCCCACCCCCAGGTCTGCTACACCTCCCCACCCCCAGGTCTGCTACACCTCCCCACCCCCGGGTCTGCTACACCTCCCCACCCCCAGGTCTGCTACACCTCCCCACCCCCAGGTCTGCTACACCTCCCCACCCCCAGGTCTGCTACACCTCCCCACCCCCAGGTCTGCTACACCTCCCCACCAGGTCTGCTACACCTCCCCACCCCTGGGTCTGCTACACCTCCCCACCCCTGGGTCTGCTACACCTCCCCACCCCCAGGTCTGCTACACCTCCCCACCCCCAGGTCTGCTACACCTCCCCACCCCCAGGTCTGCTACACCTCCCCACCAGGTCTGCTACACCTCCCCACCCCTGGGTCTGCTACACCTCCCCACCCCTGGGTCTGCTACACCTCCCCACCAGGTCTGCTACACCTCCCCACCCCTGGGTCTGCTACACCTCCCCACCCCTGGGTCTGCTACACCTCCCCACCCCCGGGTCTGCTACACCTCCCCACCCCCAGGTCTGCTACACCTCCCCACCCCCAGGTCTGTTACATATCCCAACTAGGTCTGTTACACCTCCCCAGGTCTGCTACACCTCCCCACCCCCAGGTCTGCTACACCTCCCCACCCCCGGGTCTGCTACACCTCCCCACCCCCAGGTCTGCTACACCTCCCCACCCCCAGGTCTGCTACACCTCCCAACCCCCAGGTCTGCTACACCTCCCCACCAGGTCTGCTACACCTCCCCACCCCTGGGTCTGCTACACCTCCCCACCCAGGTCTGCTACACCTCCCCACCAGGTCTGCTACACCTCCCCACCCCCAGGTCTGCTACACCTCCCCACCCCCAGGTCTGCTACACCTCCCCACCCCCAGGTCTACTACACCTCCCCACCCCCAGGTCTGCTACACCTCCCCACCCCTGGGTCTGCTACACCTCCCCACCCCCGGGTCTGCTACACCTCCCCACCCCCAGGTCTGCTACACCTCCCCACCCCCAGGTCTACTACACCTCCCCACCCCCAGGTCTGCTACACCTCCCCACCCCCAGGTCTGCTACACCTCCCCACCCCCAGGTCTGCTACACCTCCCCACCCCCAGGTCTGCTACACCTCCCCACCCAGGTCTGCTACACCTCCCCACCAGGTCTGCTACACCTCCCCACCCCTGGGTCTGCTACACCTCCCCACCCCCACTTCTGCTACACCTCCCCACCCCCACTTCTGCTACACCTCCCCACCCTGGGTCTGCTACACCTCCCCACCCCCAGGTCTGCTACACCTCCCCACCCCCAGGTCTGCTACACCTCCCCACCCCCAGGTCTGCTACACCTCCCCACCCCCAGGTCTGCTACACCTCCCCACCCCCAGGTCTGCTACACCTCCCCACCCCCGGGTCTGCTACACCTCCCCACCCCCAGGTCTGCTACACCTCCCCACCCCCAGGTCTGCTACACCTCCCCACCCCCGGGTCTGCTACACCTCCCCACCCCCGGGTCTGCTACACCTCCCCACCCCCAGGTCTGCTACACCTCCCCACCCCCAGGTCTGCTACACCTCCCCACCCTGGGTCTGTTACACCTCCCCACCCCTGGGTCTGCTACACCTCCCCACCCTGGGTCTGCTACACCTCCCCACCCCCAGGTCTGCTACACCTCCCCACCCCCAGGTCTGCTACACCTCCCCACCCCCAGGTCTGCTACACCTCCCCACCCCCAGGTCTGCTACACCTCCCCACCCCCAGGTCTGCTACACCTCCCCACCCCCAGGTCTGCTACACCTCACCACCCCCAGGTCTGCTACACCTCCCCACCCCTGGGTCTGCTACACCTCCCCACCCCCAGGTCTGCTACACCTCCCCACCCCCCGGGTCTGCTACACCTCCCCACCCCCGGGTCTGCTACACCTCCCCACCCCCAGGTCTGCTACACCTCCCCACCCCCAGGTCTGCTACACCTCCCCACCCCCGGGTCTGCTACACCTCCCCACCCCCGGGTCTGCTACACCTCCCCACCCTGGGTCTGCTACACCTCTCACCCCCAGGTCTGCTACACCTCCCCACCCCCAGGTCTGCTACACCTCCCCACCCCCGGGTCTGCTACACCTCCCCACCCCCAGGTCTGCTACACCTCCCCACCCCCGGGTCTGCTACACCTCCCCACCCCCAGGTCTGCTACACCTCCCCACCCCCAGGTCTGCTACACCTCCCCACCCCCAGGTCTGCTACACCTCCCCAACTAGGTCTGCTACACCTCCCCACCCCCAGGTCTGCTACACCTCCCCACCAGGTCTGCTACACCTCCCCACCCCCGGGTCTGCTACACCTCCCCACCCCCAGGTCTGCTACACCTCCCCACCCCCAGGTCTGCTACACCTCCCCACCCCCAGGTCTGCTACACCTCCCCAACCTGGGTCTGCTACACCTCCCCACCCCCAGGTCTGCTACACCTCCCCACCCCCAGGTCTGCTACACCTCCCCACCCCCAGGTCTGCTACACCTCCCCAACCTGGGTCTGCTACACCTCCCCACCCCCAGGTCTGCTACACCTCCCCACCCCCAGGTCTGCTACACCTCCCCACCCCCAGGTCTGCTATACCTCCCCACCCTGGGTCTGCTACACCTCCCCACCCCCGGGTCTGCTACACCTCCCCACCCCCAGGTCTGCTACACCTCCCCACCCCCAGGTCTGCTACACCTCCCCACCCCCAGGTCTGCTACACCTCCCCACCCTGGGTCTGCTACACCTCCCCACCCCCAGGTCTGCTACACCTCCCCACCCCCAGGTCTGCTACACCTCCCCACCCTGGGTCTGCTACACCTCCCCACCCCCTGGGTCTGCTACACCTCCCCACCCCTGGGTCTGCTACACCTCCCCACCCCCAGGTCTGCTACACCTCCCCACCCCCTGGGTCTGCTACACCTCTCACCCCTGGGTCTGCTACACCTCCCCACCCCCAGGTCTGCTACACCTCCCCACCCTGGGTCTGCTACACCTCCCCACCCTGGGTCTGCTACACCTCCCCACCCCCTGGGTCTGCTACACCTCTCACCCCTGGGTCTGCTACACCTCCCCACCCCCAGGTCTGCTACACCTCCCCACCCCCGGGTCTGCTACACCTCCCCACCCTGGGTCTGCTACACCTCCCCACCCCCAGGTCTGCTACACCTCCCCACCCCCAGGTCTGCTACACCTCCCCACCAGGTCTGCTACACCTCCCCACCCCCGGGTCTGCTACACCTCCCCACCCCCAGGTCTGCTACACCTCCCCACCCCCAGGTCTGCTACACCTCCCCACCCCCGGGTCTGCTACACCTCCCCACCCCCAGGTCTGCTACACCTCCCCACCCCCAGGTCTGCTACACCTCCCCACCCTGGGTCTGCTACACCTCTCACCCCCGGGTCTGCTACACCTCCCCACCCCCAGGTCTGCTACACCTCCCCACCCCCAGGTCTGCTACACCTCCCCACCCCCAGGTCTGCTACACCTCCCCACCCCCAGGTCTGCTACACCTCCCCACCCCTGGGTCTGCTACACCTCCCCACCCCCAGGTCTGCTACACCTCCCCACCCCCGGGTCTGCTACACCTCCCCACCCCCAGGTCTGCTACACCTCCCCACCCCTGGGTCTGCTACACCTCCCCACCCCCAGGTCTGCTACACCTCCCCACCCCCAGGTCTGCTACACCTCCCCACCCCCAGGTCTGCTACACCTCCCCACCCCCAGGTCTGCTACACCTCCCCACCCCCAGGTCTGCTACACCTCACCACCCCCAGGTCTGCTACACCTCCCCACCCTGGGTCTGCTACACCTCCCCACCCCCAGGTCTGCTACACCTCCCCACCCTGGGTCTGCTACACCTCCCCACCCCCAGGTCTGCTACACCTCCCCACCCCCAGGTCTGCTACACCTCCCCACCCCCAGGTCTGCTACACCTCCCCACCCCCAGGTCTGCTACACCTCCCCACCCTGGGTCTGCTACACCTCCCCACCCCCAGGTCTGCTACACCTCCCCACCCCCAGGTCTGCTACACCTCCCCACCCCCAGGTCTGCTACACCTCCCCACCCCCAGGTCTGCTACACCTCCCCACCCCCAGGTCTGCTACACCTCCCCACCCCTGGGTCTGCTACACCTCCCCACCCCCAGGTCTGCTACACCTCCCCACCCCCGGGTCTGCTACACCTCCCCACCCCAGGTCTGCTACACCTCCCCACCCCCAGGTCTGCTACACCTCCCCACCCCCAGGTCTGCTACACCTCCCCACCCCCAGGTCTGCTACACCTCCCCACCCCCAGGTCTGCTACACCTCCCCACCCCCAGGTCTGCTACACCTCACCACCCCCAGGTCTGCTACACCTCCCCACCCTGGGTCTGCTACACCTCCCCACCCCCAGGTCTGCTACACCTCCCCACCCTGGGTCTGCTACACCTCCCCACCCCCAGGTCTGCTACACCTCCCCACCCCCAGGTCTGCTACACCTCCCCACCCCCAGGTCTGCTACACCTCCCCACCCCCAGGTCTGCTACACCTCCCCACCCTGGGTCTGCTACACCTCCCCACCCCCAGGTCTGCTACACCTCCCCACCCCCAGGTCTGCTACACCTCCCCACCCCCAGGTCTGCTACACCTCCCCACCCCCAGGTCTGCTACACCTCCCCACCCCCAGGTCTGCTACACCTCCCCACCCCCAGGTCTGCTACACCTCCCCACCCCCAGGTCTGCTACACCTCCCCACCCTGGGTCTGCTACACCTCCCCACCCCTGGGTCTGCTACACCTCCCCACCCCTGGGTTTTTAATTGTAAATCTAGATCATAATATTGCTAGAGCTGCTATTTTTCAATGTACTTACCTTTAGTTTTCTCATGTTGATTTTGTATTTTAAGTTTTTTTGTTTTGTTTGTAAAACCTCTAACAAAAGTACATTATTTTAACTCTACGGAATGCCGTTCAGTGGCCAGCATCTAACCGGTTATGTTTCTGCATTACAAAATTAACCAAAACTGAAGTATTTATGCTAATAATAGTCCGATACATGATTTTTGTAGGAAAATGGACGTACTTTCGTTTTCTATGCATCAAAACACATGAAAAATAATTCCTATTATATAATTTTCCCAACAGAATCATATTTTTTGCCTTAAAAAATCAACTCTTTATTTTTCTCCTTTAAAACGAAGTAATTATCTTTCTTCAATAAATAATGACTTAAAATTTATAATTGTGTGTAGGGTATTACTATTCATAATAACGATTAAGTTATATCAGTAATGTGTTGGTTTTAAATCAACGGGCAAAAAGATTGTTTTTCCTCAGGGGTATTGAAAGAAATTGAATGAAAAAAAAATTGCAGTGAAACATGAATATTTAGGCAGTGGTCCTAGTCATGTATTCATCTCATTTAGGCAGATTTCCAGGAGTGGCAAATACCCTCTCATTTGGGGGGATGACCTTAGGGCAAGTGTCTTAATTAGTAGATTCAGCCCATAACTAGATTGGATTGGTTTTTATTCTTACAACAAATGTTACTAAGAATGAATCTATCAACTCTGCAAATATGTCTACTGTTAAGGGTTATGATGCTAATTTATCTTCTAAAATCATGAAGTTTTTAGGATAAATATTTGACAAACTACTTGCCCTATTAAATGATATATATCTGACTAACTGCCTGCCCAATTATTGTATATATATTTGACTGTCTGCCCAATTATATAGTACAAGCTGACCCGCGGCGTATCAGATGCCGCTATTTCGTTGTTTTATTTTCTACTTTTCAGTACTTCATAGTTAGTGAATTCGACTAACTGTCTGCCCAATTATATAATACATATATTTGACTAACTGCCTGCCCAATTATATAATACATATATTTGACTAACTGCCTGCCCAATTATATAATACATATATTTGACTAACTGCCTGCCCAATTATAGTATACATGTTTGACTAACTGCCTGTCCAAGTGAGTGATGTATTTCCACTAACCTGCATGCCCTGTGTGAGTACTTCCTGCAGGAAGTAACTCACACAGGGTGCAGGCCTCAGCCTTGTCTGACTGTTTCAGCTACAGAACCATGTGTCCTTCCTACATGAAGAGCTCAGCAAGCTGCCATCATTCCCACGCAAGGCCCTGGAATCAGAGTTTGATATGTACTCAGGTGTTTGGGGGAAGGTAAGTCTACTCAGCTCTTTTGTTACTCTATGTTGGAGGTGAGCTTATTCAGATGTGGGGAAGGTGAGCTTATTCAGATGTGGGGGAGGTGAGCTTATTCAGATGTGGGGGAGGTGAGCTTATTCAGATGTGGGAAGGTGAGCTTATTCAGGTGTGGGGGAGGTGAGCTTATTCAGATGTGGGGGGGGGGGGGGTTAGCTTATTCAGATGTGGGGGAAGTGAGCTTATTCAGGTGTGGGGGGGGAGGTGAGCTTATTCAGGTGTGGGGGGGAGGTGAGCTTATTCAGATGTGGGGGAAGGTGAGCTTATTCAGATGTGGGGGGGGGGTGAGCTTATTCAGGTTTGGGGGAGGTGAGCTTATTCAGATGTGGGGGGGGTGAGCTTATTCAGATGTGGGGGAGGTGAGCTTATTCAGATGTGGGGGAGGTGAGCTTATTCAGATGTGGGGGGGGGAGGAAGGTGAGCTTATTCAGATGTGGGGGAAGGTGAGCCTTATTCAGATGTGGGAAGGTGAGCTTATTCAGGTGTGGGGGGGGGGGGGAGGTGAGCTTATTCAGGTGTGGGGGGGAGGTGAGCTTATTCAAATGTGGGGGGGTGAGCTTATTCAGATGTGGGGGAGGTGAGCTTATTCAGATGTGGGGGGAGGTGAGCTTATTCAGATGTGGAGGAGGTGAGCTTATTCAGATGTGGGGGAGGTGAGCTTATTCAGATGTGGGGGAGGTGAGCTTATTCAGATGTGTGGGGGGGAAGGTGAGCTTATTCAGATGTGGGGGAAGGTGAGCTTATTCAGATGTGGGGGAGGTGAGCCTTATTCAGATGTGGGGGGAAGGTGAGCTTATTCAAAGATGTGGGGGGGGGGAGTTGAGCTTATTCAGGTTTGGGGGGGGGGGGTGAGCCTTATTCAGATGGGGGGAGGTGAGCTTATTCAGATGTGGGGGGAAGGTGAGCTTATTCAAAGATGTGGGGGGGGGGGGGAGGTGAGCTTATTCAGATGTGGGGGAAGGTGAGCTTACTCAGATGTGGTTGAAGGTGAGCCTACTCAGGGTGTGCAAAAACTAGGCATGGTAAAAAATGTCATTCAATATGATAGTTATTTAAAAGAATTAAAATTATTTTTTATCTGTACAGGAGATTTTTGGCATGGATTCTCTGCATAAATATTCCTGGGCAAAGGTTGGTTTTGAAACTTGTAGATATTATATACAACATTGTTTTTTGTAGTAAACCAACAGAAGACACATTGACTAACAGTATGTTGAGGTATGACTTGAAGCTGTGCTGTCAAGTTGTCTTTAATACTAGTCCAGCAGAGCTTTAGCTCAAAATTGACCTCCAGTCACATCTACCCTAGTGTTATTTATCTACTGCTGTCACCTAACCTTCCATGTTTTTTATCTACTGCTGTCACCTAACCTTCCATGTTTTTTATCTACTGCTGGCAGCTGATGAGGACCGTCTTCAACTCCATGTCAAGCACCTTTACCTGGTCCAATGACCTTAACCTTTTCATCAATGTCCTTAATGGGACAATAGTCCTTCAGTTTGAGGACACTGCCATTCTCCGATTCTGTCTAGCTACTCTTATCAACGCTTCACGGCATTTTAAGCACATTTTTGCAACCAATGGGTGGGTTACGACATCTTGCATGCATGTTGCTTGCTGTGATGGGACTCGTGAGCTTGCTATTTTTTCTGTTTGATGATTCATTCCATAGTTGTAATTATATGTAAGTTTGTTTATCCTTTTTCAAACTGCTTTTTAAAGATTGAGTTGCATACCATATCTAGATTTAAAGATTGAGTTGCATACCATATCCAGATTTAAAGTCTCTTGATATTTGCTGCATGTCTGTGAATGTGACTTTTCTTCCTCCTATGTATGTAGACTCCTGCATATGTCATGTCATTAGATAATTAGTTAAACTGTAATTTGATTTGATGGTCGACTTCCATGCCATTTGACACCTAGTTCAAACATGGTTTTTGAGATTTTTCACTGTAAATTATAGTCAATTAAACTTACTTCCTTTTATTTCAGTTGAGAATGAAACAAAAGAAGTTATTTTAGGCTATTAGATAACTGTGACATGCTTTTATTTTGTATATGGTGTATGTAGCACTTTTGTTGTTTAACTATATTTTTTTTTTTTTTTTTTTGCTAAACAACCTTTTATAATTGTTAAAATCAGTTTGCCACAAATCTAACAGACTCTTATGATACAAGTTGTATATAAAAATTGGTGGAAAAAAGTTTCTGTAATTAGATTCTTAAAATTTTCAAATACATTGCTTAACCTTAGATCAAATAGTTTTGACAGCTTGATCTAATCACAGCTATTGTACTCAATGGAAACATCTGCTGTCCCCAGATTTTTGTACATCATGCCCACTCTGCTGAGGGTTTACAGTAACAACCAACCCAACCCTGTCCTCAAGCAAGCTATCCACTTTGTCTGCAAACAGTTCTACATCCTGCACCGTAAGCCTTTTATTCTTCAACTCTTTGGCAGCGTGGCAGCCATCTTGGATATGACATGTGCAGCAGGAGGTGTCAAGAACTGCACTAAGGTAGGAAATTATTGACAACACCACCTTAACAGTGGTCTATAGAACTGTATGACAACACCACCTTAACAGTGGTCTATAGAACTGTATGACAACACCACTATAGAACTGTATGACAACACCACCTTAACAGTGGTCTATAGAACTGTATGACACCTTAACAGTGGTCTATAGAACTGTATGACACCTTAACAGTGGTCTATAGAACTGTATGACACCTTAACAGTGGTCTATAGAACTGTAGGACAACACCACCTTAACAGTGGTCTATAGAACTGTATGACACCTTAACAGTGGTCTATAGAACTGTATGACACCTTAACAGTGGTATAGAACTGTATGACACCTTAACAGTGGTCTATAGAACTGTATGACACCTTAACAGTGGTCTATAGAACTGTATGACAACACCACCTTAACAGTGGTCTATAGAACTGTATGACACCTTAACAGTGGTCTATAGAACTGTATGACACCTTAACAGTGGTCTATAGAACTGTATGACAACACCACCTTAACAGTGGCTATAGAACTGTATGACACCTTAACAGTGGTCTATAGAACTGTAGGCCAACACCACCTTAACTGGTCTATAGAACTGTATGACAACACCACTATAGAACTGTATGACAACACCACCTTAACAGTGGCCTATAGAACTGTATGACAACACCACCTTAACAGTGGTCTATAGAACTGTATGACAACACCACCTTAACAGTGGCTATAGAACTGTAGGACAACACCACCTTAACAGTGGCTATAGAACTGTAGGACAACACCACCTTAACAGTGGTCTATAGAACTGTAGGACAACACCACCTTAACAGTGGCCTATAGAACTGTAGGACAACACCACCTTAACAGTGGTCTATAGAACTGTAGGACAACACCACCTTAACTGGTCTATAGAACTGTATGACAACACCACTATAGAACTGTTTGACAACACCACCTTAACAGTGGCCTATAGAACTGTATGACAACACCACCTTAACAGTGGTCTATAGAACTGTATGACAACACCACCTTAACAGTGGTCTATAGAACTGTATGACACCTTAACAGTGGTCTATAGAACTGTATGACAACACCACCTTAACAGTGGTCTATAGAACTGTATGACACCTTAACAGTGGTCTATAGAACTGTATGACAACACCACCTTAACAGTGGCTATAGAACTGTATGACACCTTAACAGTGGTCTATAGAACTGTAGGACAACACCACCTTAACAGTGGCCTATAGAACTGTAGGACAACACCACCTTAACAGTGGTCTATAGAACTGTATGACACCTTAACAGTGGTCTATAGAACTGTATGACAACACCACCTTAACAGTGGTCTATAGAACTGTATGACACCTTAACAGTGGTCTATAGAACTGTATGACACCTTAACAGTGGTCTATAGAACTGTATGACAACACCACCTTAACAGTGGCTATAGAACTGTAGGACAACACCACCTTAACAGTGGTCTATAGAACTGTAGGACAACACCACCTTAACAGTGGCCTATAGAACTGTAGGACAACACCACCTTAACAGTGGTCTATAGAACTGTATGACACCTTAACAGTGGTCTATAGAACTGTATGACAACACCACCTTAACAGTGGTCTATAGAACTGTATGACACCTTAACAGTGGTCTATAGAACTGTATGACACCTTAACAGTGGTCTATAGAACTGTATGACAACACCACCTTAACAGTGGCTATAGAACTGTATGACACCTTAACAGTGGTCTATAGAACTGTAGGCCAACACCACCTTAACTGGTCTATAGAACTGTATGACAACACCACTATAGAACTGTATGACAACACCACCTTAACAGTGGCCTATAGAACTGTATGACAACACCACCTTAACAGTGGTCTATAGAACTGTATGACAACACCACCTTAACAGTGGCTATAGAACTGTAGGACAACACCACCTTAACAGTGGTCTATAGAACTGTAGGACAACACCACCTTAACAGTGGCCTATAGAACTGTAGGACAACACCACCTTAACAGTGGTCTATAGAACTGTATGACAACACCACCTTAACAGTGGCCTATAGAACTGTATGACAACACCACCTTAACAGTGGTCTATAGAACTGTATGACAACACCACTATAGAACTGTATGACAACACCACATTAACAGTGGCCTATAGAACTGTAGGACAACACCACTATAGAACTGTATGACAACACCACCTTAACAGTGGCCTATAGAACTGTATGACAACACCACTATAGAACTGAATGACAACACCACCTATTGAATTGTGTGTGTTTATTTCAGGTCCAGCCCAGCAGCCTGTTTAACTTGCTCCTTGCACTAGAGAAGGACTGCCCTGACCACCTCTGTTGTTTATTTCAGGTCCAGCCCAGCAGCCTGTTTAACTTGCTCCTTGCACTAGAGAAGGACTGCCCTGACCACCTCTGTTGTTTATTTCAGGTCCAGCCCAGCAGCCTGTTTAACTTGCTCCTTGCACTAGAGAAGGACTGCCCTGACCACCTCTGTTGTTTATTTCAGGTCCAGCCCAGCAGCCTGTTTAACTTGCTCCTTGCACTAGAGAAGGACTGCCCTGACCACCTCTGTTGTTTATTTCAGGTCCAGCCCAGCAGCCTGTTTAACTTGCTCCTTGCACTAGAGAAGGACTGCCCTGACCACCTCTGTTGTTTATTTCAGGTCCAGCCCAGCAGCCTGTTTAACTTGCTCCTTGCACTAGAGAAGGACTGCCCTGACCACCTCTGTTGTTTATTTCAGGTCCAGCCCAGCAGCCTGTTTAACTTGCTCCTTGCACTAGACAAGGACTGCCCTGACCACTTCTGTTGTTTATTTCAGGTCCAGCCCAGCAGCCTGTTTAACTTGCTCCTTGCACTAGAGAAGGACTGCCCTGACCACCTCTGTTGTTTATTTCAGGTCCAGCCCAGCAGCCTGTTTAACTTGCTCCTTGCACTAGAGAAGGACTGCCCTGACCACCTCTCTGTCCTTGACCTAGTAATGGGGGATAAACCACTGAAAGCTTTGGTAAACATTTGAACATGGCTATTTATATTTGTCAACTTTATACATTGCTTTTTATGTTTGACAGGGTAATGTATCTTGTCTGATATATTTTTAGAACTTTAATGTTTATTGATAAATTTAACTCATTTGCTACTAATATGACCGAATGTGACATAACCACCGGCCAAACACCCCCACCCACCAAACACCCCCCACCCACCAAACACCCCCCACCCACCATGCAGCCGAACGTGACATGATGCGACCCCCATTGATTCCTCTTTTTTATCGTGTTTCTATCCTATTATTTTCATGCTGAAAATGCTGCTACACTATTTATGCTTACTAAATGTAGTACAAGATTATGCGCGTTTTTTTCCACAACAAAACTGAAGTTTCTAGCATTATTTATTATTTTATACTAAGTTTACTGTTGATTTTCAGAAAAATGTGTATACTATTTCACTTAAACGGTCGCTTTGGCATTATCGTAGTTTTCAGTTTATTTTAAAGAATCAGATTGTTAATTAGATTCTGTATTATGTTAATTATTTAAGGTATTAAAATTAGCAATCAGAATCTATTGTAGATAGACCCCATGGGGTTTTCGGACCACATGGTTGCATCACAAAATTAACTCTTAACAATTAATACTATTAGAAAAACATTAAATTATATATTTTCCTTGAGATAATGCATTTCTTTTTTAATAAGTATATTTTGTGCCTTTTTAATAATTAAAACAATTTCAAAGAAAAGTTGTTGGGGGCTACCTCCCTTAGCTTATGGACAGGGAAGGGTTTTGAGATAGACTTTAGTAGCAAATGAGTTGAGAGTGCAACTGTTGGTCTATTTTCTGAGAGTGCAACTGTTGGCCTATTTTCTGAGAGTGCAACTGTTGGCCTATTTTCTGAGAGTGCAACTGTTGGTCTATTTTCTGAGAGTGCAACTGTTGGCCTATTTTCTGAGAGTGCAACTGTTGGTCTATTTTCTGAGAGTGCAACTGTTGGCCTATTTTCTGAGAGTGCAACTGTTGGCCTATTTTCTGAGAGTGCAACTGTTGGCCTATTTTCTGAGAGTGCAACTGTTGGTCTATTTTCTGAGAGTGCAACTGTTGGTCTTTTTTCTGAGAGTGCAACTGTTGGCCTATTTTCTGAGAGTGCAACTGTTGGTCTATTTTCTGAGAGTGCAACTGTTGGTCTATTTTCTGAGAGTGCAACTGTTGGTCTTTTTTCTGAGAGTGCAACTGTTGGCCTATTTTCTGAGAGTGCAACTGTTGGCCTATTTTCTGAGAGTGCAACTGTTGGTCTATTTTCTGAGAGTGCAACTGTTGGCCTATTTTCTGAGAGTGCAACTGTTGGTCTATTTTCTGAGAGTGCAACTGTTGGCCTATTTTCTGAGAGTGCAACTGTTGGCCTATTTTCTGAGAGTGCAACTGTTGGCCTATTTTCTGAGAGTGCAACTGTTGGTCTATTTTCTGAGAGTGCAACTGTTGGTCTTTTTTCTGAGAGTGCAACTGTTGGCCTATTTTCTGAGAGTGCAACTGTTGGTCTATTTTCTGAGAGTGCAACTGTTGGTCTATTTTCTGAGAGTGCAACTGTTGGTCTTTTTTCTGAGAGTGCAACTGTTGGCCTATTTTCTGAGAGTGCAACTGTTGGCCTATTTTCTGAGAGTGCAACTGTTGGTCTATTTTCTGAGAGTGCAACTGTTGGCCTATTTTCTGAGAGTGCAACTGTTGGTCTATTTTCTAGGACTTCTGCTATGAGAATGATCCTGACACCTTCAACATGATGGACGTGGTCAACATGTGTGTCACTGTCATTGCCTACACACCAGACTCGTTCCGTTCTGGCCAGATGCTGGTAGGAAAGTTTTTTTTGTGTAGGACAGTTATAAAACTGAGTTACTATAGTGACATGTAACAGTTGGTTACTGTAGTGACATGTAACAGTGGGTTACTGTAGTGACATGTAACAGTGGGTTACTGTGGTGACATGTAACAGTGGGTTACTGTAGTGACATGTAACAGTGGGTTACTGTGGTGACATGTAACAGTGGGTTACTGTGGTGACATGTAACAGTGGGTTACTGTGGTGACATGTAACAGTGGGTTACTGTAGTGACATGTAACAATGGGTTACATTAGTGACATGTAACAGTGGGTTACTGTAGTAATGGGTTACTGTAGTGACATTTAACGGTGGGTTACTGTAGTGACATGTAACAATAGGTTACATTAGTGACATGTAACAATGGGTTACATTAGTGACATGTAACAGTGGGTTACTGTGGTGACATGTAACAGTGGGTTACTGTAGTGACATGTAACAATGGGTTACTGTAGTGACATGTAACAATGGGTTACATTAGTGACATGTAACAGTGGGTTACTGTAGTAATGGGTTACTGTAGTGACATTTAACGGTGGGTTACTGTAGTGACATGTAACAATGGGTTACTGTAGTGACATGTAACAATGGGTTACTGTAGTGACATGTAACAATAGGTTACTGTAGTGACATGTAACAATGGGTTACTGTAGTGACATGTAACAATGGGTTACTGTAGTGACATGTAACTGTGGGTTACTGTAGTGACATGTAACAGTGGGTTACTGTAGTGACATGTAACAGTGGGTTACCATAGTGACATGTAACAATTTTCTGCAGACTATCCTGGAGATGGTCATCCCTAGGTATCTGGATCACCTGAAGAAAGAGACCGTCAGGAGGGACAACTCTGCTGCTGCAAGGAATGAAGTCACTTGCATCACAAGCTTGGCTGTTGCTGTGCGCGCCCTAGTTACTTGTTGTGAATATTTTGCCAGGTAATGATTCCATATCAGAGCCAAAAGTTGTCCTAGATCTCAGGCAGTGGCCTAATGTTGTTCTAGATCTAGGGCTGTGGCCAAAAGTTGACTTAGGGCTGTGGCCAAAAGTTGACCTAAGGCTGTGGCCAAAAGTTGACCTCGGGCTGTGGCCAAAAGTTGACTTAGGGCTGTGGCCAAAAGTTGACCTAAGGCTGTGGCCAAAAGTTGACTTAGGGCTGTGGCCAAAAGTTGACCTAGGGCTGTGGCCAAAAGTTGACCTAAGGCTGTGGCCAAAAGTTGACCTAAGGCTGTGGCCAAAAGTTGACTTAGGGCTGTGGCCAAAAGTTGACCTAAGGCTGTGGCCAAAAGTTGACCTAGGGCTGTGGCCAAAAGTTGACCTAGGGCTGTGGCCAAAAGTTGACCTCGGGCTGTGGCCAAAAGTTGACTTAGGGCTGGGGCCAAAAGTTGACCTAAGGCTGTGGCCAAAAGTTGACCTAGGGCTGTGGCCAAAAGTTGACCTAGGGCTGTGGCCAAAAGTTGACCTAGGGCTGTGGCCAAAAGTTGACCTAGGGCTGGGGCCAAAAGTTGACATAGGGCTGTGGCCAAAAGTTGACCTCGGGCTGTGGCCAAAAGATGACTTAGGGCTGGGGCCAAAAGTTGACCTAAGGCTGTGGCCAAAAGTTGACCTAGGGCTGTGGCCAAAAGTTGACCTAGGGCTGTGGCCAAAAGTTGACCTAGGGCTGTGGCCAAAAGTTGACCTAGGGCTGGGGCCAAAAGTTGACATAGGGCTGTGGCCAAAAGTTGACCTAGGGCTGTGGCCAAAAGTTGACCTAGGGCTGTGGCCAAAAGTTGACCTAGGGCTGTGGCCAAAAGTTGACCTAGGGCTGGGGCCAAAAGTTGACCTAGGGCTGGGGCCAAAAGTTGACCTAGGGCTGGGGCCAAAAGTTGACCTAGGGCTGGGGCCAAAAGTTGACCTAGGGCTGTGGCCAAAAGTTGACCTAGGGCTGTGGCCAAAAGTTGACCAAGGGCTGTGGCCAAAAGTTGACCAAGGGCTGTGGCCAAAAGTTGACCAAGGGCTGTGGCCAAAAGTTGACCTAGGGCTGGGGTGAAAGGTTGCACTAACCAATGTGCTGCTGCCTGTCTGTACAGGAGCATGAGTCTGCCTCAGAGGTTCCTGGACTTGACCAGTGTGTCCGGCTCCAAGCCAGTCCACAACCACAGCATCCACTCCCTGACTGTTGATGAAAGGGAGGACTCCCACACAAGGTATGTCTCTCCAACTTACTAGTGGCATTACAGTTTGGCTTAGTTGACCTCACACAAGGTATGTCTCTCCAACTTACTAGTGGCATTACAGTTTGGCTTAGTTGACCTCACACAAGGTATGTCTCTCCAACTTAATAGTGGCATTACAGTTTGGCTTAGTTGACCTTTGATTTTTCCCTTGACCAGCCGTCATATGGAGGAAGGCAGAAGAAAAACATATGGCCATGAGCCAGATGACCTTGAACTGAGAGAAGACTTCAGAAAACCCAGAGACTCACTGCTGTCCATTGCTGCAGAGTTTTACACCAGGTGTCAGAGCCGGCTCAAGGAACTTAGGAAAATCTTGGCAGACCCATCTTTCCGTCCACCAGAACTCTTTGACATCAAGGCTCATAATGTAGGCTTTTGCTTTTCATCTTAAAGACAAAAGTTTTAACATCAAGGCTCATAATGTAGGCTTTTGCTTTTCATCTTAAAGACAAAAGTTTTAACATCAAGGCTTATAATGTTGGCTTTTAACTTTTTTTTTCATTGTAACAGCTTGTGTTACCACTTCTGAAACCATTGTAAAAAAATTTTAACTTACACATTTTTTAAAAAGTTACCCAGCATACAAAATCTGTCATCCACACACAAAACCTGTCACCCACACACAAAACCTGTTACCCACAGATACAACCTGTCACTCACACACAAAACCTGTCACCCACACACAAAACCTGTCACCCACACACAAAACCTGTCACCCACAGATACAACCTGTCACCCACACACAAAACCTGTCACCCACAGATACAACCTGTCACTCACACACAAAACCTGTCACCCACAGATACAACCTGTCACCCACACACAAAACCTGTCACTCACACACAAAACCTGTCACTCACACACAAAACCTGTCACTCACACACAAAACCTGTCACCCACACACAAAACCTGTCACCCACACACAAAACCTGTCACCCACACACAAAACCTGTCACCCACAGATACAACCTGTCACCCACACACAAAACCTGTCACTCACACACAAAACCTGTCACTCACACACAAAACCTGTCACTCACACACAAAACCTGTCACTCACACACAAAACCTGTCACTCACACACAAAACCTGGCACTCACACACAAAACCTGGCACTCACAGATACAACCTGTCACTCACACACAAAACCTGTCACCCACACACAAAACCTGTCACTCACAGATACAACCTGTCACTCACACACAAAACCTGTCACCCACAGATACAACCTGTCACTCACACACAAAACCTGTCACCCACAGATACAACCTGTCACCCACACACAAAACCTGTCACCCACACACAAAACCTGTCACCCACACACAAAACCTGTCACCCACACACAAAACCTGTCACCCACACACAAAACCTGTCACCCACACACAAAACCTGTCACCCACACACAAAACCTGTCACCCACACACAAAACCTGTCACCCACACACAAAACCTGTCACCCACACACAAAACCTGTCACCCACACACAAAACCTGTCACCCACTCACAAAACCTGGCACCCACACACAAAACCTGTCACTCACACACACAACCTGTCACCCACACACAAAACCTGTCACCCACACACAAAACCTGTCACCCACACACAAAACCTGTCACTCACACACACAACCTGTCACCCACACACAAAACCTGTCACCCACACACAAAACCTGTCACCCACACACAAAACCTGTCACCCACACACAAAACCTGTCACCCACACACAAAACCTGTCACCCACACACAAAACCTGTCACCCACACACAAAACCTGTCACTCACACACACAACCTGTCACCCACACACAAAACCTGTCACCCACACACAAAACCTGTCACCCACACACAAAACCTGTCACCCACTCACAAAACCTGGCACCCACACACAAAACCTGTCACTCACACACACAACCTGTCACCCACACACAAAACCTGTCACCCACACACAAAACCTGTCACCCACACACAAAACCTGTCACTCACACACACAACCTGTCACCCACACACAAAACCTGTCACCCACACACAAAACCTGTCACCCACACACAAAACCTGTCACCCACACACAAAACCTGTCACCCACACACAAAACCTGTCACCCACACACAAAACCTGTCACCCACACACAAAACCTGTCACTCACACACACAACCTGTCACCCACACACAAAACCTGTCACCCACACACAAAACCTGTCACCCACACACAAAACCTGGCACCCACACACAAAACCTGTCACCCACATACACAATTTGTTCCCTTCCAGCGCCTGGCTGAAGTTGCTCACACTTTGCTGAAGCTGGCACCTTACGACCCACTCACCATGTCATGCACAGGGCTACAGAGGTAAGTTGTCATGACCCTCTGATGCTTGAAATAGTTTTGATCAACTGACCACAGGTACATGCTTGAAATAGTTTTGATCAACTGACCACAGGTACATGCTTGAAATAGTTTTGATCAACTGACCACAGGTACATGCTATAAATAGTTTTGTTCAACTGACCACAGGTACATGCTTGAAATAGTTTTGACCAACTGACCACAGGTACATGCTTGAAATAGTTTTGATCAACTGACCACAGGTACATGCTTGAAATAGTTTTGATCAACTGACCACAGGTACATGCTTGAAATAGTTTTGTTCAACTGACCACAGGTACATGCTTGAAATAGTTTTGACCAACTGACCACAGGTACATGCTTGAAATAGTTTTGTTCAACTGACCACAGGTACATGCTTGAAATAGTTTTGTTCAACTGACCACAGTTACATGCTTGAAATAGTTTTGACCAACTGACCACAGGTACATGCTTGAAATAGTTTTGATCAACTGACCACAGGTACATGCTTGAAATAGTTTTGATCAACTGACCACAGGTACATGCTTGAAATAGTTTTGATCAACTGACCACAGGTACATGCTTGAAATAGTTTTGACCAACTGACCACAGGTACATGCTTGAAATAGTTTTGTTCAACTGACCACAGGTACATGCTTGAAATAGTTTTGACCAACTGACCACAGGTACATGCTTGAAATAGTTTTGATCAACTGACCACAGGTACATGCTTGAAATAGTTTTGTTCAACTGACCACAGTTACATGCTTGAAATAGTTTTGACCAACTGACCACAGGTACATGCTTGAAATAGTTTTGATCAACTGACCACAGGTACATGCTTGAAATAGTTTTGATCAACTGACCACAGGTACATGCTTGAAATAGTTTTGATCAACTGACCACAGGTACATGCTTGAAATAGTTTTGTTCAACTGACCACAGTTACATGCTTGAAATAGTTTTGATCAACTGACCACAGGTACATGCTTGAAATAGTTTTGTTCAACTGACCACAGTTACATGCTATAAATAGTTTTGTTCAACTGACCACAGTTACATGCTTGAAATAGTTTTGATCAACTGACCACAGGTACATGCTTGAAATAGTTTTGTTCAACTGACCACAGGTACATGCTATAAATAGTTTTGTTCAACTGACCACAGGTACATGCTTGAAATAGTTTTGACCAACTGACCACAGGTACATGCTTGAAATAGTTTTGACCAACTGACCACAGGTACATGCTTGAAATAGTTTTGATCAACTGACCACAGGTACATGCTTGAAATAGTTTTGATCAACTGACCACAGGTACATGCTTGAAATAGTTTTGTTCAACTGACCACAGGTACATGCTTGAAATAGTTTTGACCAACTGACCACAGGTACATGCTTGAAATAGTTTTGACCAACTGACCACAGGTACATGCTTGAAATAGTTTTGTTCAACTGACCACAGGTACATGCTTGAAATCCTGCCCAACACTGACTGGTCCCATGAGCTCATCCGGCCTGGGCTGAACCTGATACTCAGGAGACTGGACAGACTCTTCACCAAGATCTCCAAGAAATCTGCTTTAAGGGTAGGACTCAACATTCTCTCTTTAAGGGTAGGACTCAACATTCTCTCTTTAAGGGTAGGACTCAACATTCTCTCTTTAAGGGTAGGACTTTAAGGGATCAGACCAAGTATTCTAGCCTTTAACTAATGGTTAATTAGATGAACCAAAATGTTGAAGAATGATTTCAGAAAAACACATTACTGTTAGGTTCAGTTAGCTCTGTATAATTGATATTCTAATTTTAGCGCCAACTAGATTGGGAGGCAGCAGCCAACATTTTAAAAGGTAACTATGGCAACATTTTTTTACTAGCTTGTATTGAACGCCTAGTTTTTTCTTTTTACTTTATCATGGGTGGAAACTTGTAGTTGAAAATTGACTTACTTATACTAAAGCACTTTGTTTTAAACTTATCAAGTAAGACAAGAGACCATGAAAATGCATGTGACGTCAAATTTGACATAATTAAATTACTTTTAAGTAAGTAAAGATTGCTCTATAAAATTTAACTTTATTGGGCTTTTGACACAAGTTGTTGCGTAAATATGCAATTCAGTCCTATTCAAATTTTAAAAGTATAAAATTTTAAAAATTGAAATAAATCATTTATAATAATAAACTTTACAAAAGGAACAAAAGTAAATGAATATTCTTAAAATATAATAAACTACTATTTAAAGTAAAATGTGTTTAGCTATATTATGTATTGAATATTCTTACTAGAATTTTTTTATCAAACTACATTTTATTTCTTTATGATTGATTTTATACACAAAAAGTTTTGCAGCATTTTTTTTTACTCTTCTTTATTTTTTTTTTATTTTATTAATTATAAATGTAACAATGAGAGTAAATATTTAAAAACTATTTTCAGGAGTTTACCAGACCCTTAGGAAGTTCACATTTGTAGCCATCTTTCCTCACCTCAAAGTAAGTGTTCAGCTTTTATTGGTGCTCTGAAATCATTTGTAAGTGGCTCCATACGCCAACTAGGGCCAAGTCCCTTACACCATCTTGGGCCAACAACTCATACCATTTTGGGCCAAGGCCCTTAGAACTTGTCTGACTCCAACAACTCAACTGACCGGAATAACTCAACTGACCCCAACTACTAGGTTTACCCTTACTACTGGGTTGACCCCAACAACTCAACTGACCCCAACAACTCAACTGACCCCAACAACTCAACTGACCCCAACAACTCAACTGACCCCAACAACTCAACTGACCCCAACAACTCAACTGACCCCAACAACTCAACTGACCCCAACAACTCAACTGACCCCAACAACTCAACTGACCCCAACAACTCAACTGACCCCAACAACTCAACTGACCCCAACAACTCAACTGACCCCAACTACTGGGTTGACCCTAACTACTGGGTTGACCCCAACAACTCAACTGACCCCAACAACTCAACTGACCCCAACAACTCAACTGACCCCAACAACTCAACTGACCCCAACAACTCAACTGACCCCAACAACTCAACTGACCCCAACAACTTGTCTGACCCCAACAACTCAACTGAGCCCAATGTTTGCAGACACTGGTGAACGTCCTGATCACCATCTTGTTGACCAGCTCTGGCTCCAGCGCCCTGCTGCCTGAGTCACTGACCATCCCAGCTCACCGCACTGAGGCCAGCAGGACAGATGCCAGCCCCCTGTTTGTCTCCTCCGTGGTCAAGCTGGTGGCCATGCAGATGCAAGCACATGGGGTTTGTATTCATCCAGCTGCAACCAGCCATCCATTGAGTTGTGTCCATGTCAATTGAATTGAAAAATGACTCATTTGAATATCCATTCCCTTTCATAAATTTATGTTGTTTAACAAAATAAGACCTACTTTCAATTATCATCATTGAGCGCCCAGACTTTTCTTTAGGACCTATGTTTTTGCAGGACCTTATAAACTTACTGTTTCTATAGGACCTTTCCTACAGGACCTAATAACCTTTATGTTTCTTCAAGAAGTTATGATCTTTTTGTTTCTACAGGACCTGATAACCTTTATGTTTCTTCAAGAAGTTATGATCTTTAAGAAGTTATGATCTTTAAGAAGTTATGATCTTTAAGAAGTTATGATCTTTTTGTTTCTACAGGACCTGATAACCTTTATGTTTCTTCAAGAAGTTATGGTCTTTAAGAAGTTATGATCTTTAAGAAATTATGATCTTTAAGAAGTTATGATCTTTAAGAAGTTATGATCTTTAAGAAGTTATGATCTTTAAGAAGTTATGATCTTTTTGTTTCTACAGGACCCTTATTCCCTGGAACAAATCTGTGGAGGTGTGTCAGCATTTTCAGCCAATGAGAAGTCTCTCAATCTTCTCATCAACTTTATTCTTCCCCTTTGTATAAGGGTTGGTTCTCATTGCAGAGGTCAGTTTAACACACTAGTTTCTTGCATTTTATTTATTCACATGTTGAGCAGCTTCCCTAGTAACCGTTGTTTACACAGTGGTGATGCTGGTACCCAAGGTCCTGACTTCTAGTGAGTCCTTCATTACTTGCCAGATTTGCCTTCCATTGGTTGCTGAATATATCCCCTATTAGTTTAACTCTGTCCTCCATGACTTGCCAGATACCCCCCATTAGTTTAACCATTAATGTCCCGTAACGCCCGCTGCCGCCCGACACCGTTAATGTCCTGTAACGCCCGCTGCCGCCCGCTTACAATACGCATAGAAAAATTAAATTTGTTTCATTAAAATTTGGCCTACAAATCCTAATTTTTAACTAAACAGGAAGTCGGATGGTTTCAGCATCCTTTTCCGGTCTTCTAATTTCAATGGCGCTTTTGAAAGATAAAAAATAATAGTTTCTTTCTATCTCGAAATTTTCGACTCATCTGTCGTATTTTTAGTAGATTTAATATTAAAAATAAAAAAATTAATGCCTCTAAACTTATCTAGGCATGTATTTTATGAATTATATATGTTAAACATAACCAAATTGATATTTAACTGTTAAATTCGATGCATAGTTGTTTAGACAAAAATAAATAAAGTTGACTACCGAAAATGACCTGTTTTGAATTTTCTCCGACATTTTTTATTTTTATACTGTACTTTTACCGAATATAATATATTCTATTTAATACTGTTGGAAAGCCAGGTTTATTTCCAACATTAAGCAGTAGTTTTTATCTTAATTTTCAATTTCATTTAGACAAAAACAAATATTTTGTGAAACTATTCACTTGATCATACAGAGTTATGCTCCTTACATTGGGCCGTCATGGGTGGAGTTTTGGTAGAATGAATGGGACATTAATGGTTAACTATGTCCTCCATGACTTGCCAGATACCCCCCATTAGTTTAACTCTGTCCTCCATGACTTGCCAGATACCCCCCATTAGTTTAACTCTGTCCTGCATGACTTGCCAAATGTCCTCTATTAGTTTAACTCTGTCCTCCATGACTTGCCAGATACCCCCCATTAGTTTAACTATGTCCTCCATGACCTGCCAGATACCCCCCATTAGTTTAACTCTGTCCTCCATGACTTGCCAGATACCCCCATTAGTTTAACTCTGTCCTCCATGACTTGCCAGATACCCCCCATTAGTTTAACTCTGTCCTCCATGACTTGCCAGATACCCCCCATTAGTTTAACTCTGTCCTCCATGACTTGCCAGATACCCCCATTAGTTTAACTCTGTCCTCCATGACTTGCCAGATACCCCCCATTAGTTTAACTATGTCCTCCATGACTTGCCAGATACCCCCCATTAGTTTAACTCTGTCCTCCATGACTTGCCAGATACCCCCATTAGTTTAACTCTGTCCTGCATGACTTGCCAAATGTCCTCTATTAGTTTAACTCTGTCCTCCATGACCTGCCAGATACCCCCCATTAGTTTAACTCTGTCCTCCATGACTTGCCAGATACCCCCCATTAGTTTAACTCTGTCCTGCATGACTTGCCAGATACCCCCCATTAGTTTAACTCTGTCCTCCATGACTTGCCAGATACCCCCCCATTAGTTTAACTCTGTCCTCCATGACTTGCCAGATACCCCCCCATTAGTTTAACTCTGTCCTGCATGACTTGCCAAATGTCCTCTATTAGTTTAACTCTGTCCTCCATGACTTGCCAGATACCCCCCCATTAGTTTAACTCTGTCCTCCATGACTTGCCAGATACCCCCCCATTAGTTTAACTCTGTCCTCCATGACTTGCCAGATACCCCCCCATTAGTTTAACTCTGTCCTGCATGACTTGCCAAATGTCCTCTATTAGTTTAACTCTGTCCTCCATGACTTGCCAGATACCCCCCCATTAGTTTAACTCTGTCCTGCATGACTTGCCAAATGTCCTCTATTAGTTTAACTCTGTCCTCCATGACCTGCCAGATACCCCCCATTAGTTTAACTCTGTCCTGCATAACTTGCCAAATGTCCTCTATTAGTTTAACTCTGTCCTCCATGACCTGCCAGATACCCCCCATTAGTTTAACTCTGTCCTCCATGACTTGCCAGATACCCCCCATTAGTTTAACTCTGTCCTCCATGACCTGCCAGATACCCCCCCATTAGTTTAACTCTGTCCTGCATGACTTGCCAAATGTCCTCTATTAGTTTAACTCTGTCCTCCATGACCTGCCAGATACCCCCCATTAGTTTAACTCTGTCCTCCATGACTTGCCAGATACCCCCCCATTAGTTTAACTATGTCCTCCATGACCTGCCAGATACCCCCCATTAGTTTAACTATGTCCTCCATGACCTGCCAGATACCCCCCATTAGTTTAACTCTGTCCTCCATGACTTGCCAGATACCCCCCCATTAGTTTAACTATGTCCTCCATGACCTGCCAGATACCCCCCATTAGTTTAACTCTGTCCTCCATGACTTGCCAGATACCCCCCCATTAGTTTAACTATGTCCTCCATGACCTGCCAGATACCCCCCATTAGTTTAACTCTGTCCTCCATGACTTGCCAGATACCCCCCCATTAGTTTAACTATGTCCTCCATGACCTGCCAGATACCCCCCATTAGTTTAACTCTGTCCTCCATGACTTGCCAGATACCCCCCCATTAGTTTAACTATGTCCTCCATGACCTGCCAGATACCCCCCCCATTAGTTTAACTATGTCCTCCATGACCTGCCAGATACCCCCCATTAGTTTAACTCTGTCCTCCATGACTTGCCAGATACCCCCCCATTAGTTTAACTCTGTCCTCCATGACCTGCCAGATACCCCCCCATTAGTTTAACTATGTCCTCCATGACCTGCCAGATACCCCCCATTAGTTTAACTCTGTCCTCCATGACTTGCCAGATACCCCCCATTAGTTTAACTCTGTCCTCCATCCATGACTTGCCAGATACCCCCCATTAGTTTAACTCTGTCCTCCATGACTTGCCAGATACCCCCCATTAGTTTAACTCTGTCCTCCATGACCTGCCAGATACCCCCCATTAGTTTAACTCTGTCCTCCATGACTTGCCAGATACCCCCCATTAGTTTAACTCTGTCCTGCATGACTTGCCAAATGTCCTCTATTAGTTTAACTCTGTCCTCCATGACTTGCCAGATACCCCCCATTAGTTTAACTCTGTCCTCCATGACTTGCCAGATACCCCCCATTAGTTTAACTCTGTCCTCCATGACTTGCCAGATACCCCCCATTAGTTTAACTCTGTCCTCCATGACTTGCCAGATACCCCCCATTAGTTTAACTCTGTCCTCCATGACTTGCCAGATACCCCCCATTAGTTTAACTCTGTCCTCCATGACTTGCCAGATACCCCCCAACTGAGCCCCACTGACATCACCTTTGTCCTGATGGTCATCACCAACCTACTGAGTCCACCCAGCTCCAGCCAGACCAACCAGAACAGTGTCATCAAGTCCAACTACCTGTCTATTGCTGAATATGGACGCACCAGTGGCACTTCACACAGTGAGAAAAACTCCAAATATGCTTCAGAGCTTCACCACTATACAGCTCTAGTGGGTATGTTAGTTCACCAGTTAGCTAAACCAGTTAAATGGCTGAAATTTCAACCAGGTTCATCTCAGGTCATCATTTGGTTTGTGTTTTGTAGGTCTTGAGATCATGATGGTTTGTGTTTTGTAGATCTTGATATCATGATGGTTTGTGTTTTGTAGGTCTTGAGATCATGATGGTTTGTGTTTTGTAGGTCTTAAGATCATGATGGTTTGTGTTTTGTAGGTCTTGAGATCATGATGGTTTGTGTTTTGTAGGTCTTGAGATCATGATGGTTTGTGTTTTGTAGGTCTTGAGATCATGATGTTTTGTAGGTCTTGAGATCATGATGGTTTGTGTTTTGTAGGTCTTGAGATCATGATGGTTTGTTTTGACAAGCAGCTGGCCTCCCAGTGGCATCAGGTGGCCAAAACTCTGATCAACTTGGCCTCAAAGGGCAAAGGTTAGTACCTCTCACAAACTAACACAACTCCTTACCTAAAACCACCTCTCACAAACTAACTCCCCACATAAAACCACCTCTCACAAATTACCTCAACATACAATTCCTAACATAAAACCACCTCTCACAAACTAACTCCCCACATAAAACCACCTCTCACAAATTACCTCAACATACAATTCCTAACATAAAACCACCTCTCACAAACTAACTCCCCACATAAAACCACCTCTCACAAATTACCTCAACATACAATTCCTAACATAAAACCACCTCTCACAAACTAACTCCCCACATAAAACCACCTCTCACAAACTACCCCAACATACAATTCCTAACATAAAACCACCTCTCACAAACTAACTCCCCACATAAAACCACCTCTCACAAATTACCCCAACATACAATTCCTAACATAAAACCACCTCTCACAAACTAACTCCCCACATAAAACCACCTCTCACAAATTACCTCAACATACAATTCCTAACATAAAACCACCTCTCACAAACTAACTCCCCACATAAAACCACCTCTCACAAACTACCCCAACATACAATTCCTAACATAAAACCACCTCTCACAAACTAACAACTCCCCACATAAAACCACCTCTCACAAACTACCCCAACATACAATTCCTAACATAAAACCACCTCTCACAAACTAACTCCCCACATAAAACCACCTCTCACAAACTACCCCAACATACAATTCCTAACATAAAACCACCTCTCACAAACTAACTCCCCACATAAAACCACCTCTCACAAACTACCCCAACATACAATTCCTAACATAAATCCCCGCACATGACAGCCTGCCTTAAACCTATTTTTTGTTTCAGTGGATCTGCCCTTGTGGAAGTTTTTAGATTTTCTAGTGACACATCGGCCATCTTTGTTTGTTCTCCTTCAGACATTTATTCAGTTCAGGGTAAGTTTGGCTATCAATATGTAGCACATTATAGTGGACTTGATCAAGCATTTATCTACTGGTTTTTTACTTTCTCGTATATACGTAGTATAGAGAAAGTATTGTAATCGTGCAAAAAAAAAAATCGAGATTTTTACAAATCTCGACGTTTTACACCTCACTGATACGGAAAAAACATAATTTTGCAATCTTGTCTGTGTGTCCGTGTGTAAACACGATAACTTGAGTACCGTTACAGCTAGGTTGATGAAATTTCATATATAAGTATTTTATCAAAATCGTAGATCCGTATCAACTTTTGAGCGATTTTCGATAACCGGAAGTGGTACTTTTCCTACTTTGAATTTTTCAAAAGCCTATAACTTGAGTACTATTTCAGATAGATACATGAAATTTCACATGTAAGTAAAAGATCTAATTCTCTACCTTCTGTTAAATTTTGAGTAATTTCCGTTGACTGGAAGTAGTAATTTACGCTACTTTTGATTTCTCAAAAAACTAATGTAAATTTTAGAAGTACTAATAATATTGCGCACTATTATGCGCTTTTTTATTTGGTGTTCACTTGGTGTGCAATTAATTTGTCTACGAGATTTTATTCTATTGTTAAAACTTTAAGTATTTAAAATGGATTAAAAATCATGTCTATAGCCCGAGTTCCCATCCCCTGTTATTTTATATAAGAATATTCGAGAAAGTTTAGGGGAGATCACTCCCGGTTTATTTGATTGGATGATAATCCTGTATTGACTAGATGCTTTAATTAATGGTTTTATTGATTGGATGATAATCCTGTATTGACTAGATGCTTTATCTAATAGTTTTATTGATTGGATGATAATCCTGTATTGACTAGATGCTTTATCTAATAGTTTTATTGATTGGATGATAATCATGTATTGACTAGATGCTTTATCTAATAGTTTTATTGATTGGATGATAATCCTGTATTGACTAGATGCTGCGGATCAACTGTGACACAGCACAAGAGTATTACCTCCAACAAAGCATTAAAGACAAATTACAGGGCTACACCTTTTCCTACCACAAGCCAGCTTCTGCCATCCTGGTCAGCCTCTCTTTAGAACTCAGACAGCTGCGACTTGAGCTGGCCAACAGCTCCGCAGGTAGCCAAATTTATCATTAGATTCACTTGTAGGCAGCTTCATCATTAGATTCACTTGTTGTAGCCAGCTTCATCATTAGATTCACTTGTTGTAGCCAGCTTCATCATTAGATTCACTTGTTGTAGCCAGCTTCATCTTTAGATTCACTTGTTGTAGCCAGCTTCATCATTAGATTCAATTGTTGTAGCCAGCTTCATCATTAGATTCAATTGTTGTAGCCAGCTTCATCATTAGATTCCCTTGTTGTAGCCAGCTTCATCATTAGATTCAATTGTTGTAGCCAGCTTCATCATTAGATTCAATTGTTGTAGCCAGCTTCATCATTAGATTCAATTGTTGTAGCCAGCTTCATCATTAGATTCAATTGTTGTAGCCAGCTTCATCATTAGATTCAATTGTTGTAGCCAGCTTCATCATTAGATTCAATTGTTGTAGCTAGCTTCATCATTAGATTCACTTGTTGTAGCCAGCTTCATCATTAGATTCAATTGTTGTAGCCAGCTTCATCATTAGATTCAATTGTTGTAGCCAGCTTCATCATTAGATTCAATTGTTGTAGCCAGCTTCATCATTAGATTCAATTGTTGTAGCCAGCTTCATCATTAGATTCAATTGTTGTAGCTAGCTTCATCATTAGATTCACTTGTTGTAGCCAGCTTCATCATTAGATTCACTTGTTGTAGCCAGCTTCATCATTAGATTCACTTGTTGTAGCCAGCTTCATCATTAGATTCACTTGTTGTAGCCAGCTTCATCATTAGATTCCCTTGTTGTAGCCAGCTTCATCATTAGATTCACTTGTTGTAGCCAGCTTCATCATTAGATTCACTTGTTGTAGCCAGCTTCATCATTAGATTCACTTGTTGTAGCCAGCTTCATCATTAGATTCACTTGTTGTAGCCAGCTTCATCATTAGATTCAATTGTTGTAGCTAGCTTCATCATTAGATTCACTTGTTGTAGCCAGCTTCATCATTAGATTCACTTGTTGTAGCCAGCTTCATCATTAGATTCACTTGTTGTAGCCAGCTTCATCATTAGATTCACTTGTTGTAGCCAGCTTCATCATTAGATTCACTTGTTGTAGCCAGCTTCATCATTAGATTCACTTGTTGTAGCCAGCCTCATCATTAGATTCACTTGTTGTAGCCAGCTTCATCATTAGATTCACTTGTTGTAGCCAGCTTCATCATTAGATTCACTTGTTGTAGCCAGCTTCATCATTAGATTCACTTGTTGTAGCCAGCCTCATCATTAGATTCACTTGTTGTAGCCAGCCTCATCATTAGATTCACTTGTTGTAGCCAGCCTCATCATTAGATTCACTTGTTGTAGCCAGCTTCATCATTAGATTCACTTGTTGTATCCAGCTTCATCATTAGATTCACTTGTTGTATCCAGCTTCATCATTAGATTCACTTGTTGTAGCCAGCTTCATCATTAAATTCACTTGTTGTAGCCAGCTTCATCATTAGATTCACTTGTTGTAGCCAGCTTCATCATTAGATTCACTTGTTGTATCCAGCTTCATCATTAGATTCACTTGTTGTAGCCAGCTTCATCATTAGATTCACTTGTTGTAGCAAGCTTCATCATTAGATTCACTTGTTGTAGCCAGCTTCATCATTAGATTCACTTGTTGTAGCCAGCTTCATCATTAGATTCACTTGTTGTAGCCAGCTTCATCATTAGATTCACTTGTTGTAGCCAGCTTCATCATTAAATTCACTTGTTGTAGCCAGCTTCATCATTAGATTCACTTGTTGTAGCCAGCCTCACTTGGTTTCTCCTGATGATAAACTTCTTCCTGTCTGACATTGTTTACCAGGTTACAGATCCAGAGCTGCCACTGAGGATCAAACCCAGACCGGAGCTAATGCCAGCATGACTGAGATAGCAGCTGAAATCATCGGACCAACCAAGGCCAGCTACGGTTCATTGATCAAACGCTCTAGCAAAGGTCAGACCCCACAGATATTTGGCTTGTATCACACCCCACAGATATCTGGCTTGTTTCATACAATGGTCAGACCCCACAGATATCTGGCTTGTATCATACCTCACAGATATTTGCTTGTATCATACAAAGGTCAGACCCCACAGATATTTGCTTGTATCATACAAAGGTCAGACCCCACAGATATCTGGCTTGTGTCATGCACAGGGATTAAGCATATTTCTTTATCCGCCAAATGTCATAATTTTCTCCTTGTTATCAACAGATCTAAAATGCTGACTTTAAGAATGTCAATGTATCTGTTGTGTCTTGCAGCTACCCTCCTGTCCCAGTCCAGCTCTAACAGTGCCCAGCAGCGCTCACAAGCTACAGCTGCATCCAATGAGAACAGCCCATCATTGCAGAGGACCAAGTCCAGCAAGCGCATCACTGCACGGGGTGGCAGCTGTATACTGGACAAGTTTACCAGGAAAGACACTGTGGATGAGGCCGTTGGTTCGTTGTTTGATTAGACACTGTGGATGAGGCTGTTGGTTCGTTGTTTGATTAGACACTGTGGATGAGGCCGTTGGTTGGTTGTTTGATTAGACACTGTGGATGAGGCCGTTGGTTGGTTGTTTGATACTAACAGAATGGGCCCAGTTGCTAGTCCAAGGTGTGGTGATGTGGCTAGCCCATGGTGTGGTGATGTGGCTAGTCCAAGGGGTGGTGATGTGGCTAGTCCATGATGTGGTGATGTGGCTAGCCCATGGTGTGGTGATGTGGCTAGTCCATGGTGTGGTGATGTGGCTAGCCCATGGTGTGGTGATGTGGCTAGCCCATGGTGTGGTGATGTGGCTAGCCCATGGTGTGGTGATGTGGCTAGCCCATGGTGTGGTGATGTGGCTAGTCCATGGTGTGGTGATGTGGCTAGTCCATGGTGTGGTGATGTGGCTAGCCCATGGTGTGGTGATGTGGCTAGCCCATGGTGTGGTGATGTGGCTAGTCCATGGTGTGGTGATGTGGCTAGTCCATGGTGTGGTGATGTGGCTAGTCCATGGTGTGGTGATGTGGCTAGTCCATGGGGTGGTGATGTGGCTAGTCCATGGGGTGGTGATGTGGCTAGTCCATGGTGTGGTGATGTGGCTAGCCCATGGTGTGGTGATGTGGCTAGTCCATGGTGTGGTGATGTGGCTAGTCCATGGTGTGGTGATGTGGCTAGTCCATGGTGTGGTGATGTGGCTAGTCCAAGGGGTGGTGATGTGGCTAGTCCATGGTGTGGTGATGTGGCTAGTCCATGGTGTGGTGATGTGGCTAGTCCATGGTGTGGTGATGTGGCTAGTCCATGGTGTGGTGATGTGGCTAGCCCATGGTGTGGTGATGTGGCTAGCCCATGGTGTGGTGATGTGGCTAGTCCATGGGGTGGTGATGTGGCTAGTCCAAGGTGTGGTGATGTGGCTAGTCCAAGGGGTGGTGATGTGGCTAGTCCAAGGGGTGGTGATGTGGCTAGCCCATGGTGTGGTGATGTGGCTAGCCCATGGTGTGGTGATGTGGCTAGTCCATGGTGTGGTGATTTGGCTAGTTCAGGTTGGGTTCCTCATCCTGTATCTGTAAGTTCTATCTATCTACTGGGGGTAAAATTTATTGTGTTAAAGACAGGCTGATTTATTCTATCCCTAGACATTGTTACACCCAATTCACCACTACTACAGCGCCAAGGCACCATCAGATTCAGGGGGAGTTTATCCAAACAAAACAGCCAGGAAGTTGATGGTCCAGTAGCTCAAGTGGTCTATGAGAATGAAGATTTGGAAGCCAATGGAAGAGGTGACCAACTTGTCATGTCAATAACTTTGTGTCACTTGTGCGGCTGCTAATAGCTTGTCCAACTTTTATTTCAGCTGCCATGGCCTGCGAGGCTGCTAATAGCTTGCCCAACTTTTATTTCAGCTGCCATGGCCTGCGAGGCTGCTAATAGCTTGTCCAACTTTTGTTTCAGCTGCCATGGCCTGCGAGGCTGCTAATAGCTTGTCCAACTTTTATTTCAGCTGCCATGGCCTGCGAGGCTGCTAATAGCTTGCCCAACTTTTATTTCAGCTGCCATGGCCTGCGAGGCTGCTAATAGCTTGTCCAACTTTTATTTCAGCTGCCATGGCCTGCGAGGCTGCTAATAGCTTGTCCAACTTTTGTTTCAGCTGCCATGGCCTGTGAGGCTGCTAATAGCTTGCCCAACTTTTGTTTCAGCTGCCATGACCTGTGAGGCTGCTAATAGCTTGCCCAACTTTTGTTTCAGCTGCCATGGCCTGCGAGGCTGCTAATAGCTTGCCCAACTTTTGTTTCAGCTGCCATGGCCTGCGAGGCTGCTAATAGCTTGCCCAACTTTTGTTTCAGCTGCCATGGCCTGCGAGGCTGCTAATAGCTTGCCCAACTTTTGTTTCAGCTGCCATGGCCTGCGAGGCTGCTACCACTCTAGGAGAAGATCCAAGAGGTCACCGTCTCCAGCGCCAAGATGCCAAAAGCAGGAAGACGTTTAAAATCAAAAGAACAAAAACCAAAACTTGTGTGCGGCCAAGATTCATGTCACATCGCCGCCGCCCCCATGATGTTAATGATGCTGATGGTGGCGTTGATGATCCCCTGTCTCATGGTATCTCTGGTTCCCATGGCAACAACTTCCAGCTGCGTCAGGGCATTCCTGGGATGGCAAGATCTGTGGAAACCATCCCAGAGTCTGTTGAAATAAAGGTATACCCCGATCCAGAGTCTGTGCAAGTTAAGGTATTCCCTAAACCTAAACATTACAGGGTGTGAACAAGTAAGCTTTGTTAAAAGTAGCAGGCAGTAGGTTTGGTCTATAGCAGGCAGTAAGTTTGGTCTATAGCAGGCAGTAAGTTTGGTCTATAGCAGGCAGTAAGTTTGGTCTATAGTAGGCAGTAGGTTGGTCATATATCTGTTCATCACTGAGGTGTAGCTTAAGTTGTCAGTAAGAACAGCACTCTGTATCTTAGTTGTGTTTTGAAGTAGCTAAATCACCTCCCACCCTCACCTAGTACAAAACCACCAGCCCCTCCCACCCTCACCTAGCATAACTAAACTGTAAATCTCCATGAGACCAGCACTGTGTGTGGAGTCCGTACCTCTCCCCCAGCCTATGATGATACATTATGTAGTTTGTGTGTTCATGTTACAAGAATAGATGCAAAGATTTAAGGACAAAAAAACAGCATTGAAACTATAATCTAGTATTTTGTTTACATCAGAAATGTAACTTTTTCAATGTAAATTATATTTACATAGATTATACCCCAGGTTGGTTACATTCAGGTAGTTTACTCCCCTGGCTGGTTACACCCAAGGTAGTTTACTCCCCTGGCTGGTTACACCCCTGGTAGTTTACTCCCCTGGCTGGTTACACCCCAGGTTGTTTACACCCATAGCTGGTTATACCCCAGTTAGTTTACTCCCCTGGCTGGTTACACCCCAGGCTTGTTACACCCCTGGTAGGTTCCACCTGAGTTGTTTACCTGTAGCTTGACTGCATGCTGCCATATCAGGCATGGGTTGCTTCATCTGTTGTTTTTTGTTGGAATGTACCATTTAATAGTCACATCAATTCATGTCAATTTATGAGAATTTTCTAATAATCAAACCATTTAATTTAAATTTTGAGAATTTTTTATTAACCCCTTTACCGTGTGTCACGAGTTAACTCGTCATATAAAATCTTGGGCTTAACCGTACATCACGAGTTAACTCGTCTTCAGATAAAAAAAAGTCATCTGTGTGCCGTGCGTCGCGAGTTAACTCGTTTTGATACGAAAATAGCATTGGAAATCAATAACAATGTAGAGGGAGGCTAATCTAACAGCCAATTCAACAGCGTATGATAAAAATAGGTCATCACGTGATGTTGGTACTGTGCTTTTGAATTACCTTCTTTATATTTACCTCATAAATTCTAAATGGCAACTCATTTTCACTTAAAATGATGTTTTATTTTGTCAGGACAACATAACAAATCAAATAATGAAAAGAAAAAAAAATAGTTTCCAAAAAAAAAATTTTTTTTATTCCACGGTAAAGGGGTTAATTACACCATTTAATTTAAATTCATTAGTTTTTTAACAGTCACACCATTTAATGTCAAATCATGAGAATTGAAATTAAAATAAAATGCTTTTTTAAACAAAATCTACAGAACTTAAGGGAGTTCCTTTAGGGAAACACCCTTAGGTGACGGGAGCAGGACATTTTGCCGAAAGACACTTGCCCGAATGGGACAAATGCCCGAAAGCCACTTGTCCCATTCGGGCAAGTGTCCATTCAGGAAATGGGTGTCTCTCAGGAATTTGTCGTAGACCCCGACAGTGACCTACATTGGAAACAGTTTTAAAATTTTAGCTTTAAAATTCATTTTCTATAGTAGCAAGGTAATAATAAATGGGTATGAGAGCCAGAGTGAAAGAAATGGAATAGTTGCATGCGCAGCCGCCCACAAAGTTTTTACAACACCAGCTTAAACTGACTGTTGAGGAACTGGCGTCATTGACTAACAGCTAAGAATATTCCATTGGTGGGATCAAAAGTTTAGGATGACATCATAGATGTGAATGCAAAGTTTTTTTAAAATACTTGCTAGACACAATCCAAAGCCTTGCTTATAATACTTATATTTTTTTTTAATGTCATTTTATTTTTAAAATGTATATTTTTCTATGAATATTACCAAATAGAAGTCTTTCATAGCGGCCATGTGATGTTAACCCACTACCTGCCATGTGATGTTAACCCACTAGTGGCTTTTGATGTTAACCCACTAGTGGCTTTTGATGTTAACCCACTAGCGGCCTGTGATGTTAACCCACTACCTGCCATGTGGTGTTAACCCACTAGCTGCCATGTGATGTTAACCCACTAGCTGCCATGTGATGTTAACCCACTAGCTGCCATGTGATGTTAACCCACTACCTGCCATGTGGTGTTAACCCACTAGCTGCCATGTGGTGTTAACCCACTAGCTGCCTGTGATGTTAACCCACTAGCTGCCTGTGATGTTAACCCACTAGCGGCCATGTGATGTTAACCCACTAGCTGCCATGTGATGTTAACCCACTAGCTGCCATGTGATGTTAACCCACTACCTGCCATGTGATGTTAACCCACTACCTGCCATGTGGTGTTAACCCACTAGCTGCCTGTGATGTTAACCCACTAGCTGCCTGTGATGTTAACCCACTAGCGGCCATGTGATGTTAACCCACTAGCTGCCATGTGATGTTAACCCACTACCTGCCATGTGATGTTAACCCACTACCTGCCATGTGATGTTAACCCACTAGCTGCCATGTGATGTTAACCCACTAGCTGCCATGTGATGTTAACCCACTAGCTGCCATGTGATGTTAACCCACTAACGGCCTCATGGTATTAGCATTCACCCACCTACTTCTAGTAACAAAGTGTTAGCTTGTGCTGGTAGAGTAGTGTGGAAATAAAGTTATGATGAATTGGGTTGGTTGCTGCCTTTAGCCTTGCATGTGTAGTTTACTGTTGCGTGTAAAAATTGTTTGAATAAATCTGAATGAAGCACTTGTTTGTGTTGTCAGTGTATTCACATGAAATGATTGCTTCTGTTTTTGCTTCCTTGTTGCATTACTGTGATACTTGGTGGAGTTGTTACATTGATGTTCCCTGCTCAGGTTGTACCTTGTGTTTGGCACATAGTAAACTGGTGGAAGTATGCACACAACAACAGTCAAGTTTGACACACACCCACACACACAACAGTCATGGTGTAGTCTTACTACACCCCTTCTAGTGTCAACACAGACACTGTATTTTAATAAAGACTAGATAGATTCTCGGTCTGTCTCTTCTGAAAGAAAAAACTGTTGAAGGCAAGAAAATTACATGTCAACTTGGCCTCAACTTTTTTTCATTCTTTTTCTTTTCTGGAAATGGAAACTAACTTGCATTTTAAGCATTTCATTTTTTTCCTTTGCTTGAATTGTTTTGCTTGCATATTTGACTTTTTGTTTTGCTTTTTCTCCCTGCTGTCTTCCCCCTCTGTTGACTTGCAGTCTGCTCGTAATCGCTTCTTGCAACGCTCAAAGTCCCATGATGAACCATCTGAATCACCTCCTCAACAGCGGGAGAAGACCAGTGCATCCATGCGTGCTGGCAGGATCCACAGACAAGGTGGACGCATTGTCCACTCACGCTCACCCTCTGTCAGTCCATCTGTCAGCCCCCGCCCCAGCTACCACCGCAAGAAGGGACAGAAAGAGAATTCTGATCACCTGGACAATCAGACAGACAACAAAGATGAGATCACCGAGAAGAATGTTGGACAGAGGCTGGCGGCATCCGAAAAAAAACACGCAGAATCAGCTGGCACTCACAGCTCCGACTGGCATAAATTTCCAGGCTCACACATCAAGTCATCTGCTCCACTCAGCCCATCTTCCCTAGATGGTAGCCATGCCAACAGGTCAAATGCTGACAGCTCCGTGTCATTCTCCTCTTTAGAGACTGTTATTTCTCCCTTTGGAGAGAAAACTCCGGAGTTTTCTCCTAGCACTGGAAAAGGGCATGAAAACAAAGAATCAGAAAGTGCCAGACAAAAGCCAGACACACCCACAAGAAGGACAGCAATCAAGGTGTCGCGTGAGCAGGCCATGAAGCTTGGTGCCATGTCACCAACCAGAGATGCGCGGCTGACCTCACCTGATCAGGTCAAAACTTCTCCAGGAGAAGCTGCTTCACCTTTTAAGCCTGGCAAAGTCAGCCCATTCTTCAGAGACCAAAAGCCCAAAGAGAAACAAGAGGGCAGAAAAATGGCAGCATCCCAGTTGTCCCCCACAGAGCCAGCCAGCTGCCAACACAAGTGGTATCAGCCTGTAGACAGAAGCACATCCCCAAGCCAACGCTCCCCACTCAGCTCTCCAATCAGGAATCCTTCCTTGAGCGGATCTTCTTCCCAAACTTCACCCAGTCACCTGACATCTTTCAGCTCATCACCTAATGATTCTCCCATCAGAAAACCATCCTTCAGCTCCTCCCAAACCTCCCCCACGCGAAAAGTCTCTTACTCGTCCTCATCCACCACAGACTCGCCAACCCACAAACTTTTCTTCAGTTACCGCAACTCTCCCAGTCACAGAGTGGGCTACACGTCACCTCAAGACTCAGTGCAAAGAAACACCTCATTTAGCTCCTCTTCCCATGAATCCCCAGTGAGAAAACCTTCCTTTAGCTCCTCCTCTGATTCCAGGAACAAACCAACCTACAGCTCCACCACCAGCTCCCAGAGCTCCATCCTCTCCTCCCCTACCCATGTGCCCATGTATGGTGCTCTTTCCCCCGACCACAGTCCCACCAGAAGCTGTGGCTTGCCCCAAGCTTCTCCAGAGGAAACTTTCAGGCCAGCACAGGGCAGCACTCACATTTTCAAATATGGCCGACCTTTGTCACCTAGGAGCAACAACCTTAATGAGTTTCCTACCCCAGATGTTTACAAGGATTCAGCTCTGCCTTTGAAACCATCTTCTTTGAATCTTAGAGATTCTAGAGTGGTTTGTCAAGGGACAGCACCTTCATCTAAAGTAACTAGTCAAGGGACAGCACCTTCCTGCAAAATAACTAGTCAAGGGACATCATCTCTGAGATCAACAGAAGCTCCCAAGCACCAGGCTGGGGTCCAAAGTCTGGTCTCAAGGTTTGAGGCCAATCCAGGCATGGCTGCTGGCAACTACAATAGAAGTGGAGGCCCCCAAAACTACACAGCCTCAGAGAGCTGTGGCTCATTACAGTCTCAGTGTTTGAGCCCACCAGCCTACACCTACCCGTCGCCTCCGTCCAGATCTCAGATGAGCACAAGCAGTGAGGCCAGATCCTTACACTACACTGACTCTCATGTTTACAATGATGCCAGTTTTCACAACAACTACGCCTACAGACTAGACGACAGCCCACACAGCCACCCGTCTAGCCCCTACAGACTAGACGACAGCCCACACAGCCACCCGTCTAGCCCCTACAGACTAGACGACAGCCCACACAGCCACCCGTCTAGCCCTGCAGCCAGTACGGTGTATGTGGCCAGCCCTGCAGCCAGTACGGTGTATGTGGCCAGTCCTGTGTATGTGGCGCGATGCGACTCCTCAGACTCCCTGAGTGCCAATGAAAGCTCCTCCCTACTGAGGGATGAGGAGAAGAGCCAGTCTCTGAGCTCCCTCTACTACGCTGATGAGGACATACCTGATGCTCTCTAGACCTCAAACCTTCATGTTGTTGATGATTTGCTTTTTTTAATGGTAACAGGAAATGTTTGTGACCAAAGGAGTTGTACAGCAATCAGTGGTGTGACATGGAGGATTTATACAGCAATATGTGATAGTTACTGTCTGAACGATTCAGTGGGGCAAGATTTACACACTGAAGGGTGTGCAATCATCAAGTCAATTGTTCATTGATTTGCAATCATTTAAAAAGCAGTTGACATTTTTTAGACAGCAATATTGAGGCCAGATAGTTGGATGTTGAACTTCATTCACTTGAACCTAAAATGTGTCCAGTTTTTTTGTCAGATCAATTTAAGAATGGATTTTTTTTTTAGTTATTGTTAATCTGTGTCTGTGCTCAGCTATTGATGTATGTAATATCCTCACCTCATTTGTTACACTTACAAAGTGGTATGTTTTTTTCTTTCTGGTGATGCTTGTAATAGATCACTGGATATAATCACTTTAAAAAATTAGTTGATGAATTCTAGTACTTATACATTTTTTTAGTGTGGTGGAATGTTTAAAAAATGAAATAAAATGTAGCTGTATAACGTGTTTTCTTTCGAATAAGTGGAACTCTTGTTTTGTGAGAAACATTTTAGGTGTACAAAAATGCAAGATATCAGGCTTCACACCCAAAAAAAAAAGATAAACAAAAATTTATATTTAAATAAAACGATTAACTTTTTATTTTACAGAATAGAAAAAAATATTTACAGTTCTAACTCATAGATGGATGAAATCACCTCTCAAACTCTTATTTATCTTCATTTTAATGTTTTCTACAATGTATTTATTCTATTTAACTGGAACCTTTAATATATCAATCTGACACTTAACATTATGACTGAACATCAAATCCTCCTCTGTTACACTATATGCCAACATGAACACACTCATACACTTTCATACTTTTAAAGTGACTGATTTTTTTCTTTGGATAATTAATTAGGGACAATTAAAAATATAAATCATAGTAGGTAGTGGGTGTCCTGCACCCATTGTGTTTAAATTCAGCCGCTAAGCTTATTGTTAGCACCTAAGTGCAAGTAATTTCTCCAATTCGTGAAACTAAACAAAAGACTTAAAAGTGTTGTTGATGTCTTCTACCACTATTTTACAGCTATTGAAAGCCTAAGACCAAATCCTGAAGTCAAAATAATTTTAACAGACACACGTGCTGTAGTGTTCAGCACCACTTATCTATTCTGTTTGAGGTTTGTTGTATATTTTGACCCTTTTTTTTCTCTAGAAAATGTATGCAATAAAGTATATTTGATTGATGAGAACATATGGTGGAGGTGGAAATATAAACAGGTGAAAAGAGATGAGACTATGGTAGACTCACATGCCATTGCTGTTACAGTCTTAGCACAAAAGAACAAGCACAGACAAATTCCATCCATAAACCATGGCTTCTAACGTACAGTGCAGTTTTTAATTGGCAGTTTTTGTTTTACTGACACAATCAAGTTTTGAGGCCAACCAAAGCATCCATCATGTTTAATGATGTGAGTCTCTAAGGATCCAACACATTGAGTCACCTGGGTTCACATTTGGCGCAGCTTGGCCAGGCGCTGGGATAGTTCATCCTGACAAACAATGGATACACTTTGTTAATGGTGGGCATTAACATCCTGACAAACAATGGATACACTTTGTTTAAATGGTGGGCATTAATTGAACTGTCATGTGCACAAATGTCAAATCCTTCAGTAATAAAATAAAAAACCATTTATAAAATGTGCATCTAGATGAGAAACTTGAGAGCTCAACAAGAAAGCTGACCTGTTCTGCTGAAGCTTGTGTAGATCCTGTTGCTCCTATGGCTGACCCTTGGGCTGATGGAAGATCCATGTTCAGCTCCAAGCTGGAACAACACAAACCTCTTGTCAAATCATTCTTCATACAATTGGTTACACAACTTTCAATAGCATCCAAAATTACAGATGGAATAACTAGCAGTTAGCAAGTCAAGAAACCTAGTTCTGTTTGAGGGATTGACCAAAAATCTACATTATGAATTTTTTAAATTGCCTGTAAATCTTGATTCAATTCTACCAAACATTTTGGTAACAATAGCTCAAAAAAGAATGTTGCGACCGCTATGTGATTTGCATAAGTTTACATGGTAAATAATCTCAGCAACAAAGTGGACTGAACCCAAAAAAATGGGTCTGAAAAAAATTAGGCCAGCATCAACTACCCCCCCCCCCCAATCTCTTTATTTACTTGTCATTTTTCCTCTGTCAATACCCCTGAAGGTAATAACTACCACCTCTTTAAAATACCTATAGCTACCTTTCATTATACAGCTTTCTGGCCACAGGTGGGGGCAGTGATAATTGTCAGGAGGTTAATGTCCTATTGCAGTATTTTGGGCTGGGGCGATGTACAGAGGGTAATGTTCTACTCACAAATAAAATAATATCTGAGCCTTGGAGAATCGAGAGAGAAATTTAATTCAAGGCTGTTATGGTAAACCAAAAAGTAATGGTCTAAATACCCAGCTTCATCAGCAACTTCCTGCATTAAGGCATCCACCTGGTTCTGTGGGGTTGTGAGGGTGGATGAGTTCATCATTGTGTTCTCCATCACTTGTGACTGGACATCCAAGTTTTCAAACTGCTGCTCAAACCTATCCATTAGCTGGGAGATCTGAATACAAACATACACTCAACATGATATTTGGATAAAAACATATACTCAACATTTGATTTACAGATATAAAGACTCAACATGATATATGGATAAAAACATATACTCAACATTTGATATACAAACACTCAACATGACATATGGATACAAACGTACAACTCAACATTTGATATATGGATACAAACGTACAATTCAACATTTGATATATGGATACAAATGTATAACTCAACATTTGATATAAGATACAAATGTACAACTTAACATTTCATATATGGATACAAACGTAACACTCAACACAGTGCCTTTGCTAGGTTGGGTGTCACCCAGTGCGGCACTTTGTGGTGTCGCCCACCCCAAAAAAAAAAATTATGTATATATATGTGTGTTGGCCTATATAGGCCTATAATTTAAATATATGCCGCATTTGCATAAATGTATGCGTATAAGCTTTAATCACTGCAGACCTAACAGTAACAATGTTTATCTATAGTCTGTTAATATTGCTGTTCGATGTAGCATTTCTTTCTCTAGAGGCAGCATGTTTACGTCATGGTGTCACCCCCTCCCTCTTGTAATAATTGTTGATTTATAGTACACTTTGAAGACTATTTAACTTAAATTAACCATTAATGGAACTGGCAAAAAAGCATATTTCTTCTGTACATTTTGCTATTTTTTGCACCCCCCCCCTCCTCGCTACGCCTCAGACTCAACATTTGATATATGGATACTACAAACATTCATTCAACATTTGATTTCTGGCTAAAAACAAACACAGACCTTTGAAATGATTTACAAATGACCACAGACCTTTTCAAGGTTCATAGATTTCATGGCAGACTCCATAGACTTGACAACACCAGCCATGGAATTTGTCACCTGTCTGGTGGTGACAGCTGTCTGCACGCGAGCAGCTACGGCATCAATACGGGCACTCATCCTTCTGTAGTTCAAGGCTTGGTTTTTTTGGCGTATGGAGTTCTCTGCATGGATTTTTGCACCTTCTAAATTTCCTTTTTGTATAGCCTAAAAAATAAATCTTTAATGGTATCTTTGTAACTAGTTTTTGCTGAATAAAAACCTATTCATGTAAGTTAGAGAGATCTTACTTTTTTTAGCTTTAATTTTTCATCTTTTTCTGCTTTTTCTGATCTTTTTGCTTGCCTTTCCAGATCTTTGGCTGCAAACTTCAAGTTGAATAAATTTTCTATGTACAGTTAAGTTAAAAATTCTTACTGACACAAAAGTTAAAGGCCAAAAAAGATAATAAACGGAGGCCACTGAGAATAGTCTCAAAGGCCCAATTAAATATTTTTTAAAATCACAGTGTAATTAAATTAATATGGTAATAAGATCCTGACTTTTTTTTTTTTGGACATTAAATTTGTTAACATTAAGGCATGATTAAGGCCTCAGTTGCATAATAATACTTTTAAGATGTAGAAAAAAAGAATGTAAATCTTTTCTGTTGATATGATATTTTCATTGTAATTCCTTATAATAGTTAGAGATCCTGCTTGAAATATCCTATATCATTTTTGACAAATGTTGTGTGTATGTAAAAGTAAAATGTAGGCCTACTTAATTTTTATTTTCTTCTTATTTACACATAATTTTATTTTATTGGCCTATTAATCCAAAATAAAAATTGTTTAAATTTGCTGAATGTTGGCTACAACTCCAAAAATAATACTTATACTAGTTAATCCACAAGAAAAAAATCAAATCAAGATAAAAAGTATAATTTTAACACTGGTTATGTGAATGTGTAACTCATAACTCTCTAGAGTCTAGACCAAACTTATCTGGGTCCAGATAGCGCAATGGAGAGAAACTGCGACTAATCCTAGCCATAGGTCACTGTGTATGCGCAGAACTATCTTTTGCCGACTAAGTGAAGACGGTTGGGGAGAAAAATCTTTTTCTGAGAAGTCACTTCAATTTAAATAAGGCAAAAGTTGGTATTAATTAGTAGTATAAGTATTTTAGTAGCCTATATTTATATTAAATATAAAAGGATACTCTCCATATTTGACATGTCACACGAAATCTAGATCTGCTGCTATTAAAATAAAGTTTTATAGTTTGATTGACAGACTTATTTTGTAGCCCTTCTCAGGCCTTCTGCCTATCACACTGCCTAACTAAAATTACTAAAAACAGGAAACACTGCAACAGCAGGTAAATGTTTAATTTAATAAATGTCAGTAGTAACAGAAAATATTTTCTTGTGTAAGAATTATGTATTTTTAGATCTAATAAATAAGGAACTAAATTTAGTAAGCCTAGACTAGTTTTAATCATCAATGCAACAGAATGAGGCAGCCTCTTGTGACTGACAGTAAAAACAGGAATGACGTCATGATACGGAAGTAAACATTGCATTTCAAATATCGATACCAACAATGTTGTCAATACAGTACACTACACTACTAGTCTACTAGGGCTACAGTCGTTCAGTTAATTGAAAACGGATTTACAACTATCCACCACATGCGGATCATCTCAACGACAAATCGTTGAGCCACTCTCCAATGGTGTCAAATAAGAATAAAACCCTTAGGTGGCAACTCAACGACATTGTCGTTAAGAATAGCGTACGATCGGCTGAACTATCAGCTATCATATGAGGGGTCGTCCATAAATGACGTCACACTTGTAGGGGGAGGGGGGTCCGTAATTTTGTGACGGTGTGTGATGAGGGGGGGGGGGGGGGTCTTCAGATGGTGTGACGTCACTTTTTTGCATTATAAAAAGCAATGTTAGAAAACGAGTTTTAGCCGTTATTTCGCGTTTAAGAAAACGGTTTTAATAAATTGTTATAGGAATTGATCAAAATACTCTGTTGACAGAGTTCTGACAAGATTTTGGAAAAATATCGATGTTTTAAGAAAAATTCAACAGCAATTTTGAGGGGGGGGGGGGCTGTAGACTGAGGTGTGACGTCATTTTAGGGGATGGGGGGTCTGGCTTTTTGTTACTGGGTGTGACGGAGGGGAGGGGGTAGGTAAAAATCGCCAAAAAAGCGTGACACAAAGGAAACAAATAGATTTGCCTATGAATGTCCAAATCTAAAGGCATACGGTTAAACAATTATCAAAATGTCTAAAACAAAGACTCGGGAAAATGTGTGAAGTAATTTAACGTTTGTTAAGAAATCATCTAAAAATCTAAAGTAGGCTACACTAATAGGCTACTGCAAGTTACGTTGAGAGATAATAATAATATGTATTATTTGTAATTTTTTTTTAATTGAAACAAAGGTTGAAACGAAATAAGTGTTGACTTATATTTTATACATAAGTAAAAGCATCTTGATTAAAAAATATTTGTGCCATAAATCATTTTTTGGAATTCGTTTAGGGGAGCTGACGTTTTTAAATAAACGCTTTCGGCAAGTAGCGTTACCCTTTGGTGTTTTCGCAAGTCACAGCGGCATTTCATTAGAAAGCTAGATTTATACTTTTCGAAGTCTAAAAATCTAGTTGTTATCTAGTTCAGTCTCCGTAATTAATGACAGTTAATATTTAACAATGGTAAGACGTGTATTGGTTAAGATATTCATTAATTATATTTTGTTAAAATCTAGATCTATCGTTAGTTTTAGGTGCGTAAAAAAATCAGTCGAGTGAAAAAGTAGTAGGCCTAGCAATTTTAGTAGCAAATCATGATAAATTAAAATCGGCCGAGGCTAGATCTAGACTAGTACTTTTAGTAATGTGCGAAAAAGTTGCCTCATTGTTAAGGCTTTAATAGAAGTAACCTATATTTGATCTAGATCTAGGTAAAACTCCATTTTAGAGTATTTTATTCTCTGCTTGTCGTTTACCTCCAGTTGAGCGTATTTTATTATAATAAACAAAACACACCAAAACATTAGGAAAACATGATTTATTTATTAGTTTTTCTTACTATTTGTGAAATCTACTTAATTCTCAATTTAAACATGACAACTGAATAAAAAACGTCCATACTTTATCCTCTAGGCACTAAATTTGGGGGTTGTAGCGAGTTTAGACTAAATTATTGAATTTTAAATTTATTTGTCACTCACAGCTATGATATGACGGATCATCCATGACAACCTGGTTAAAAGTTGAAAGGTTTAACTTTTTAAGTGACCGTGAAATAGATCTAATTTTTTTTCACAAGAGAGTTCCTAAAAGTAGAATTGGCCCGTCTATCGTCGGGTAATATTTTTAGAGGAAAAAAATTTAAGAGAATGTCATCAGAAAAGAATTTAAAAAAAGACAAGACAGAAGTGATTTTTGAATTCTTTTATTTCTTTAATTTTATGACATTTTTTATTGTACAAAAGAGCAAAATAAAAAACCATGCCAGGTAAACGTATCCATTCAAATAGCGGTCACGTGGTCAAAAAAAATTTAAAAAATGTGGTTGTCATTTCTCGGTCGATCTTATAAAAAAACGGTTGAAGATATTTGATTTATTTTTTCATAGAATGATAAAACTAATGATGCTTTACTATGGAAATCAATTTTGTGAGAGGGAGATCTATATTTAAAAAGTTAAATTATTTTGAATGACACCGACTTTAAATTTAGCCTACATTCCCCAAAGCAATTTCTGAAAATGCTTTTCTGGCATATTTAACCTTGCCACCTATAGCATGTTTTTATAACGTGAAAACCCGCCATTTTACTCGTGATAAACATTTTTAAAAGTAATTCTAAGAAGGTCTCTGGAACTAAGTCGAAAAACTCGCCGGAAGTCATGGTCCGATCCTTACGCCATGTTCTGGTTAGCAACCAAGGACGCTTTTAAGTTAGTTAGCCTCCCTATTATTTATTTGTATTGTATTTTTGTTTTCACACATGAATAAAAAGGAATATTTAAAAAACACGAACACATTTTGAGACACACCCAGCGCTGCGTAACAGCTGATTTATTGTTTACTAGCGTGGTGGCGGACGTAGGTATCACGTGATTTAGGTCATGTGTTTGCAAGACCTGTATAAATTTACCAAAAAAAAAAACTTAAACAGGATGGCTGCTAAAGTAAATGAGCTTGGTTGCATCTGATGAAAACATTGCTGGTCTTTATTTTTTACTGAAAAGTTTTAGGCCTAATACAATTACAATTGTTTAAAAACAGGTACATTAATGAAACTTTGAAACATTTTTGTAACTTTCAAAAAATAAATCCTCCTAAACATGTGAAATTATTAATAAAATTTAATGAGTCACCTTTTATTTCACATTAGATTTACTTAATTTAAAAGTAGATAAGAATAATTAGAACAATGTTTAGTAGCAGCAATAATTAGCACATACACTTAAAATAATTAGAAATGCAAAATGGTTAGTAAAACATTATTTAAAATGCAACTAAAATCAATCTATGCACATTTTTGTGCATTAAAACATTGTGTATTAAAAATAATATGGCGCCATATAAATGAAGGTTTACAGTATATCCGGTGGTTTCTGGAATGGCGTGACAGACTAGGCCATGGTTTTACTGTTTTTTACTGCTGTACCTTTCTGGATGGTGATATTACCCAAAATTGTTTCAAAGATTCATTCATGTACCTGTTTTTAAACAGTCAATCGTATTAAAACTTTTCAGTTATAAATAAAGACTTAGTGATGTTTTCATTAGATGCGACCAAGCTCATTTAGGCGCAGTTTTAAAAAACGGAGTGACTTCTCAGAAAAAGATTTTCCCCCCAGTGTCACTATCTGGTCAGCAGAAGATACGAAACTCAATAGTTCTGCACAGTGACCTCAAAATCGGCACGTGTGCAGTGACCTTAATAGCTGCGCTGGGGTTTGGGCTAGAGTTAGGGTTCTGCGGTTTGTAAACACACGCATGCGCAGTACCACAGAAACATCACAGTGGCGGAAGGTGGTAGTTTCTCTCAAGATACACATGTATCATTTTCCGGCTAGAATCTGCCAAAAATTGGCTTGAAGTTTACTAACTATCCTAATTATTATTATAAAACAAATTGTTAAGATCTGGTTGTATGTGTTAAAATCTGTACTGTATGAGACTTCTTATTACTCTAATGCTGACTGAAACATACAGAAGTATAATCAGGGAAATAGAAACCTTCAAGAAACTGGTTTATGAAGTAGAGCCCCATAAATTACCGAACATATTTGCTGTTAAAGTAAAACATCAAGTTTATTCCATGGTAAAGATTTTTGAAGTAAGCTAATGAGAGTATGGATTGGAAGTATAAATGGTTTCTAAGTGGTTTTAGAATCCTGAAGTTATGGACTTTTAGTGATATTTATTAACTTTATTAGCCAACTAGTTCTCTAATCGTTAACTTTCAAAGTTATATCATTGTCTCCTAACATTAACATTCAATAACTTGTTATTTCAGTTTAGAAACCAATATGACAATGATGTTACAGTATGGAGCCCCCAGGTAATTTGTATTTAGAACGTAGGATATGATGTAATGTAGGAGTAATTGTATAATAAATCGTTAAAAGAAGAGGAAATATTGTAAGATTCCTGGTAGCTTATGGATAGATCAATTTTTACAGTTCATGTTTTACACCGTTGTATCTTATAAATAGATGTACAAGTATTTTGAAAATAGCTGTTTTTATAAATTTCTGTTCAAACATAATAGCTGTTGTAATATTTTTTCTTTTTACATTTGTGTGTGGTGGTCTAATGCTGACATGATTGTGTGGTGGTCTAATGCTGACATGATTGTGTGTGGTGGTCTAATGCTGACATGATTGTGTGTGGTGGTCCAATACTGACATGATTGTGTGTGGTGGTCTAATGCTGACATGATTGTGTGGTGGTCTAATACTGTCATGATTGTGTGTGGTGGTCTAATGCTGTCATGATTGTGTGTGGTGGTCTAATACTGACATGATTGTGTGTGGTGGTCTAATACTGACATGATTGTGTGTGGTGGTCCAATACTGACATGATTGTGTGGTGGTCTAATGCTGTCATGATTGTGTGTGGTGGTCTAATGCTGACATGATTGTGTGTGGTGGTCTAATGCTGACATGATTGTGTGTGGTGGTCTAATACTGACATGATTGTGTGTGGTGGTCTAATGCTGACATGATGGTGTGTGGTGGTCTAATGCTGATGTGTTTGTGTGTGGTGGTCTAATGCTGATGTGTTTGTGTGTGGTGGTCTAATGCTGTCATGATTGTGTGTGGTGGTCCAATACTGACATGATTGTGTGTGGTGGTCTAATACTGACATGATTGTGTGTGGTGGTCTAATGCTGATGTGTTTGTGTGTGGTGGTCTAATGCTGATGTGTTTGTGTGTGGTGGTCTAATGCTGATGTGTTTGTGTGTGGTGGTCTAATACTGACATGATTGTGTGTGGTGGTCTAATACTGACATGATTGTGTGTGGTGGTCTAATACTGACATGATTGTGTGTGGTGGTCTAATGCTGATGTGTTTGTGTGTGGTGGTCTAATACTGATGTGTTTGTGTGTGGTGGTCTAATACTGACATGATTGTGTGTGGTGGTCTAATGCTGACATGATTGTGTGTGGTGGTCTAATACTGACATGATTGTGTGTGGTGGTCTAATACTGATGTGTTTGTGTGTGGTGGTCTAATACTGACATGTTTGTGTGTGGTGGTCTAATGCTGATGTGTTTGTGTGTGGTGGTCTAATGCTGACATGATTGTGTGTGGTGGTCTAATGCTGATGTGTTTGTGTGTGGTGGTCTAATGCTGATGTGATTGTGTGTGGTGGTCTAATGCTGATGTGTTTGTGTGTGGTGGTCTAATGCTGACATGATTGTGTGGTGGTCTAATGCTGACATGATTGTGTGGTGGTCTAATGCTGACATGATTGTGTGTGGTGGTCTAATGCTGATGTGTTTGTGTGTGGTGGTCTAATGCTGACATGATTGTGTGTGGTGGTCTAATGCTGACATGATTGTGTGTGGTGGTCTAATGCTGACATGATTGTGTGTGGTGGTCTAATGCTGATGTGTTTGTGTGTGGTGGTCTAATACTGACATGATTGTGTGTGGTGGTCTAATACTGACATGATTGTGTGTGGTGGTCTAATACTGACATGATTGTGTGTGGTGGTCTAATGCTGATGTGTTTGTGTGTGGTGGTCTAATACTGATGTGTTTGTGTGTGGTGGTCTAATACTGACATGATTGTGTGTGGTGGTCTAATGCTGACATGATTGTGTGTGGTGGTCTAATACTGACATGATTGTGTGTGGTGGTCTAATACTGATGTGTTTGTGTGTGGTGGTCTAATACTGACATGTTTGTGTGTGGTGGTCTAATGCTGATGTGTTTGTGTGTGGTGGTCTAATGCTGACATGATTGTGTGTGGTGGTCTAATGCTGATGTGTTTGTGTGTGGTGGTCTAATGCTGATGTGATTGTGTGTGGTGGTCTAATGCTGATGTGTTTGTGTGTGGTGGTCTAATGCTGACATGATTGTGTGGTGGTCTAATGCTGACATGATTGTGTGGTGGTCTAATGCTGACATGATTGTGTGTGGTGGTCTAATGCTGATGTGTTTGTGTGTGGTGGTCTAATGCTGACATGATTGTGTGTGGTGGTCTAATGCTGACATGATTGTGTGTGGTGGTCTAATGCTGACATGATTGTGTGTGGTGGTCTAATGCTGATGTGTTTGTGTGTGGTGGTCTAATGCTGACATGATTGTGTGTGGTGGTCTAATGCTGATGTGTTTGTGTGTGGTGGTCTAATACTGATGTGTTTGTGTGTGGTGGTCTAATGCTGATGTGTTTGTGTGTGGTGGTCTAATGCTGATGTGTTTGTGTGTGGTGGTCTAATGCTGATGTGTTTGTGTGTGGTGGTCTAATACTGACATGATTGTGTGTGGTGGTCTAATGCTGACATGATTGTGTGTGGTGGTCTAATGCTGATGTGTTTGTGTGTGGTGGTCTAATGCTGACATGATTGTGTGTGGTGGTCTAATGCTGACATGATTGTGTGTGGTGGTCTAATGCTGACATGATTGTGTGTGGTGGTCTAATGCTGATGTGTTTGTGTGTGGTGGTCTAATGCTGATGTGTTTGTGTGTGGTGGTCTAATGCTGATGTGTTTGTGTGTGGTGGTCTAATGCTGATGTGTTTGTGTGTGGTGGTCTAATGCTGATGTGTTTGTGTGTGGTGGTCTAATACTGATGTGTTTGTGTGTGGTGGTCTAATGCTGATGTGTTTGTGTGTGGTGGTCTAATGCTGATGTGTTTGTGTGTGGTGGTCTAATGCTGATGTGTTTGTGTGTGGTGGTCTAATACTGACATGATTGTGTGTGGTGGTCTAATGCTGACATGATTGTGTGTGGTGGTCTAATGCTGATGTGTTTGTGTGTGGTGGTCTAATGCTGACATGATTGTGTGTGGTGGTCTAATGCTGACATGATTGTGTGTGGTGGTCTAATGCTGACATGATTGTGTGTGGTGGTCTAATGCTGATGTGTTTGTGTGTGGTGGTCTAATGCTGATGTGTTTGTGTGTGGTGGTCTAATGCTGATGTGTTTGTGTGTGGTGGTCTAATGCTGATGTGTTTGTGTGTGGTGGTCTAATGCTGATGTGTTTGTGTGTGGTGGTCTAATGCTGATGTGTTTGTGTGTGGTGGTCTAATGCTGATGTGTTTGTGTGTGGTGGTCTAATACTGACATGATTGTGTGTGGTGGTCTAATACTGACATGATTGTGTGTGGTGGTCTAATGCTGACATGATTGTGTGTGGTGGTCTAATGCTGATGTGTTTGTGTGTGGTGGTCTAATGCTGATGTGTTTGTGTGTGGTGGTCTAATGCTGATGTGTTTGTGTGTGGTGGTCTAATGCTGATGTGTTTGTGTGTGGTGGTCTAATGCTGATGTGTTTGTGTGTGGTGGTCTAATGCTGATGTGTTTGTGTGTGGTGGTCTAATGCTGACATGATTGTGTGTGGTGGTCTAATGCTGATGTGTTTGTAGGGAAGGATCCACCAGCTGGAATATGCCATGGAGGCTGTCAAACAAGGCTCAGCTTGTGTGGGGTTAAAGTCCAAGACTCATGCTGTCTTAGTAGCACTTAAGGTAGGCTAGAGACACGTTGTGATGTACTAGTAGCACTTAAGGTAGGCTAGAGACACATTGTGATGTACTAGTAGCACTTAAGGTAGGCTAGAGACACGTTGTGATGTACTAGTAGCACTTAAGGTAGGCTAGAGACACGTTGTGATGTACTAGTAGCACTTAAGGTAGGCTAGAGACACATTGTGATGTACTAGTAGCACTTAAGGTAGGCTAGAGACACGTTGTGATGTACTAGTAGCACTTAAGGTAGGCTAGAGACACATTGTGATGTACTAGTAGCACTTAAGGTAGGCTAGAGACACATTGTGATGTACTAGTAGCACTTAAGGTAGGCTAGAGACACATTGTGATGTACTAGTAGCACTTAAGGTAGGCTAGAGACACATTGTGATGTACTAGTAGCACTTAAGGTAGGCTAGAGACACATTGTGATGTACTAGTAGCACTTAAGATAGGCTAGAGACACATTGTGATGTACTAGTAGCACTTAAGGTAGGCTAGAGACACATTGTGATGTACTAGTAGCACTTAAGGTAGGCTAGAGACACATTGTGATGTACTAGTAGCACTTAAGGTAGGCTAGAGACACATTGTGATGTACTAGTAGCACTTAAGGTAGGCTAGAGACACATTGTGATGTACTAGTAGCACTTAAGGTAGGCTAGAGACACATTGTGATGTACTAGTAGCACTTAAGGTAGGCTAGAGACACATTGTGATGTACTAGTAGCACTTAAGGTAGGCTAGAGACACATTGTGATGTACTAGTAGCACTTAAGGTAGGCTAGAGACACATTGTGATGTACTAGTAGCACTTAAGGTAGGCTAGAGACACATTGTGATGTACTAGTAGCACTTAAGGTAGGCTAGAGACACATTGTGATGTACTAGTAGCACTTAAGGTAGGCTAGAGACACATTGTGATGTACTAGTAGCACTTAAGGTAGGCTAGAGACACATTGTGATGTACTAGTAGCACTTAAGGTAGGCTAGAGACACATTGTGATGTCCTAGTAGCACTTAATGTAGGCTAGAGACACATTGTGATGTCCTAGTAGCACTTAAGGTAGGCTAGAGACACATTGTGATGTCCTAGTAGCACTTAAGGTAGGCTAGAGACACATTGTGATGTACTAGTAGCACTTAAGGTAGGCTAGAGACACATTGTGATGTCCTAGTAGCACTTAAGGTAGGCTAGAGACACATTGTGATGTACTAGTAGCACTTAAGGTAGGCTAGAGACACATTGTGATGTACTAGTAGCACTTAAGGTAGGCTAGAGACACATTGTGATGTACTAGTAGCACTTAAGGTAGGCTAGAGACACATTGTGATGTACTAGTAGCACTTAAGGTAGGCTAGAGACACATTGTGATGTACTAGTAGCACTTAAGGTAGGCTAGAGACACATTGTGATGTACTAGTAGCACTTAAGGTAGGCTAGAGACACATTGTGATGTACTAGTAGCACTTAAGGTAGGCTAGAGACACATTGTGATGTCCTAGTAGCACTTAATGTAGGCTAGAGACACATTGTGATGTACTAGTAGCACTTAAGGTAGGCTAGAGACACATTGTGATGTACTAGTGGCACTTAAGGTAGGCTAGAGACACATTGTGATGTACTAGTAGCACTTAAGGTAGGCTAGAGACACATTGTGATGTACTAGTAGCACTTAAGGTAGGCTAGAGACACATTGTGATGTACTAGTAGCACTTAAGGTAGGCTAGAGACACTTTGTGATGTCCTAGTAGCACTTAAGGTAGGCTAGAGACACATTGTGATGTACTAGTAAGCTAGAGACACATGTGGCATTTATGTCTGGAAAATGACATTTTATAATGTTGCTCATTTACAATCTTTTTTAACTTTTTTAAACATGTATATTTAAAAGATCAAATATTGCTTATTAACAGCCGCTGTTTATTTAATCTAGCCACATTTTACTTTCAGCGTGCTCCCTCAGAACTATCAGCCCATCAGAAAAAAATTTTGCCCATTGATGATCACATAGCAGTCTCCATTGCTGGTCTAACAGCTGATGCTAGGTTGCTGTGGTAGGTTCAGTCTGGCTGGAGGCTGTTGTTAGATCATTAGAACATTACACTTGTTCTTAGTACTTGGCTACATTCAACAACCAGTTATATAAATGAGTCTATGATGCTCCGGGATGTCCCTTGTGCAGCTTGACCAATGAGCTGACTTGTGGTTCGAAGGTGGACGCTCTGGAAATCAATTTGGATAATTGTACACTATGTCAGAAAGTTTTTAGTTAGAGCTTTGGAATGCATAATAGACGAAGGGGAATAACTCAATATTTAAGCTATATTACATGCATGTGTATTTGATTTTATAACTTTAAATATTTATGTGTAATTTATTTATATCAACATTTGTTTCAGTAATTACATGAGGAATGAATGCTTGAACTCGCGCTGGGCTTACAATACACCTCTAGCTATATCCCGTCTAGTTGCTGCTGTTGGGAGTAGTATCCTTGTTCTATAAATAGTTTAACATTCATCTACCTATCTACTCTACTAGTTGTATGGCTTGTAGTAAAGTTTTATGTTCTTTAAGTTGTTGAAACATTCATCTACCTATCTACTCTACTAGTTGTATGGCTTGTAGTAAATTTTTATGTTCTTTAAGTTGTTGAATCATTCATCTACCTATCTACTCTACTAGTTGTATGGTTTGTAGTAAAGTTTTATGTTCTTTAAGTTGTTGAATCATTCATCTACCTATCTACTCTACTAGTTGTATGGCTTGTAGTAAATTTTTATGTTCTTTAAGTTGTTGAATCATTCATCTACCTATCTACTCTACTAGTTGTATGGCTTGTAGTAAATTTTTATGTTCTTTAAGTTGTTGAATCATTCATCTACCTATCTACTCTACTAGTTGTATGGTTTGTAGTAAAGTTTTATGTTCTTTAAGTTGTTGAATCATTCATCTACCTATCTACTCTACTAGTTGTATGGCTTGTAGTAAAGTTTTATGTTCTTTAAGTTGTTGAATCATTCATCTACCTATCTACTCTACTAGTTGTATGGCTTGTAGTAAATTTTTATGTTCTTTAAGTTGTTGAATCATTCATCTACCTATCTACTCTACTAGTTGTATGGTTTGTAGTAAAGTTTTATGTTCTTTAAGTTGTTGAATCATTCATCTACCTATCTACTCTACTAGTTGTATGGCTTGTAGTAAAGTTTTATGTTCTTTAAGTTGTTGAAACATTCATCTACCTATCTACTCTACTAGTTGTATGGCTTGTAGTAGAGCTTTATGTTCTTTAAGTTGTTGAATCATTCATCTACCTATCTACTCTACTAGTTGTATGGCTTGTAGTAAAGTTTTATGTTCTTTAAGTTGTTGAATCATTCATCTACCTATCTACTCTACTAGTTGTATGGCTTGTAGTAAAGTTTTATGTTCTTTAAGTTGTTGAATCATTCATCTACCTATCTACTCTACTAGTTGTATGGCTTGTAGTAAAGTTTTATGTTACTGTCCTGGTGTAAATACTTAACTGAGTGAACAGAATCTCAGATCCCAACTCAGAGGTATGGCCGCAGACCTTTTGGTGTGGGCTTGTTGGTAGCTGGCTATGATGTAAGACATTGTTTGTCCAATTTTTTTCTTCTTTATAGTAATATTTACATTAGAATTTAGGAGATAATATAGCAATATTTACATTAGAATTTAGGAGCTAAAAGATAAGTTTAGGTTTAAAAAAAATATGTACCAGGCCCACATGGCACACATTTAGCTGTCAACTATTATAATTGTAACCAGGCCCACATGGCACACATTTAGCTGTCAACTATTATAATTGTAACCAGGCCCACATGCCACACATTTAGCTGTCAACTATTATAATTGTAACCAGGCCCACATGGCACACATTTAGCTGTCAACTATTATAATTGTAACCAGGCCCACATGGCACACATTTAGCTGTCAACTATTATAATTGTAACCAGGCCCACATGGCACACATTTAGCTGTCAACTATTATAATTGTAACCAGACCCACATGCCACACATTTAGCTGTCAACTATTATAATTGTAACCAGGCCCACATGGCACACATTTAGCTGTCAACTATTATAATTGTAACCAGGCCCACATGGCACATATTTAGCTGTCAACTATTATAATTGTAACCAGGCCCACATGGCACACATTTAGCTGTCAACTATTATAATTGTAACCAGGCCCACATGGCACACATTTAGCTGTCAACTATTATAATTGTAACCAGGCCCACATGGCACACATTTAGCTGTCAACTATTATAATTGTAACCAGGCCCACATGGCACACATTTAGCTGTCAACTATTATAATTGTAACCAGGCCCACATGGCACACATTTAGCTGTCAACTGTTATAATTGTAACCAGGCCCAAGGACCACACATCTACCAGACTTGCCCCTCTGCCAACTTCTATGACTGTAAGGCCATGGCTATAGGAGCAAGGTCCCAGTCAGCCAGGACATACCTTGAAAAACACTTGGATGTTTTCCCTGACTGTAAGTACAACATGCAGGTTAACTTTAGTTTACCCTGACTGTAAGTACAACATGCAGGTTAACTTTAGTTTTCCCTGACTGTAAGTACAACATGCAAGTTAACTTTAGTTTTCCCTGACTGTAAGTACAACATGCAGGTTAACTTTAGTTTTCCCTGACTGAAAGTACAACATGCAGGTTAACTTTAGTTTTCCCTGACTGAAAGTACAACATGCAGGTTAACTTTAGTTTTCCCTGACTGTAAGTACAACATGCAAGTTAACTTTAGTTTTCCCTGACTGTAAGTACAACATGCAAGTTAACTTTAGTTTTCCCTGACTGTAAGTACAACATGCAGGTTAACTTTAGTTTTCCCTGACTGAAAGTACAACATGCAGGTTAACTTAACTTTTCCTTGACTGCTAGCTTTTAAGGTATGATATGATTATATTAAGACTGTTTTGTGATGTCAGCATTATTATGTGTACATTATAAAGACAAAATCTATGTATGAAGCTGAAGTACCTATAACATAGAAAATGTATTTTGTTGAAGGTGTTCTTGAGGAGTTGGTCAAGCACGGATTGAGGGCATTGAGGGACACATTACCACAGGAAGTCGACCTCACACCTAAGGTATTTCTCACTCTCTCCTGGGATCAAATGCCCACAAATGCTTTCGTTGTGTCTAATTTTGACTCTCTTACTTCCTGTTTTAGAACTGTTCCATTGGTATTGTATCTAAGGACACCAAATTTGCCATCTTGGATGATGATGATGTTGCACCATATGTATCCTTTAGTCTTCAAATCCATTTGCTTATTACGTAACTAAACTAGCACTTGTTTCTGATGGACCAATTTAATCTTGTATTCTAATCATTGCGTGACCCCAACAATGTCAGCTCTTGTGAGTGTGGTAGTTATGAACTATGTTGGGTGTGTGTAGTTATGAACTATGTTGGGTGTGTGTAGTCTACTAGATAAAGGAGTGTTACAGCCAGCAATAAGTGTTAAAATTTCTATGTTGGCCTTAACCGTGCACAGCTGAACATGATTGAGGGTGAAGAAAGAACTGTCAGACCACAGGCAGAGGAAGCTGAGGTAATTGCTTCATGTTGTGTATGGGACCCAGTGTTATAGCTTCATGTTGTGTATGGGACCCAGTGTTATAGCTTCATGTTGTGTATGGGACCCAGTGTTATAGCTTCATGTTGTGTATGGGACCCAGTGTTATAGCTTCATGTTGTGTATGGGACCCAGTGTTATAGCTTCATGTTGATTATGGGACCCAGTGTTATAGTTTCATGTTGTGTATGGGACCCAGTGTTATAGCTTCATGTTGTGTATGGGACCCAGTGCTATAGCTTCATGTTGTGTATGGGACCCAGTGTTATAGCTTCATGTGTATGGGACCCAGTGTTATAGCTTCATGTTGTGTATGGGACCCAGTGTTATAGCTTCATGTTCTACATGACCCACTGGGTACAAGTACTTTACAACTTTTTCAGCAACCAATGGATGCTGATGATCAAGCAGGAGCTGCACCTATTGACCCTTTGCCCGTTGACCCCCAGGCTGTAGATGACACTATGGACCAGTAAATAGGAGAGGTTGTTGGCATATCAAATACTGCCTGTGGTGTGTCGTTTTTTTTTGACATTTGTATTAAACAATTCATCCTCATTTGTTTTGTATTTTGTCTGCAAAATTTCATTAAAGTAACATTTTTAAAAAGTTTTGTAAAGTTATTTTATTTTTCTTATGACATTAAAGCATTAATTTATTCCAATGTGTAGAAAAAAATCTGCAACCTTACATACAGCATTCTTGAAGGGGGATAATTTACATTTCAAACAAAATTGGAAGTAACAGGAATCTATCACAAACAGTCCTTACAGACATATCACATATTGCACTTGACCAATTCATTAGTTAAAAACCTTTAAACCAGGGGTCTCCAAACTTTTTAGTCCGAGGGCCGCATTAGCAATCAAATTTCAGTTCGGGGGCCAGTTTCTTCCAGGCATGTCTTTGATTTTTCTGGGCAAAGTTCCTAAGCCATCACCAACAAAAGTTTTTTCCATGGACAAAAAGATTGCCGCGGGCCGGATGAGAGGACATCGCGGGCCGCATCCGGCCCGCGGGCCGTAGTTTGGAGACCCCTGCTTTAAACCAACATACAAATGGATGCAGTCAGTGGGAAGCAACTGACAAAACTAGCAGTTTCTCTAGTGGATATGTAGTCTAGTACCATTTTTTCCAGCCTTCTGTAAGACTTGAACCACCTCTCAAATAGGGGGAACTGCCCAAACTTTCAGTGTTGAGTAGCTGTAACTGTAAGGAAAACGTGCGACCCACTGTAAATTTACAAAAACAAATCTCCAAACCTACACATTAAAAAAATTAACTCACATATAAATAGTGGAGAACTGAATACATAAATTACATTCAGGCAGGGATGCCCATGGTGAGAGATATATTGTGCTACAGTTCTACCAGTGACTAGTTTACAACAACACTAGCTCATGGACTGGACAAAACAACACTAGCTCATGGACTGGACAACACAACACTAGCTCATATAGGCCAGATGCATATTATACTGAGATAGTTTGTCACAGTGAGATTCTGATTAGATCTATTGCTCACAAATACATGTCAGTTGTAGTGTCACATATGGGCTGTTAGTGGAGTTAAAACTTGATTAAATAAAACGAGATTGTTGGTCTTAGTGTGTTGGACATGTATTAGCACAGAAATGTAGATCCACCAATTGCATGTAGGCAGGTCTACCTGTACATACATGACATTAGAATGGCTGCATAACATTGCACAAGAATTTGATCATATACATACATACATATTGCATAAGGAGAGTACATTTCAATTTTTGTAACTTGTCAGTCTTGGTGTGAATGGGCGGTCAAAGATTTAGTAGTGTGTTGGGGTGTACTAAACAAAGATTGCTTGATGTGCAGTCAACTAACTCATGCTACATCATTGGTGGAATGCACTGTTTGCAAGCCTGGAAGAACTTGAGATGTGACAATTCAAGCAGTATTTCTTATTGTGACAATGCAAGCAGTATATTGTATTGCAACAACTCAAGCAGTATATCTTATAGCTTTAGCAACATGTTGAGGCAGTAGAAGCAACTAAATTTGTGACAAAGATCAAAGTGGAACAGGTGAAGTAGAATCAATGAGTTTTTTCCGCTCATGTCTAGTGTCATAGCTGAGGGGAGACAATAAAAATCCTTTCTGTGCCATGATAGTCTTGAGTTCTGTGTCTTCCTTTTGCTCCCTGAAACCAGAAAAGCAAAACATAATGGACACATTACAACATGTCAATAAAAACTTTTTATTAGTGTTCTACAAAACTTTTAAAAATACAACAGCCATTTAAGCCATAGAACAAAAAATCTAATTAAGAATATGACAACATGTGTACTCCCACCCTCCCCCAACTACCTGAGCCTCCTACCCTCCCCCAACTACCTGAGCCTCCTACCCTCCCCCAACTACCTGAGCCTCCTACCCTCCCCCAACTACCTGAGCCTCCTACCCTCCCCCAACTACCTGAGCCTCCCACCCTCCCCCAACTACCTGAGCCTCCTACCCTCCCCCAACTACCTGAGCCTCCTACCCTCCCCCAACTACCTGAGCCTCCCACCCTCCCCCAACTACCTGAGCCTCCTACCCTCCCCCAACTACCTGAGTCTGTCCTCCCCCAACTACCTGAGCCCTCCTACCCTCCCCCAACTACCTGAGCCTCCTACCCTCCCCCAACTACCTGAGCCTCCTACCCTCCCCCAACTACCTGAGCCTCCCACCCTCCCCCAACTACCTGAGCCTCCTACCCTCCCCCAACTACCTGAGCCTCCTACCCTCCCCCAACTACCTGAGCCTCCTACCCTCCCCCAACTACCTGAGCCTCCTACCCTCCCCCAGCTACCTGAGCCTCCTACCCTCCCCCAACTACCTGAGCCTCCCCCAACTACCTGAGCCTCCTACCCTCCCCCAACTACCTGAGCCTGTCCTCCCCCAACTACCTGAGCCTGTCCTCCCCCAACTACCTGAGCCTCCCCCAACTACCTGAGCCTCCTACCCTCCCCCAACTACCTGAGCCTCCTACCCTCCCCCAACTACCTGAGCCTCCTACCCTCCCCCAACTACCAGAGCCTCCTACCCTCCCCCAACTACCTGAGCCTCCTACCCTCCCCCAACTACCTGAGCCTCCCACCCTCCCCCAACTACCTGAGCCTCCCACCCTCCCCCAACTACCTGAGCCTCCTACCCTCCCCCAACTACCTGAGCCTCCTACCCTCCCCCAACTACCTGAGCCTCCTACCCTCCCCCAACTACCTGAGCCTCCCACCCTCCCCCAACTACCTGAGCCTCCCCCAACTACCTGAGCCTCCTACCCTCCCCCAACTACCTGAGCCTCCTACCCTCCCCCAACTACCTGAGCCTCCTACCCTCCCCCAACTACCTGAGCCTCCCCCAACTACCTGAGCCTCCTACCCTCCCCCAACTACCTGAGCCTGTCCTCCCCCAACTACCTGAGCCTGTCCTCCCCCAACTACCTGAGCCTCCCCCAACTACCTGAGCCTCCTACCCTCCCCCAACTACCTGAGCCTCCTACCCTCCCCCAACTACCTGAGCCTCCTACCCTCCCCCAACTACCAGAGCCTCCTACCCTCCCCCAACTACCTGAGCCTCCTACCCTCCCCCAACTACCTGAGCCTCCCACCCTCCCCCAACTACCTGAGCCTCCCACCCTCCCCCAACTACCTGAGCCTCCTACCCTCCCCCAACTACCTGAGCCTCCTACCCTCCCCCAACTACCTGAGCCTCCTACCCTCCCCCAACTACCTGAGCCTCCTACCCTCCCCCAACTACCTGAGCCTCCTACCCTCCCCCAACTACCAGAGCCTCCTACCCTCCCCCAACTACCTGAGCCTCCCACCCTCCCCCAACTACCAGAGCCTCCTACCCTCCCCCAACTACCTGAGCCTCCTACCCTCCCCCAACTACCAGAGCCTCCTACCCTCCCCCAACTACCTGAGCCTCCTACCCTCCCCCAACTACCTGAGCCTCCTACCCTCCCCCAACTACCTGAGCCCTCCTACCCTCCCCCAACTACCTGAGCCTCCTACCCTCCCCCAACTACCTGAGCCTCCCACCCTCCCCCAACTACCTGAGCCTCCCCCAACTACCTGAGCCTCCCACCCTCCCCCAACTACCTGAGCCTCCCACCCTCCCCCAACTACCTGAGCCTCCCACCCTCCCCCAACTACCTGAGCCTCCTACCCTCCCCCAACTACCTGAGCCTCCTACCCTCCCCCAACTACCTGAGCCTCCTACCCTCCCCCAACTACCTGAGCCTCCTACCCTCCCCCAACTACCTGAGCCCTCCTACCCTCCCCCAACTACCTGAGCCTCCTACCCTCCCCCAACTACCTGAGCCTCCTACCCTCCCCCAACTACCTGAGCCTCCCACCCTCCCCCAACTACCTGAGCCTCCTACCCTCCCCCAACTACCTGAGTCTGTCCTCCCCCAACTACCTGAGCCCTCCTACCCTCCCCCAACTACCTGAGCCTCCTACCCTCCCCCAACTACCTGAGCCTCCTACCCTCCCCCAACTACCTGAGCCTCCTACCCTCCCCCAACTACCTGAGCCTCCTACCCTCCCCCAACTACCTGAGCCTCCTACCCTCCCCCAACTACCTGAGCCTCCCACCCTCCCCCAACTACCTGAGCCTCCTACCCTCCCCCAACTACCTGAGCCTCCTACCCTCCCCCAACTACCTGAGCCTCCTACCCTCCCCCAACTACCTGAGCCTCCTACCCTCCCCCAACTACCTGAGCCTCCTACCCTCCCCCAACTACCTGAGCCTCCTACCCTCCCCCAACTACCTGAGCCTCCCCCAACTACCTGAGCCTCCCACCCTCCCCCAACTACCTGAGCCCTCCTACCCTCCCCCAACTACCTGAGCCTCCCACCCTCCCCCAACTACCTGAGCCCTCCTACCCTCCCCCAACTACCTGAGCCTCCTACCCTCCCCCAACTACCTGAGCCTCCTACCCTCCCCCAACTACCTGAGCCTCCTACCCTCCCCCAACTACCTGAGCCTCCTACCCTCCCCCAACTACCTGAGTCTGTCCTCCCCCAACTACCTGAGCCCTCCTACCCTCCCCCAACTACCTGAGCCTCCTACCCTCCCCCAACTACCTGAGCCTCCCACCCTCCCCCAACTACCTGAGCCTCCCCCAACTACCTGAGCCTCCCACCCTCCCCCAACTACCTGAGCCTCCCACCCTCCCCCAACTACCTGAGCCTCCCACCCTCCCCCAACTACCTGAGCCTCCCCCAACTACCTGAGCCTCCTACCCTCCCCCAACTACCTGAGCCTCCTACCCTCCCCCAACTACCTGAGCCTCCTACCCTCCCCCAACTACCTGAGCCTCCTACCCTCCCCCAACTACCTGAGCCTCCTACCCTCCCCCAACTACCTGAGCCTCCTACCCTCCCCCAACTACCTGAGCCTCCTACCCTCCCCCAACTACCTGAGCCTCCTACCCTCCCCCAACTACCTGAGCCTCCTACCCTCCCCCAACTACCTGAGCCTCCTACCCTCCCCCAACTACCTGAGCCTCCTACCCTCCCCCAACTACCAGAGCCTCCTACCCTCCCCCAACTACCTGAGCCTCCCCCAACTACCTGAGCCTCCCACCCTCCCCCAACTACCTGAGCCTCCTACCCTCCCCCAACTACCTGAGCCTCCCACCCTCCCCCAACTACCTGAGCCTCCCCCAACTACCTGAGCCTCCTACCCTCCCCCAACTACCTGAGCCTCCCCCAACTACCTGAGCCTCCTACCCTCCCCCAACTACCTGAGCCTCCCCCAACTACCTGAGCCTCCTACCCTCCCCCAACTACCTGAGCCTCCTACCCTCCCCCAACTACCCGAGCCTCCTACCCTCCCCCAACTACCTGAGCCTCCCACCCTCCCCCAACTACCTGAGCCTCCCACCCTCCCCCAACTACCTGAGCCTCCCCCAACTACCTGAGCCTCCTACCCTCCCCCAACTACCTGAGCCTCCTACCCTCCCCCAACTACCTGAGCCTCCTACCCTCCCCCAACTACCTGAGCCTCCTACCCTCCCCCAACTACCTGAGCCTCCTACCCTCCCCCAACTACCTGAGCCTCCTACCCTCCCCCAACTACCTGAGCCTCCTACCCTCCCCCAACTACCTGAGCCTCCTACCCTCCCCCAACTACCTGAGCCTCCTACCCTCCCCCAACTACCTGAGCCTCCTACCCTCCCCCAACTACCTGAGCCTCCTACCCTCCCCCAACTACCTGAGCCTCCTACCCTCCCCCAACTACCTGAGCCTCCCCCAACTACCTGAGCCTCCTACCCTCCCCCAACTACCTGAGCCTCCTACCCTCCCCCAACTACCCGAGCCTCCTACCCTCCCCCAACTACCTGAGCCTCCCACCCTCCCCCAACTACCTGAGCCTCCCACCCTCCCCCAACTACCTGAGCCTCCCCCAACTACCTGAGCCTCCTACCCTCCCCCAACTACCTGAGCCTCCTACCCTCCCCCAACTACCTGAGCCTCCTACCCTCCCCCAACTACCTGAGCCTCCTACCCTCCCCCAACTACCTGAGCCTCCTACCCTCCCCCAACTACCTGAGCCTCCTACCCTCCCCCAACTACCTGAGCCTCCTACCCTCCCCCAACTACCTGAGCCTCCTACCCTCCCCCAACTACCTGAGCCTCCTACCCTCCCCCAACTACCTGAGCCTCCTACCCTCCCCCAACTACCTGAGCCTCCTACCCTCCCCCAACTACCTGAGCCTCCTACCCTCCCCCAACTACCTGAGCCTCCTACCCTCCCCCAACTACCTGAGCCTCCTACCCTCCCCCAACTACCAGAGCCTCCTACCCTCCCCCAACTACCTGAGCCTCCTACCCTCCCCCAACTACCTGAGCCTCCTACCCTCCCCCAACTACCAGAGCCTCCTACCCTCCCCCAACTACCTGAGCCTCCCACCCTCCCCCAACTACCTGAGCCTCCTACCCTCCCCCAACTACCTGAGCCTCCTACCCTCCCCCAACTACCAGAGCCTCCCCCAACTACCTGAGCCTCCTACCCTCCCCCAACTACCTGAGCCTCCTACCCTCCCCCAACTACCTGAGCCTCCTACCCTCCCCCAACTACCTGAGCCTCCTACCCTCCCCCAACTACCTGAGCCTCCTACCCTCCCCCAACTACCTGAGCCTCCCCCAACTACCTGAGCCTCCCACCCTCCCCCAACTACCTGAGCCTCCTACCCTCCCCCAACTACCTGAGCCTCCTACCCTCCCCCAACTACCTGAGCCTCCCCCAACTACCTGAGCCTCCTACCCTCCCCCAACTACCTGAGCCTCCTACCCTCCCCCAACTACCAGAGCCTCCTACCCTCCCCCAACTACCTGAGCCTCCTACCCTCCCCCAACTACCTGAGCCTCCCACCCTCCCCCAACTACCTGAGCCTCCTACCCTCCCCCAACTACCTGAGCCTCCCACCCTCCCCCAACTACCTGAGCCTCCCACCCTCCCCCAACTACCTGAGCCTCCCCCAACTACCTGAGCCTCCTACCCTCCCCCAACTACCTGAGCCTCCTACCCTCCCCCAACTACCTGAGCCTCCTACCCTCCCCCAACTACCTGAGCCTGTCCTCCCCCAACTACCTGAGCCTCCTACCCTCCCCCAACTACCTGAGCCTCCTACCCTCCCCCAACTACCTGAGCCTCCTACCCTCCCCCAACTACCTGAGCCTCCTACCCTCCCCCAACTACCTGAGCCTCCTACCCTCCCCCAACTACCTGAGCCTCCCCCAACTACCTGAGCCTCCCACCCTCCCCCAACTACCTGAGCCTCCTACCCTCCCCCAACTACCTGAGCCTCCCACCCTCCCCCAACTACCTGAGCCTCCTACCCTCCCCCAACTACCAGAGCCTCCCACCCTCCCCCAACTACCTGAGCCTCCCCCAACTACCTGAGCCTCCCACCCTCCCCCAACTACCTGAGCCTCCCACCCTCCCCCAACTACCTGAGCCTCCTACCCTTCCCCAACTACCTGAGCCTCCTACCCTCCCCCAACTACCTGAGCCTCCTACCCTCCCCCAACTACCTGAGCCTCCTACCCTCCCCCAACTACCTGAGCCTCCTACCCTCCCCCAACTACCTGAGCCTCCTACCCTCCCCCAACTACCTGAGCCTCCTACCCTCCCCCAACTACCTGAGCCTCCTACCCTCCCCCAACTACCTGAGCCTCCCCCAACTACCTGAGCCTCCTACCCTCCCCCAACTACCTGAGCCTCCTACCCTCCCCCAACTACCTGAGCCTCCCCCAACTACCTGAGCCTCCTACCCTCCCCCAACTACCTGAGCCTCCTACCCTCCCCCAACTACCAGAGCCTCCTACCCTCCCCCAACTACCTGAGCCTCCTACCCTCCCCCAACTACCTGAGCCTCCTACCCTCCCCCAACTACCTGAGCCTCCTACCCTCCCCCAACTACCTGAGCCTCCTACCCTCCCCCAACTACCTGAGCCTCCTACCCTCCCCCAACTACCTGAGCCTCCCACCCTCCCCCAACTACCTGAGCCTCCCCCAACTACCTGAGCCTCCTACCCTCCCCCAACTACCTGAGCCTCCTACCCTCCCCCAACTACCTGAGCCTGTCCTCCCCCAACTACCTGAGCCTCCTACCCTCCCCCAACTACCAGAGCCTCCTACCCTCCCCCAACTACCTGAGCCTCCTACCCTCCCCCAACTACCTGAGCCTCCTACCCTCCCCCAACTACCAGAGCCTCCTACCCTCCCCCAACTACCAGAGCCTCCTACCCTCCCCCAACTACCTGAGTCTCCTACCCTCCCCCAACTACCTGAGCCTCCTACCCTCCCCCAACTACCTGAGCCTGTCCTCCTCTAACATAGCCACCAATGTATTCCTCTGCTCTACGACATCCAGCAGTTCATCCAGCAAGCTTCCCTCCACAACTAGGTCACTGTCTGTCTTGCTGCCTTCTACATACAAGTTTTTAAAAAGTTGATAATGCTCATTCACATTTCAGCAAAGTTAAAGGAAGCATTTGCAGGTATACTGTAAACTTCTTATTTTTATCATAAGTATTATGTGATGTTAATTACTGTTTCATAGACTAACATATAAATAAGTAAAGATAATGTCTTTAAATGTTGACTAAAACATGTTAAGAGGCCAGTTAGACAAACTGAGATACACTTGCTTCTATCACTCCCATCTATAGCTGACACTCCCATCTATAGCTCTGACACTCCCATCTATAGCTCTGACACTCCCATCTATAATCCTGACACTCCCATCTAAAGCTCTGACACTCCCATCTATAGCTCTGACACTCCCATCTATAGCTCTGACACTCCCATCTATAATCCTGACACTCCCATCTAAAGCTCTGACACTCCCATCTATAGCTCTGACACTCCCATCTATAGCTCTAACACTCCCATCTATAGCTCTGACACTCCCATCTAAAGCTCTGACACTCCCATCTATAGCTCTGACACTCCCATCTATAGCTCTAACACTCCCATCTATAGCTCTGACACTCCCATCTATAGCTCTAACACTCCCATCTAAAGCTCTGACACTCCCATCTATAGCTGACACTCCCATCTATAGCTCTGACACTCCCATCTATAGCTCTGACACTCCCATCTATAGCTGACACTCCCATCTATAGCTCTAACACTCCCATCTGTAGCCGACACTCCCATCTATAGCTCTGACACTCCCATCTATAGCTGACACTCCCATCTATAGCTCTGACACTCCCATCTATAGCTCTGACACTCCCATCTATAGCTCTAACACTCCCATCTGTAGCTGACACTCCCATCTATAGCTCTGACACTCCCATCTATAGCTGACACTCCCATCTATAGCTCTGACACTCCCATCTATAGCTCTAACACTCCCATCTATAGCTGACACTCCCATCTATAGCTCTGACACTCCCATCTATAGCTCTAACACTCCCATCTGTAGCTAACACTCCCATCTATAATCCTGACACTCCCATCTATAGCTGACACTCCCATCTATAGCTCTGACACTCCCATCTATAGCTCTAACACTCCCATCTATAGCTGACACTCCCATCTATAGCTCTGACACTCCCATCTATAGCTCTAACACTCCCATCTGTAGCTGACACTCCCATCTATAGCTCTGACACTCCCATCTATAGCTCTGACACTACCATCTATAGCTCTGACACTCCCATCTATAGCTGACACTCCCATCTATAGCTCTGACACTCCCATCTATATCTCTGACACTCCCATCTATAGCTCTGACACTCCCATCTATAGCTCTGACACTCCCATCTAAAGCTCTGACACTCCCATCTATAGCTGACACTCCCATCTATAGATCTGACACTCCCATCTATAGCTGACACTCCCATCTATAGCTGACACTCCCATCTATAGCTGACACGCCAATCTATAGCTGACACTCCCATCTATAGCTGACACTCCCATCTATAGCTGACACGCCCATCTATAGCTCTGACACTCCCATCTATAGCTCTGACACTCCCATCTATAGCTCTAACACTCCCATCTATAGCTCTGACACTCCCATCTATAGCTGACACTCCCATCTATAGCTAACACTCCCATCTATAACTCTGACACTCCCATCTATAGCTGACACTCCCATCTATAGCTCTGACACTCCCATCTATAGCTGACACTCCCATCTATAGCTCTGACACTCCCATCTATAGCTGACACTCCCATCTATAGCTGACACTCCCATCTATAGCTGACACGCCCATCTATAGCTCTGACACTCCCATCTATAGCTCTAACACTCCCATCTATAGCTCTGACACTCCCATCTATAGCTCTGACACTCCCATCTATAGCTGACACTCCCATCTATAGCTAACACTCCCATCTATAGCTAACACTCCCATCTATAACTCTGACACTCCCATCTATAGCTCTGACACTCCCATCTATAGCTCTGACACTCCCATCTATAGCTCTGACACTCCCATCTATAGCTCTGACACTCCCATCTATAGCTGACACTCCCATCTATAGCTCTGACACTCCCATCTATAGCTGACACTCCCATCTATAGCTCTGACACTCCCATCTATAGCTCTGACACTCCCAACTATAGCTCTGACACTCCCATCTATAGCTCTGACACTCCCATCTATAGCTGACACTCCCATCTATAGCTCTGACACTCCCATCTATAGCTGACACTCCCATCTATAGCTCTGACACTCCCATCTATAGCTGACACTCCTATCTATAGCTCTGAAACTCCCATCTATGGCTCTGACACTCCCATCTATAGCTGACACTCCCATCTATAGCTCTGACACTCCCATCTATAGCTGACACTCCCATTTATAGCTGACACTCCTATCTATAGCTCTGAAACTCCCATCTATAGCTCTGACACTCCCATCTATCGCTCTGACACTCCCATCTATAGCTGACACTCCCATCTATAGCTCTGACACTCCCATCTATAGCTGGCACTCCTATTTATAGCTAACACGCCCATCTATAGCTCTGACACTCCCATCTATAGCTCTGACACTCCCATCTATAGCTGACACTCCCATCTATAGCTGACACTCCCATTTATAGCTAACACTCTCATCTATAGCTCTGACACTCCCATCTATAGCTCTGACACTCCCATCTATAGCTCTGACACTCCCATCTATAGCTCTGACACTCCCATCTATAGCTGACACTCCTATCTATAGCTCTGACACTCCCATCTATCGCTCTGACACTCCCAACTATAGCTCTGACACTCCCATCTATAGCTGACACTCCCATCTATAGCTCTGACACTCCCAACTATAGCTCTGACACTCCCATCTATAGCTGACACTCCCATTTATAGCTAACACTCCCATCTATAGCTCTGACACTCCCATCTATAGCTCTGACACTCCCATCTATAGCTCTGACACTCCCATTTATAGCTAACACTCCCATCTATAATCCTGACACTCCCATCTATAGCTAACACTCCCATCTATAGCTCTGACACTCCCATCTATAGCTCTGACACTCCCATCTATAGCTGACACTCCCAACTATAGCTCTGACACTCCCATCTATAGCTCTGACACTCCCATCTATAGCTCTGACACTCCCATCTATAGCTGACACTCCCATCTATAGCTCTGACACTCCCATCTATAGCTCTGACACTCCCATCTATAGCTCTAACACTCCCATCTATAGCTCTGACACTCCCATCTATAGCTCTGACACTCCCATCTATAGCTGACACTCCCATCTATAGCTCTGACACTCCCATCTATAGCTCTGACACTCCCATCTATAGCTCTGACACTCCCATCTATAGCTGACACTCCCATCTATAGCTCTGACACTCCCATCTATAGCTCTGACACTCCCATCTAAAGCTCTGACACTCCCATCTATAGCTCTGACACTCCCATCTATAGCTGACACTCCCATCTATAGCTGACACTCCCATCTATAGCTGACACTCCCATCTATAGCTCTGACACTCCCATCTATAGCTCTGACACTCCCATCTATAGCTCTGACACTCCCATTTATAGCTGACACTCCCATCTATAGATCTGACACTCCCATCTATAGCTGACACTCCCATCTATAGCTCTGACACTCCCATCTATAGCTCTAACACTCCCATCTAAAGCTATGACACTCCCATCTATAGCTCTGACACTCCCATCTATAGCTCTGACACTCCCATCTATAGCTGACACTCCCATCTATAGCTCTGACACTCCCATCTATAGCTGACACTCCCATCTATAAATCTGACACTCCCATCTAAAGCTCTAAAACATGCACTCTATATAAAAAAAGGCATGCAAATAGACCAAGCAGTCAACTTCCAGCTAACTACTGCACCTTTTGCTGTGCATGGAGAATCTTTGAAAACTTCAAGATAACAAAGTCATGTCTCTTTGCAAATCATGCTGGGAGAAAATCATCCCTAGTTTTATCATTAATTAGTGACATAATCTGTGGCATTAGTTGCATTATTAATGGAGGCAACTGAGTTTGACTAATAGGGTTCTATAATTATTGGGACATGGATAAAAAAAACTTGTTGTAAGCGGACTTCGAGAAATATTATTTAAAAAAAAAACGCTAGCCTGAAAATACAAATAATGCATAAATTAACATGTGTTTTAGAATCAATTTTAAAAAGTTACAAATCCAGAGAGCTTAAAAATAATTTTTAAGTTAAGCCTGCATTTCTATTCATTTTCTTTAAGCCTAAGTTATAACCTGATGTTTCACTTTTTTCATTGATTGGCTGTACAGGAACTCAGTGATCTATCTTCTGAAAACTATGTTCTCACAACTTTGAAGATAAAAATTAAATATTTAAATAAAACCTATTTCTTTAAAATCACATGAACTAGTTCTGCCATTTTAATTTTCTCGTATACAAAGTATAGAGAAAGTATTGTAATTGTGCAAAAAATCAAAATCAAGATTTTCACAAATCTCTGTTTTACTGAGTCAGAAAAACATACTTTAGCAATTTTGTCAATGTCTCTCTGTCTGTATGTGTGGGTGTGAACATGATAACTTGCTTACAGTTAAAGCTAGATTGGACGAAATTTTATATATAAGTACTACATTAAATTTGTAGTTCTGTATTGGAAACAATAGGAGCTAAAACAAAATATTTCAGAAAAGGAAGAAAAACAGAATGATGTTTTTATATTTGGCCAATTGTAATAAGATGTTCTGACCTCTAATTCAAATGGACATTTCAATAGCGCTCTTGTTTTAGATGTTTTTCTAAGCATTAAAAGAGTTGTGTTAAATCAAATTTCAATGGTTTAATGTTTGTCATGCAGCTTGGCTAAAAAAAAACTTAACTAATCAATTGGCTTAGAAAAAAAAAGGGGGGGGGGGGGGGGGGAGAAGAACAAATGGGAATAAATAGGGAAGATTATTAGAAGAAAAAGTTAGCAATAAACATCAAATGATAAAGCTGCACATTCCTTTGATCTTCATATCATACAAAATTGGGTTCAAAACGTTTTCATTATTTTCAAAAGAATGAACATTTTAATATGTAAGAATGTGAAGCCTTTGTGTCAATGTTTGGAGAAAAAAAAAAGCATTCCGAGTTGTAAAGAAAGCAATGCTTGAACTGAACACAAACAAGTGGGAAGGGGCAACTCACTCTTGCTTTCATCCTGAAGACCTCCATTGGCTATTTGACCCAGGCACAAGAAGAGAAAGTTATACAGAATGCTAGTATATCAAAAACTCTAGACCTTACTACCACAACCCATTGTGCCTGATATTCACACAGATTCCTGACTTCCATTTTCAAAAATGTTTGGCTAAATTTTTAAAGAAAGTAAGTTAACTTTTCCAGGGATGTGACCAGACCATGAAAAAAAAATAGGAAATTTTTTCCCACAAGAACTCCATATGTTTTATCTATTTTTTATCACAGTTAAAGCAGTTTCAAACCGTTACAATACTAATTAATTGTTTAATATTTTAATTAAAGAAGTTTATGTTACTCTAAAATAACACTGAAAATCTTGAATTGCAATTTAATGTTTACCTTATAAATAACTTTCAAAAAAAAAATTTTTTTAATGTAACAAAAGTGGCATCAATTTTTTTAAAACATTTAGCTAATTTAAACTGTACTAATCTAGTCTAGTTCTACTCTTGTTTTCAATTAAATTAGACCTTATATTCGTTTAAAGATTGGCAAGGTAAAACTGTAAGTCTTCAGCTGTAAAGAATCTGATTTAGATTAATCGTAATTTGAAAGATTTGGCTCATGTGATGAAAAAATGAAAATTGACCAGATTAGCTGAAATCAAAAAAGGTCTGATATTTGAACCAAATTTACCACTTTGATAGCCAAGCCAGTTATTTATGCTTTTTGAATAGCTGTTGATTGTAAGGGGTCATGACGTCACACTTTTTGTTTTGGACAATTTTTACCTCTCCCCTCTCAAACGTCAAAAAAGCCAGACTCCCACCCCTACAATGACATTACACCTCAGCCAAAAACCGCCCATCCTCCTCAATATTGAATTATTTTTAAACATCTTTAAATATTTTTTGTAAAAAATGACTGAGCTTGACCAACACATAATCAATTTCTAGTACAACTGATTAAAAAATGTTCTAAAACGCTAAATAGCAGCTACAATTCAGTTTCAAACAGCATTACTTTTTTAAAATACAAAAGTATGACATCATTCTATCTGAACACCCCCCCACCCCCGTACGAGTGTGACATTTTTTGTGGAAGACCCCTTATTAAAAAAAAATCCGTATTAAATCTGTAGGCTTATGACATACATTTTGCAGGAACATAGCTATTTGAGATTGGCTGTGACGTAATTTTTATTTTTCCCCATTTCCGTGATTTTGAAAAACATTTAACTGAAAATATCAGTAGAAAATTTTGACTAAAAAATGTGCGTACTGAATAATTGGGAAATTTGCTGAAATTCTGAATCTCTAAATAGATCTACATTTAATCTTAATCTAGCACAATCATACCTAGCACAATCGTCCAATTGAAAAGAAATATGCATATTTAATTGTCCCTTTGATCCAAGTACTGAGGTACTCAACTTAATTTTAAATTGGAATATGTAGAATGCACATGTGGGCTTTTTCTGGTAAAGGTGATTTTTGTTTTTTTTCCCTAATTTTTAAAACTAAGTAAAAAAATTTGCAAAATTGAAAATAGCTGCTGAAACGTAACAATTGGATTTCAGCTAAAAAGGGGAAAAGTCACATCCCTGCTTTTCACAGGATTTAATTATCCAATTCTTGTACAGGATTGAATTATCCAACACTTTTCACTGGATTTAATTATCCGATTATTGTACAGGATTTAATTATCTAACACTTTTCACGGGATTTAATTATCCGATTCTTGTACAGGATTGAATTATCTAACACTTTTCACTGGATTTAATTATTGTGACTTACCAGGTTGTCTCAGTCTTTCTCTAAAATCATGTTCAAGTCTGGCCTGTCTGTCCTCAAGCTCTAGCTCTTTAGCTCTGGAATTAGAGATGTGTAGCTCTATAGGCTAAACAAGGGGAGATCATGTGATCTACATAAGGACAGGAAAAGATAACTCACCTGACATTAAGCTCAGATTCATATCTCAGCAGAGCATTCTTCTCATGCACCAAAGAAAACCATTCACTCATCAGCTGACTTTCATCAACACTGTCTCCATCTGGAATAGATAACATAATAATTTCATAATCAAACAAAAGGTCTGGCATATGGTTCATACAATTAAGAATATATATATATATATATATATATATATATATATATATATATATATATATATATATATATATATATATATATATATATATATATATATATATATATATATATATATTCTAGCGCATAACAGTGCTCCCCCACAGTGAATCTTTTTAGATGTACTAACTATGGAACAAAACAAAACAAAACATAAAAGAAAACATAAACACAAATGCAAACACAAACGAAAACACAAACACAATGCAAACACAAATGCAAACAAACACAAATGAAAATAAACACAAACGCAACACTTACACAAACACAAAGGAAAAACTAATTTAAACACAAACACAAAAGAAAACATAAACACAAATGCAAACACAAATGAAAACACAAACACAATGCAAACACAAAAACTATGCAAACACAAATGCAAACAAACACAAATGAAAACAAACACAAACGCAACACACAAACACAAAAGAAAAACTTATTTAAACACAAACACAAAAGAAAACGCAAACACAAACAATGCAAACGCAAACACAAATGCAAAAAAAAAAACAACAAACAAACAAAAACACAAACGCTAACGCATAACATAAACACAACTTAAATGCAAACATGAACGCATAGTGCTCACAGTCTAGTAAACAGTACATTCAGTGAATAAAATAAATAAATAGCAGTATTTAAAATATCAGTATTTTAACTACCATATTGCCCTTTATCAATCCATGCTAATTATAATGTTCCAACAATAATGTCCTCTTGGACGTCCACGGAATTCGCGGTCACATTTTTTTAATTAGCGCGAGTTTAATTTCTTTAAAATTACCTCCCTTGGCATAATCATTAAACATATTAAGTAATTTTTTTTTTTACCCTCCTGTTATTAAAATGTATCAAATTTTTCTAAGAATCTAAGCAGAAATATTGTTTGACATTGATCCATTTAATATGTTTTGGCAATGTGCGTGTATTAAATATTGTCTTCATGTTATGCAAAAAAGTAAAAACAGTGGCAACTATACAAAAAATTTAAGTCGTTATATAAATAAACCCTAACCAAATATTTATAATAAGACACTGCAATGCAAGTAAAAAGCATATCATGTGTTGTTCACTTTTATGATTCCAAAAGCTATAGTGATGACGGAAGGAATGACTGACACACAATCAGCACACATTCTTAAAGTGTTCCTTTATGTGCTAAAATCAAAGTGGATGAATAGCAAACTCAATTCAATGGTGATCATTTTCAAAAACAATTTCCATTTTAAAACTCAACAATTTAATTGACGTTAAGTGCCAACAACACACCAAAAATTAAACTAAATGCATTACTCAGCACAAAAGTTATACTTACTTTTATATTTACTTTTTTTTAAAGACCTCAAAAGTTGTATTGTTGACTAAGTATTATTAATTTTATTACTACTAAAGACCTTATTTCTTAATTTAAGAGTGGTTGAGGTTGTGGTAAAAGTTGGTTTATGTTTTAGTCTATATTCATGGTTGAGGTTGTGGTGTGGGTTAGGGTTTACGTTTACGTTTGCAATCGTGTTTGCATTTGTGTTTGCAATTTGCGTTTCTGTTTCCGATGTGATTGGGTTAAATTTACAGTTAGATTTAGGTTTATGCATGATTTTCTCAAACATCTAGATTTGCATACAGACATGTAATTGGAAAAGTAATGCCAGGTATATGGTGCTTAATAAACATACAAGTGATGGTCCTTAACAGATAGGTTTTTCAAAAGCTGGGACGGCTAGTATATATCTATATATATAAACATGAAAGTATGTGTGTGCGTTTGTTTGACTTCTTTGCATTACTACACCTCACATCCAATCAGTATGAAACTTTGGAAGTTGTTGAGAATACTCCTAGGGAGGTTTCTGAGAAAAAAAAACAAGATCCAACGTCTAAGAGTATAGGATTGGTAACACATTGATGAACCCCTCTTAAAATATTTCATCAGACTTTCTTCTAACCCAGGAGCAATGCGCGGGAAGGGCACACTAGTATATACAAATGGTATGTATATATATATATATATGTTAATCAAGTAGAGAAACTCTGACCTGGCCCATCTCCTCTTAAAGCCTTCTCCACAGTGATCCCCCTCTCCTCCAGCTCTCTCTGCCTGACCTCCACCTCCTCTAGTTGACGCTGGATCTCTTGTGCCATCCTCAGCCTCTTCTGCTGCGCCTGCCTGTGTTCTTTCAGCTGTAGCTTGCGCAGCCTGCGAGCTACACGCTCATCTAAATCTTCTCTCTTAAAGAAAAAGGTTGGTATGACATCACAGATTTGACAACAAAAGTTGGGTTGGCTGCAAAAACAGCCATCTATAATAAAAAATTGGCTAATTGAAATAGCTACCTGTCTTTTCTGTAGAGTAGAGAAAGATAAATGGCTCTCATCCGAGTCAGAGAGTTCATCAGCTGTAACAAGTAAACACTGGTTGGGTGACCTCGTCCTATGTCACACTTACAATTTTATTGTCACATGTCACACTTACAATTTTATTGTCACATGTCACAATCCTATTGTCACTGGTCACACTTACAATCCTATTGTCACATTTCATGTTAAGTCACAGGTGATACGTACAAATTTAAGAAGAGAATGTGTAAGAAAACAAAGCATGAGATGAGTGAACTCCAGACTTACTACATGACTTGGGTGCCAAAGATTTCCCTGCCACCGCCTGCACCGCCACTGGCTTGCTCCTAGATTTGTTTAAAGCCTCTGAATGGAAGACGGAGCAAATGGCTAGATCTTTTTTACTCTCTACTGTGGGTGTGATGTCATCAAGGTCCTCTTGTGATGCTGACCTGGCCTGTGGCAGGTTGCCCCTCCTGCTGTGTTTATCAGGTAAAATCAAGGCCAACAGGGACCTCCTCTTCTTCTCCCCACTGCTATCATTGACATCTTTCTTTTTTTTCTTGGGTGTTTTTACCTTCTTTTTTTTCTTCTTGAGTGAACCTTGCTCAGCTTCAGTGGCGCTGGAAGTCTGCAGGGAGGACAGTCTGTTGTCATCACTGTCAGTGGGGAGCTCACTCTGCTTCTCTTGCCTGACATTTTTTTCTTTGTTATGTCCCTTAGTGTGTGAGCCATTGACCTCCCCTGACAGTTTCACCTTGGCCCTCTCACTGGATTGTTTGGCTTTTTCCACTTCGGCCTTTTGGATGTCCCGTATGTGATGAGCACTTAAGACCCTGGGAGCTGAGTGCTCAGTCTTGGACTGCTGGCTGGATGTGTGAGCAAACTTGGGTGGCCTGTGGCTCAGCTCAGCTGCAGGGGTATAGAACTTCTCTTCTGCTTCACTCTCATCTGCATAAGGGATGTCATCACTCACGGAGCTGCCTATGACAATGCCGTCTGCAGATATTTTCTTCTTCTCTTCCAGATCTGAATCAGCTCTGTCAGATGAGGAGCCCAGCACAAGTCTACTCTTGTCTAGGGGGACTCTGGTTTTATGTGGGGGTTTGAAGATTGGGGGCGATATGGCTTTACTGTAGGGGCTAGGGTAGGCTGGAGGTTTGCTGTGGTCAGCTGCAGGTTTGCTGTGGTCAGCTGCAGGTTTGCTGTGGTCAGCTGCAGGTTTGCTGTGGTCAGCTGCAGGTTTGCTGTGGTCAGCTGCAGGTTTGCTGTGGTCAGCTGCAGGTTTGCTGTGGTCAGCTGCAGGTTTGCTGTGGTCAGCTGCAGGTTTGCTGTGGTCAGCTGCAGGTTTGCTGTGGTCAGCTGCAGGTTTGCTGTGGTCAGCTGCAGGTTTGCTGTGGTCAGCTGCAGGTTTGCTGTGGTCAGCTGCAGGTTTGCTGTGGTCAGTTAGATTGTTTAGGTGAGTAGTCGAACCACCTTCTTGTTTTCTTACTGACACTTTCAATTTTGAAAGTTCTGGTAGTTTTCTCTGGGGTTTTACTACTTTTGTTGGAGGTGGATTGTCAGGTAAATTTTTGTGAGGTGGTGGATTGTCAGGTAAATTTTTGTGAGGTGGTGGATCAGCGGGTAAATTTTTGTGAGGTGGTGGATTGTCAGGTAAATTTTTGTGAGGTGGTGGATTGTCAGGTAAATTTTTGTGAGGTGGTGGATTATCTGGTAAATTTTTGTGAGGTGGTGGATTATCTGGTAAATTTTTGTGAGGTGGTGGATCAGCGGGTAAATTTTTGTGAGGTGGTGGATTGTCAGGTAAATTTTTGTGAGGTGGTGGATTGTCAGGTAAATTTTTGTGAGGTGGTGGATTGTCAGGTAAATTTTTGTGAGGTGGTGGATCAGCGGGTAAATTTTTGTGAGGTGGTGGATTGTCAGGTAAATTTTTGTGAGGTGGTGGATTATCTGGTAAATTTTTGTGAGGTGGTGGATTATCTGGTAAATTTTTGTGAGGTGGTGGATGAACATGATGGACTGTGAGTGGAGACTGGGTGAAAGTCTCTAGTGGAGAGAGAAACAAGTCACTAGCCATAGAGTCCCTAAGGTCTGGTGCAATAGATGTGGCTATTTTATTCCTGCAGGTATCTGGGGTGCTGTAGATACTGGTGTCTGGGCTGTGCTGTACCTCCTCATTGCTGCCATCAGAGAAAGATTCACTTAAAGCTAAGCTCATCACTGTGGTGTACTCTTTCAGCATATCAGGGTCAGGGCTCATCTCATCACCAAGTGTGTGTCCAGCTGTGACATCACCAAGTGTGTGTCCAGCAAAATCTTCCATCTCTAGGGAGCTGACAGAAGAGACAGTCCCACTTGGGGTTGAAATAGAGAAGCTGGTGTTGTCAGCATTCTGCCTGCGGCGTCGAGGCCTCCTTCTGTCTGTAACAAACCTGTCATCAATGTTGCTCAGGGCAATGTCGTCTATGTCGGAGTTCTCTGACAGTGTGCCTATGCTGTCCAACACCTGCTGGAGACTCTCTTCACCTGTGTTCACCTGGTAAGCTGTGGGTGGACCAGCTGATGCATTGACCTCTGTGTCTGCTTGGCTATCCAGTGCCACTTGGTGTGGAGCAGGAATGTCAGTAGCCTGAATGTCAGTAGCCTGAATGTCAGTAGCCTGAATGTCAGTAGCCTGAATGTCAGTAGCCTGAATGTCAGTAGCCTGAATGTCAGTAGCCTGAATGTCAGTAGCCTGAATGCCAGCAGCCTGAATGTCAGTAGCCTGAATGCCAGCAGCCTGAATGTCAGTAGCCTGAATGTCAGCAGCCTGAATGTCAGTAGCCTGAATGCCAGCAGCCTGAATGTCAGTAGCCTGTGAGACAGGTTGCTCAATGCTGGAGCTGCGAGACGAGTGAGGCTGAGAGTTGTCTGTGGTGGTGGGGTCTGTTCTGCCTGCCTCACTCTCACTTGACCTAGATAGGGGGCGCTGCTTTGGTCGTTTCACCTGCCTCTTGACCCTAAACTTGCGAGCTTTGCTGGCGCTAGGGCTGTGCCTGCCTTCAATGAAAACTTCCCCAGAGTCTGAGCTGTCTGAGGACTGCGGTCTCTGGTCAAGATCACGCAAAAGTTGTTCCATGGCTAGAGTCACTGAGACTTTGTCCACCAGCTCATCATCCCCCTCCAGCAGCTCGTCATCCCCCTCCCCAGCTTGCTCCATGTCCCTGGCTGTTGCCTCTACACTGCACACATCACCATCATCACTACTCTGACTACAAGTTCCCGGCTTCTTCTGGCCTATGTGATTGTTGTTCTGGCCATGACATACGACCGCCCCTGTCTTCCCCCCTGGTGGAGTGACTCCTGTCAAATCCTCCACCAGTTCATCCAGTGAGCCATCATCTGACCGCTGGTCCAGCTCTAGACTGGCAGACACATCTGTAGACCTGGACGAGTCTTTCCTTGACCGCTGGCTGCTAACTGACTGCCTATCAGAAGACTTGTTTCTCTTGCTGCCGCTGACCTCTGCTTTATTGCCCATGGAAAACATGCTCCATGGGTCAAGGCTGACCACAGTGGGAGGTTCAGAGAAAAAACTGGCTTTGCTGGCAGAGATCTTGGAGACTGGGCTGAGAGGAGACTTGACAACGTGGCAGGACTCTGTTCTTTCTTCTGTCACATCCTCATCTGAACTGCTGCTCTCTTCACCTGAAGTCAAACAAGAAATTTAGACTAGCACTTGACCTTTAGAGGTCACCACTCTACCTTTAGAATACATTACTTGACAACTCCCCACAGCTTATTTAGATATGTGATTTGAGCACTTACAAAGACAGTGCTGTATAGCCTACCCTCTATCTCTGTGGAAGAGCTATCCTCTGCCTCCAGCCTAGTGTACTCCATGTCTTCGGCTTCTGCCAGATTTTCTTTGGAGTGCTGTCTCTGCCAGCTACCATGCAGCTCAACAGCTTCTTCCAAGGTCAAATGTCGAGGTGACTCTACAGCATTTTCCCAAACATCATCTTCAGCACCTGACCTGCAGCAAACACATAATATTTAGACAACATCAAAACATCCACAACATTCAGACATCACAACATTCAGACATCACAACATTCAGACATCACAACATCCATGCCAAAATGTACAGACAAAAACATCCAGACATCACAACATCCATTGCACAATATACAGATATCATAACATTCAGACATCACAATATATACAAACATCACAACATCATCATGTGCTATAAGGTCAACACAATATTGTACAAGATACTCCATGTTAATTAGTCAAATCAGCACCATACAGTGCATGCTAACTGGTCACATTTTTACAACATACAGCATGCATTGGTCAAAGTATTACAAGATTCAAAATAGTTTTTTAAAAAGATATTTTAGTAAGAAAAACAAGAATCTCTTTCCTACATTTTTATCCCATTTAGTCAAGCCTCTGTACTAACTGCATCTATTTATTTTAACACATTAACACAATTTCTCTTATCTTTTGCTAAGCAAATTTGACAGTTTTTGGGGGACTTTGTGTAAGGGGTTGTCTATAAAAAATGTTGTAGCTGATTTTCACCCCTTCCATCATTAAAGCCAGCAACACATAAAAAATGTCCAGACTCTATTTCTATATGACAACTTGAGGGCCTTCTACTGTACATTGAACATCTTACAGATTTATTGGTACAAAATGTTCTAGGCCACGTTTTGTTTCTATTAACAAAATGTTTGTTAAATCTCACATTTTAGCATAGCAGCTAAGTTTTGGTTTATTCCAGCAACTTACTTGGCAGCCTACCAGTATCTTACTTGGCAGCCTACCAGTATCTTACTTGGCAGCCTACCAGTGTCTTACTTGGCAGCCTACCAGTATCTTACTTGGCAGCCTACCAGTATCTTACTTGGCAGCCTACCAGTATCTTACTTGGCAGCCTACCAGCAACTTACTTGGCAGCCTACCAGTATCTTACTTGGCAGCCTACCAGTATCTTACTTGGCAGCCTACCAGTATCTTACTTGGCAGCCTACCAGTATCTTACTTGGCAGCCTACCAGTATCTTACTTGGCAGCCTACCAGTATCTTACTTGGCAGCCTACCAGCAACTTACTTGGCAGCCTACCAGTATCTTACTTCAATTCTGTAATCCTCTGATACCTACAAAACTAATTGTGATTAGCATTTCTACTTAGCATAAATAATTTTTTTTTAATTATTGTTAAACCAATTTAAACATAAAATTGTAGATCTATTAGTTACACTTGGTTTGGGATTTCTAGTTTCTAATGATAGTTTTATTTCATAACACAAGCAAAGGTAAACAAATGGAGCAGGTGTAAGACACTTTTATCTAGCTCTTACTCAAAATTCTAATGCAAAATTACAAATAAACATCAATTAAGAAACCCTCATGATATTTTGTTTAAAAATTATCTTTTGTTTCAGTCTCATAGCTATCAAAAACTGTTCAAATGCAGAATGGTAGGTTAAGGTCAGGTAATTTATTAATTAATTTTTTAACCTAGTTCTTACCTTACGAGAACTTGCATTTTTATACTAGTGTTTTAATCTATGCCAGTTGTGAAATTAGGCTTTGCACTAAGTACTTTTCATCTTTCTAAACTTTTTGAATGTATTCAACAAGGGAGAAAAGTAGCTACAACTACTTGACAAAGGGAAACAATAGTCAACAAGGGGAAACAACTTTACTAGCATGCATCAAGCAGGTGAAACATTACCAGTTGGCCAGAATTTCAGCCATCTCTGACTCAGAAAGATAGTCAAGTTCACTGTGGACCAGTCAACACATTTAGAATAGCTTACAATCAGTACACGGATACAGACACAATTTGTGTTTTTAATGACAAGGGAACATGAAAATATTGGGTGTAATGGAAGAATTATAGATGCATTTGTGTAATAGAAAAATATGTAAGAGTCAGGAAATGATGAAGTGTGTGTATGGCTACCATGTATATACAGGATACATGTGTGGCTACCATTTAAATACAGGATACATGTGTGGCTACTGTGTAAATACAGGATACATGTGTGGCTACTGTGTATATACAGGAAACATGTGTGGCTACCATTTAAATACAGGATACATGTGTGGCTACTGTGTAAATACAGGATACATGTGTGGCTACTGTGTAAATACAGGATACATGTGTGGCTACCATGTAAATACAGGATACATGTGTGGCTACCATTTAAATACAGGATACATGTGTGGCTACCGTGTATATACAGGATACATGTGTGGCTACTGTGTAAATACAGGATACATGTGTGGCTACCATTTAAATACAGGATACATGTGTGGCTACCATTTAAATACAGGATACATGTGTGGCTACCGTGTATATACAGGATACATGTGTGGCTACTGTGTAAATACAGGATACATGTGTGGCTACCATGTAAATACAGGATACATGTGTGGCTACCATTTAAATACAGGATACATGTGTGGCTACCTGAACCAAGTGGTAAGGATAGAAAAATGGTCTCACTCAAATTGACAGTCCGAGTAGTCTGATTCAGAATCTGAGTACTCATCATCCAGCAGTGTGTCTGATGACATGGAGGCCCGCAAGTTGTGCTCAAACTGCTCTTCTTCAGATTCCTCCTCACAGCCATCAAATGAGATCTCAAACTCCACCCTCTCTGGCGTGTTCTTGGGACAGGCAGAACTTTCTTTTGGCATCAGCAGGGGGGTCAGCTCTGATGCTAAATGGGAAATAAACAGTTCAATCTACATCACTGGCTAGCCTCTAAACAACATATCTACATTACTGGCTAGCCTCTAAACAACATATCAACATCACTGGCTAGCCTCTAAACAACATATCAACATCACTGGCTAGCCTCTAAACAACATATCTACATTACTGGCTAGCCTCTAAACAACATATCTACATCACTGGCTAGCCTCTAAAGAACATATCTACATGGCTAGCCTCTAAACAACATATCTACATCACTGGCTAGCCTCTAAAGAACATATCTACATGGCTAGCCTCTAAACAACATATCTACATCACTGGCTAGCCTCTAAACAACATATCTACATCACTGGCTAGCCTCTAAAGAACATATCTACATCACTGGCTAGCCCCTAAAGAACATATCTACATGGCTAGCCTCTAAAGAACATATCTACATCACTGGCTAGCCCCTAAAGAACATATCTACATCACTGGCTAGCCTTGAAAGAACATATCTACATGGCTAGCCTCTAAACAACATATCTACATCACTGGCTAGCCCCTAAAGAACATATCTATATGGCTAGCCTCTAAAGAACATATCTACATCACTGGCTAGCCCCTAAAGAACATATCTACATCACTGGCTAGCCTTGAAAGAACATATCTACATGGCTAGCCTCTAAACAACATATCTACATCACTGGCTAGCCCCTAAAGAACATATCTACATGGCTAGCCTCTAAAGAACATATCTACATCACTGGCTAGCCCCTAAAGAACATATCTACATCACTGGCTAGCCTTGAAAGAACATATCTACATGGCTAGCCTCTAAACAACATATCTACATCACTGGCTAGCCCCTAAAGAACATATCTACATGGCTAGCCTCTAAAGAACATATCTACATCACTGGCTAGCCCCTAAAGAACATATCTACATCACTGGCTAGCCTCTAAACAACATATCTACATCACTGGCTAGCCTCTAAACAACATATCTACATCACTGGCTAGCCCCTAAAGAACATATCTACATCACTGGCTAGCCCCTAAAGAACATATCTACATCACTGGCTAGCCTCTAAAGAACATATCCACATCACTGGCTAGCCCCTAAAGAACATATCTACATCACTGGCTAGCCCCTAAAGAACATATCCACATCACTGGCTAGCCCCTAAAGAACATATCTACATCACTGGCTAGCCCCTAAAGAACATATCTACATCACTGGCTAGCCCCTAAAGAACATATCCACATCACTGGCTAGCCCCTAAAGAACATATCTACATCACTGGCTAGCCCCTAAAGAACATATCAACATCACTGGCTAGCCCCTAAAGAACATATCTACATCACTGGCTAGCCCCTAAAGAACATATCTACATCACTGGCTAGCCCCTGCATCACTAAAGAACATATCTACATCACTGGCTAGCCTCTAAAGAACATATCTACATCACCAACCTACCTGCAGTTTTTCTGGGCGACTTCTCAGCTGGGCCTTGTCCATTCTGACCAGCTGCAGCTGGTGCAGGGGTTACCACCAGCTCTGGTACATCATCCTGTAAAGCACACAGAAACAACTGTCCAGATATCATTTAGAACATACTTGGTTTGGTAAGCTTAAACTGACAGCTGGACACACCTATTAAGGCAACAAATAAATGCCATCAAAAAGACCTCTACAACAACCTTTTTAAATGACTACCAATAATAGGTCTCCATTTAAAGATGTCTCCAGACAAGCACCTTCTAAAAACTTACTTTCTAACAAAAGGCCCTTTTATTAAATACTATGACAAGAAGACCTGTGACAAAAGGGTTCCCATTTAAGCCCAATGACTTTTTGAATATTCATTTCAATAAAGATATGGTATAACTGAAAATACAAGATGCACAGCCTGACATAGAGTTATGGGAGCTAAGTTATAAATGATGAGACTCCCCAGAGTTCTTATAAAACTAGAAGTCACTGACAGACCTGGGACTCTTCAGTTAACCCTCTCTTCCTTGCTGGTCTGGTCCTCATCTCAGGTACAGCATGACGGTAGCAATAAAATTTGACTGCAGACAAAAAATTATTATAAATTATTTGGGACACAACCTCCCTTCCCCCCCCCCCTCCAGTTAACTGAAGTTACTGACCTGGTTTAGAGTCTCTATCACAAGCGTAGTTAGTTAAGCGGAGCCCCCCCCCCCAGTTAACTGAAGTTACTGACCTGGTTTAGAGTCTCTATCACAAGCGTAGTTAGTTAAGCGGAGCCCCCCCGCCCCAGTTAACTGAAGTTACTGACCTGGTTTAGAGTCTCTATCACAAGCGTAGTTAGTTAAGCGGAGCCCCCCCCCCCCCAGTTAACTGAAGTTACTGACCTGGTTTAGAGTCTCTATCACAAGCGTAGTTAGTTAAGCGGAGCCCCCCCGCCCCAGTTAACTGAAGTTACTGACCTGGTTTAGAGTCTCTATCACAAGCGTAGTTAGTTAAGCGGAGCCCCCCCCCTCCAGTTAACTGAAGTTACTGACCTGGTTTAGAGTCTCTATCACAAGCGTAGTTAGTTAAGCGGAGCCCCCCCCCCCAGTTAACTGAAGTTACTGACCTGGTTTAGAGTCTCTATCACAAGCGTAGTTAGTTAAGCGGAGCCCCCCCGCCCCAGTTAACTGAAGTTACTGACCTGGTTTAGAGTCTCTATCACAAGCGTAGTTAGTTAAGCGGAGCCCCCCCCCTCCAGTTAACTGAAGTTACTGACCTGGTTTAGAGTCTCTATCACAAGCGTAGTTAGTTAAGCGGAGCCCCCCCGCCCCAGTTAACTGAAGTTACTGACCTGGTTTAGAGTCTCTATCACAAGCGTAGTTAGTTAAGCGGAGCCCCCCCGCCCCAGTTAACTGAAGTTACTGACCTGGTTTAGAGTCTCTATCACAAGCGTAGTTAGTTAAGCGGAGCCCCCCCCCCCCCAGTTAACTGAAGTTACTGACCTGGTTTAGAGTCTCTATCACAAGCGTAGTTAGTTAAGCGGAGCCCCCCCGCCCCAGTTAACTGAAGTTACTGACCTGGTTTAGAGTCTCTATCACAAGCGTAGTTAGTTAAGCGGAGCCCCCCCCCCCCCAGTTAACTGAAGTTACTGACCTGGTTTAGAGTCTCTATCACAAGCGTAGTTAGTTAAGCGGAGCCCCACCCCACAGTGGTCACACTTGAGGCAGCCTCTGTGGAAGAACTCGCCCTCTGCACTCATGCGCTCCATGATGTAGACTCTCTTATGGCAGAATGAGCAGAACTCACTGGCAGCAGACGCAGCCAGCAGAGTTGGCTGACCTTTCTGAAAACATCGTCCCACCCAATTAAACATCAGCATCAACCAGTGGATACAAATCAAGTGCTTGGAAAAATAAAATCTAGACCTACCGTCCTACGAATGGGTTCAGGAGGAGGCTGGGCCTCAATGCTCTTGAACTTGGCCACCAGCAGATCAGCCATAGCAGTGACACTGACAGCCCCAGATCTCTCCTCCACTTTACTCACTTTAACACGTGGATCTTCAGCCTTGCGGTCAAGCTGCAGTCTGTTTGCTATCTCTTCCATAGGCAGCTTGTTGTACCTCGTCAACTCCACCTCTGCCTTCTATTGCAGTGAAGACAATACTTTCTCAAGCAAAACCTTACAGTGGTCAACATTTGGCTACAACCTACAGTGGTCAACATTTGGCTACAACCTACAGTGGTCAACATTTGGCTACAACCTACAGTGGTCAACATTTGGCTACAACCTACAGTGGTCAATATTTGGCTATAACCTACAGTGGTCAACATTTGGCTACAACCTACAGTGGTCAACATTTGGCTAAAGTCTATAGTGGTCAACATTTGGCTACAATCTACAGTGGTCAACATTTGGCTAAAGTCTATAGTGGTCAACATTTTGCTAAAGTCTATAGTGGTCAACATTTGGTTTCAACCTACAGTGGTCAACATTTGGCTACAACCTACAGTGGTCAACATTTGGCTACAATCTACAGTGGTCAACATTTGGCTAAAGTCTATAGTGGTCAACATTTTGCTAAAGTCTATAGTGGTCAACATTTTGCTACAACTTACAGTGGTCAACATTTGGTTTCAACCTACAGTGGTCAACATTTGGCTACAACCTACAGTGGTCAACATTTGGCTACAACCTACAGTGGTCAACATTTGGCTACAACCTACAGTGGTCAACATTTGGCTATAACCTACAGTGGTCAACATTTGGCTACAACCTACAGTGGTCAACATTTGGCTACAACCTACAGTGGTCAACATTTGGCTACAATCTACAGTGGTCAACATTTGGCTAAAGTCTATAGTGGTCAACATTTTGCTACAACTTACAGTGGTCAACATTTGGTTTCAACCTACAGTGGTCAACATTTGGCTACAACCTACAGTGGTCAACATTTGGTTTCAACCTACAGTGGTCAACATTTGGCTACAACCTACAGTGGTCAACATTTGGCTAAAGTCTATAGTGGTCAACATTTTGCTACAACTTACAGTGGTCAACATTTGGCTATAACCTACAGTGGTCAACATTTGGCTAAAGTCTATAGTGGTCAACATTTTGCTACAACTTACAGTGGTCAACATTTGGCTAAAGTCTATAGTGGTCAACATTTTGCTACAACTTACAGTGGTCAACATTTGGCTAAAGTCTATAGTGGTCAACATAAACAACTAAACTACCTACCTCTTGTCTTTCTTTAATCTTTTTAGAACTGAGTGGGAAACCTTCATTTTCTTCCTGTTCCTTTCTCTGTAACAAAGACAAGAAACATTGAAAGACATGACACATTGACTGAGACAAAGACATGACACATTGACTTGACTGAGACAAAGACAAGACACATTGACAAAGACAAAGACATGACACATTGACTTGACTGAGACAAAGACATGACACATTGACTTGACCGAGACAAAGACATGACACATTGACTGAGACAAAGACATGACACAGAATGAGACAAAGACATGACACATTGACTAAGACAAAGACATGACACATTGACTTGACTGAGACAAAGACATGACACATAGACTGAGACAAAGACATGACACATTGACTTGACTAAGACATGACACATAGACTGAGACAAAGACATGCCACACTGACTTGACTAAGACATGACACATTGACTAGTAATAAAAACTAGACAAGGGCAGAATTACTGATAGCTATTAATAAACCTGGGACAGCTGTCATTGTTGAGGTCATGAAGTGCTCCTACAAAATATTTACCTTCTTGGATTTGGCAATTTTGGCCAACCTCTGAATGAAGGATGTGCGTTTGTTGGGAGAGCGTGGAGATTTTGGCTGTTTGATGTCTCGAGTCAGGCTCTTTCGTTTAGCTTTCACAGGCAGTGGTATGGCTGGGTGAAGGAAATGTTAGCAATTACATTTCTGGTCTGATACATAATGGTCCATCAAGTGACAGTGATGGTCCATCAAGTGACAGTGATGGTACATCAAGTGACAGAGATGGTCCATCAAGTGACAGTGATGGTCCATCAAGTGACAGTGATGGTCCATCAAGTGACAGTGATGGTCCATCAAGTGACAGTGATGGTCCATCAAGTGACTTACATGATGGTCCATCAAGTGACAGTGATGGTCCATCAAGTGGCAGTGATGGTCCATCAAGTGACAGTGATGGTCCATCAAGTGACAGTGATGGTCCATCAAGTGACAGAAATGGTCCATCAAGTGACAGTGATGGTCCATCAAGTGACAGTGATGGTCCATCAAGTGACAGAGATGGTCCATCAAGTGACAGTGATGGTCCATCAAGTGACTTACTGATGGTCCATCAAGTGACAGTGATGGTCCATCAAGTGACAGTGATGGTCCATCAAGTGACAGTGATGGTCCATCAAGTGACAGAAATGGTCCATCAAGTGACAGTGATGGTCCATCAAGTGACAGTGATGGTCCATCAAGTGGCAGTGATGGTCCATCAAGTGACAGTGATGGTCCATCAAGTGACAGAAATGGTCCATCAAGTGACAGTGATGGTCCATCAAGTGACAGTGATGGTCCATCAAGTGACAGTGATGGTCCATCAAGTGACAGTGATGGTCCATCAAGTGACAGAAATGGTCCATCAAGTGACAGTGATGGTCCATCAAGTGACAGTGATGGTCCATCAAGTGGCAGTGATGGTCCATCAAGTGACAGTGATGGTCCATCAAGTGACAGAAATGGTCCATCAAGTGACAGTGATGGTCCATCAAGTGACAGTGATGGTCCATCAAGTGACAGTGATGGTCCATCAAGTGACTTACATGATGGTCCATCAAGTGACAGTGATGGTCCATCAAGTGACAGTGATGGTCCATCAAGTGACTTACATGATGGTCCATCAAGTGACAGTGATGGTCCATCAAGTGACAGTGATGGCCCATCAAGTGACAGTGATGGTCCATCAAGTGACAGAGATGGTCCATCAAGTGACAGTGATTGTCCATCAAGTGACAGTGATGGTCCATCAAGTGACAGTGATGGTCCATCAAGTGACAGTGATGGTCCATCAAGTGACTTACATGATGGTCCATCAAGTGACAGTGATGGTCCATCAAGTGACAGTGATGGTCCATAAGTGACAGTGATGGTCCATCAAGTGACAGTCATGGTCCATCAAGTGACAGAAATGGTCCATCAAGTGGCAGTGATGGTCCATCAAGTGACAGTGATGGTCCATCAAGTGACAGTGATGGTCCATCAAGTGACAGTGATGGTCCATCAAGTGACAGTGATGGTCCATCAAGTGACAGTGATGGTCCATCAAGTGGCAGTGATGGTCCATCAAGTGGCAGTGATGGTCCATCAAGTGACAGTGATGGTCCATCAAGTGACTTACTGATGGTCCATCAAGTGGCAGTGATGGTCCATCAAGTGACAGTGATGGTCCATCAAGTGACTTACTGATGGTCCATCAAGTGACAGTGATGGCCCATCAAGTGACAGAGATGGTCCATCAAGTGACAGTGATGGTCCATCAAGTGACAGTGATGGTCCATCAAGTGACAGAGATGGTCCATCAAGTGACAGTGATGGTCCATCAAGTGACAGTGATGGTCCATCAAGTGGCAGTGATGGTCCATCAAGTGACAGTGATGGTCCATCAAGTGACTTACTGATGGTCCATCAAGTGACAGTGATGGTCCATCAAGTGACAGAGATGGTCCATCAAGTGACAGTGATGGCCCATCAAGTGACAGAGATGGTCCATCAAGTGACAGTGATGGTCCATCAAGTGACAGTGATGGTCCATCAAGTGACAGTGATGGTCCATCAAGTGGCAGTGATGGTCCATCAAGTGACAGTGATGGTCCATCAAGTGACAGTGATGGTCCATCAAGTGGCAGTGATGGTCCATCAAGTGACAGTGATGGTCCATCAAGTGACTTACTGATGGTCCATCAAGTGGCAGTGATGGTCCATCAAGTGACAGTGATGGTCCATCAAGTGACAGTGATGGCCCATCAAGTGACAGAGATGGTCCATCAAGTGACAGTGATGGTCCATCAAGTGGCAGTGATGGTCCATCAAGTGACAGTGATGGTCCATCAAGTGACTTACTGATGGTCCATCAAGTGGCAGTGATGGTCCATCAAGTGACAGTGATGGTCCATCAAGTGACTTACTGATGGTCCATCAAGTGACAGTGATGGTCCATCAAGTGACAGTGATGGTCCATCAAGTGGCAGTGATGGTCCATCAAGTGACAGTGATGGTCCATCAAGTGACAGTGATGGTCCATCAAGTGACAGAGATGGTCCATCAAGTGACAGTGATGGTCCATCAAGTGACAGTGATGGTCCATCAAGTGGCAGTGATGGTCCATCAAGTGACAGAGATGGTCCATCAAGTGACAGTGATGGTCCATCAAGTGACTTACATGATGGTCCATCAAGTGACAGTGATGGTCCATCAAGTGGCAGTGATGGTCCATCAAGTGACTTACATGATGGTCCATCAAGTGACAGTGATGGTCCATCAAGTGGCAGTGATGGTCTATCAAGTGACAGAGATGGTCCATCGAGTGACAGTGATGGTCCATCAAGTGACAGTGATGGTCCATCAAGTGACAGTGATGGTCCATCAAGTGGCAGTGATGGTCCATCAAGTGACAGTGATGGTCTATTAAGTGACAGTGATGGTCCATCAAGTGACTTACATGATGGTCCATCAAGTGACAGTGATGGTCCATCAAGTGGCAGTGATGGTCCATCAAGTGACTTACATGATGGTCCATCAAGTGACAGTGATGGTCCATCAAGTGGCAGTGATGGTCTATCAAGTGACAGAGATGGTCCATCGAGTGACAGTGATGGTCCATCAAGTGACAGTGATGGTCCATCAAGTGACAGTGATGGTCCATCAAGTGACAGTGATGGTCCATCAAGTGACAGTGATGGTCCATCAAGTGACAGTGATGGTCCATCAAGTGACAGTGATGGTCCTTAAGTGACTTACTGATGGTCCATCAAGTGGCAGTGATGGTCCATCAAGTGACAGTGATGGTCCATCAAGTGACAGAGATGGTCCATCAAGTGACAGTGATGGTCCATCAAGTGACTTACATGATGGTCCATCTAGTGACAGTGATGGTCCATCAAGTGACAGTGATGGTCCATCAAGTGACAGAAATGGTCCATCAAGTGGCAGTGATGGTCCATCGAGTGACTTAGTACTTACATGATGGCAAAGGCTCGTGTTTGAAGAGCTCATAAAACTGAGACAAATAGGCGACCATGGTCAGCTTGTCTGGCACCTCATACTTGGCCATGTCTTCACCTGTCAACACAGGGGGAATCCCCAGCTCTTTCTCTGCCACATTAAATGCCTGGGGTGACAACACAAACAGCATTCAATGGCCTGGTCATATTTAACCAATAGATTGGCACCAAGATGTTTCAACTTATGCTACAATTGAAGGGGGTTTTGTGTAACACTTACCAGCTGGTTATTTGAAACAACATCACACTCCATCAACAAGGTGTTTTTTCTGGAGAATATAAATTGTAGTCACTTCAACAATTGCTCATTATCACAGGTGGGGTGAATTAAATTATGTGGGAACACAGTGGTAGTCTGGTCTAAAGGAATGGATGAGGGCACACAGTGCTAGCCCACTATGTACTTACATCATGTCTGGTCTAAAGGAATGGATGAGGGCACACAGTGCTAGCCCACTATGTACTTACATCATGTCTGGTCTAAAGGAATGGATGAGGGCACACAGTGCTAGCCCACTATGTACTTACATCATGTCTGGTCTAAAGGAATGGATGAGGGCACACAGTGCTAGCCCACTATGTACTTACATCATGTCTGGTCTAAAGGAATGGATGAGGGCACACAGTGCTAGCCCACTATGTACTTACATCATGTCTGGTCTAAAGGAATGGATGAGGGCACACAGTGCTAGCCCACTATGTACTTACATCATGTCTAAAGGAATGGATGAGGGCACACAGTGCTAGCCCACTATGTACTTACATCATGTCTGGTCTAAAGGAATGGATGAGGGCACACAGTGCTAGCCCACTATGTACTTACATCATGTCTGGTCTAAAGGAATGGATGAGGGCACACAGTGCTAGCCCACTATGTACTTACATCATGTCTAAAGGAATGGATGAGGGCACACAGTGCTAGCCCACTATGTACTTACATCATGTCTAAAGAAATGGATGAGGGCACACAGTGCTAGCCCACTATGTACTTACATCATGTCTGGTCTAAAGAAATGGATGAGGGCACACAGTGCTAGCCCACTATGTACTTACATCATGTCTGGTCTAAAGAAATGGATGAGGGCACACAGTGCTAGCCCACTATGTACTTACATCATGTCTGGTCTAAAGGAATGGATGAGGGCACACAGTGCTAGCCCACTATGTACTTACATCATGTCTGGTCTAAAGGAATGGATGAGGGCACACAGTGCTAGCCCACTATGTACTTACATCATGTCTGGTCTAAAGGAATGGATGAGGGCACACAGTGCTAGCCCACTATGTACTTACATCATGTCTGGTCTAAAGAAATGGATGAGGGCACACAGTGCTAGCCCACTATGTACTTACATCATGTCTGGTCTAAAGAAATGGATGAGGGCACACAGTGCTAGCCCACTATGTACTTACATCATGTCTGGTCTAAAGGAATGGATGAGGGCACACAGTGCTAGCCCACTATGTACTTACATCATGTCTAAAGGAATGGATGAGGGCACACAGTGCTAGCCCACTATGTACTTACATCATGTCTAAAGGAATGGATGAGGGCACACAGTGCTAGCCCACTATGTACTTACATCATGTCTGGTCTAAAGGAATGGATGAGGGCACACAGTGCTAGCCCACTATGTACTTACATCATGTCTAAAGAAATGGATGAGGGCACACAGTGCTAGCCCACTATGTACTTACATCATGTCTGGTCTAAAGAAATGGATGAGGGCACACAGTGCTAGCCCACTATGTACTTACATCATGTCTAAAGGAATGGATGAGGGCACACAGTGCTAGCCCACTATGTACTTACATCATGTCTGGTCTAAAGGAATGGATGAGGGCACACAGTGCTAGCCCACTATGTACTTACATCATGTCTGGTCTAAAGGAATGGATGAGGGCACACAGTGCTAGCCCACTATGTACTTACATCATGTCTAAAGAAATGGATGAGGGCACACAGTGCTAGCCCACTATGTACTTACATCATGTCTGGTCTAAAGGAATGGATGAGGGCACACAGTGCTAGCCCACTATGTACTTACATCATGTCTGGTCTAAAGAAATGGATGAGGGCACACAGTGCTAGCCCACTATGTACTTACATCATGTCTGGTCTAAAGGAATGGATGAGGGCACACAGTGCTAGCCCACTATGTACTTACATCATGTCTAAAGAAATGGATGAGGGCACACAGTGCTAGCCCACTATGTACTTACATCATGTCTGGTCTAAAGAAATGGATGAGGGCACACAGTGCTAGCCCACTATGTACTTACATCATGTCTGGTCTAAAGGAATGGATGAGGGCACACAGTGCTAGCCCACTATGTACTTACATCATGTCTGGTCTAAAGGAATGGATGAGGGCACACAGTGCTAGCCCACTATGTACTTACATCATGTCTGGTCTAAAGGAATGGATGAGGGCACACAGTGCTAGCCCACTATGTACTTACATCATGTCTGGTCTAAAGGAATGGATGAGGGCACACAGTGCTAGCCCACTATGTACTTACATCATGTCTGGTCTAAAGAAATGGATGAGGGCACACAGTGCTAGCCCACTATGTACTTACATCATGTCTGGTCTAAAGGAATGGATGAGGGCACACAGTGCTAGCCCACTATGTACTTACATCATGTCTAAAGAAATGGATGAGGGCACACAGTGCTAGCCCACTATGTACTTACATCATGTCTGGTCTAAAGAAATGGATGAGGGCACACAGTGCTAGCCCACTATGTACTTACATCATGTCTGGTCTAAAGAAATGGATGAGGGCACACAGTGCTAGCCCACTATGTACTTACATCATGTCTGGTCTAAAGGAATGGATGAGGGCACACAGTGCTAGCCCACTATGTACTTACATCATGTCTGGTCTAAAGGAATGGATGAGGGCACACAGTGCTAGCCCACTATGTACTTACATCATGTCTGGTCTAAAGGAATGGATGAGGGCACACAGTGCTAGCCCACTATGTACTTACATCATGTCTGGTCTAAAGGAATGGATGAGGGCACACAGTGCTAGCCCACTATGTACTTACATCATGTCTAAAGGAATGGATGAGGGCACACAGTGCTAGCCCACTATGTACTTACATCATGTCTGGTCTAAAGGAATGGATGAGGGCACACAGTGCTAGCCCACTATGTACTTACATCATGTCTAAAGAAATGGATGAGGGCACACAGTGCTAGCCCACTATGTACTTACATCATGTCTAAAGGAATGGATGAGGGCACACAGTGCTAGCCCACTATGTACTTACATCATGTCTGGTCTAAAGGAATGGATGAGGGCACACAGTGCTAGCCCACTATGTACTTACATCATGTCTGGTCTAAAGGAATGGATGAGGGCACACAGTGCTAGCCCACTATGTACTTACATCATGTCTAAAGAAATGGATGAGGGCACACAGTGCTAGCCCACTATGTACTTACATTATGTCTGGTCTAAAGGAATGGATGAGGGCACACAGTGCTAGCCCACTATGTACTTACATCATGTCTGGTCTAAAGGAATGGATGAGGGCACACAGTGCTAGCCCACTATGTACTTACATCATGTCTGGTCTAAAGGAATGGATGAGGGCACACAGTGCTAGCCCACTATGTACTTACATCATGTCTAAAGGAATGGATAAGGGCACAAAGTGCTAGCCCACTATGTACTTACATCATGTCTGGTCTAAAGGAATGGATGAGGGCACACAGTGCTAGCCCACTATGTACTTACATCATGTCTGGTCTAAAGAAATGGATGAGGGCACACAGTGCTAGCCCACTATGTACTTACATCATGTCTGGTCTAAAGGAATGGATGAGGGCACACAGTGCTAGCCCACTATGTACTTACATCATGTCTAAAGAAATGGATGAGGGCACACAGTGCTAGCCCACTATGTACTTACATCATGTCTGGTCTAAAGAAATGGATGAGGGCACACAGTGCTAGCCCACTATGTACTTACATCATGTCTGGTCTAAAGAAATGGATGAGGGCACACAGTGCTAGCCCACTATGTACTTACATCATGTCTGGTCTAAAGGAATGGATGAGGGCACACAGTGCTAGCCCACTATGTACTTACATCATGTCTGGTCTAAAGGAATGGATGAGGGCACACAGTGCTAGCCCACTATGTACTTACATCATGTCTGGTCTAAAGGAATGGATGAGGGCACACAGTGCTAGCCCACTATGTACTTACATCATGTCTGGTCTAAAGGAATGGATGAGGGCACACAGTGCTAGCCCACTATGTACTTACATCATGTCTAAAGGAATGGATGAGGGCACACAGTGCTAGCCCACTATGTACTTACATCATGTCTGGTCTAAAGGAATGGATGAGGGCACACAGTGCTAGCCCACTATGTACTTACATCATGTCTAAAGAAATGGATGAGGGCACACAGTGCTAGCCCACTATGTACTTACATCATGTCTAAAGGAATGGATGAGGGCACACAGTGCTAGCCCACTATGTACTTACATCATGTCTGGTCTAAAGGAATGGATGAGGGCACACAGTGCTAGCCCACTATGTACTTACATCATGTCTGGTCTAAAGGAATGGATGAGGGCACACAGTGCTAGCCCACTATGTACTTACATCATGTCTAAAGAAATGGATGAGGGCACACAGTGCTAGCCCACTATGTACTTACATTATGTCTGGTCTAAAGGAATGGATGAGGGCACACAGTGCTAGCCCACTATGTACTTACATCATGTCTGGTCTAAAGGAATGGATGAGGGCACACAGTGCTAGCCCACTATGTACTTACATCATGTCTGGTCTAAAGGAATGGATGAGGGCACACAGTGCTAGCCCACTATGTACTTACATCATGTCTAAAGGAATGGATAAGGGCACAAAGTGCTAGCCCACTATGTACTTACATCATGTCTGGTCTAAAGGAATGGATGAGGGCACACAGTGCTAGCCCACTATGTACTTACATCATGTCTGGTCTAAAGGAATGGATGAGGGCACACAGTGCTAGCCCACTATGTACTTACATCATGTCTGGTCTAAAGAAATGGATGAGGGCACACAGTGCTAGCTCACTATGTACTTACATCATGTCTGGTCTAAAGAAATGGATGAGGGCACACAGTGCTAGCCCACTATGTACTTACATCATGTCTGGTCTAAAGGAATGGATGAGGGCACACAGTGCTAGCCCACTATGTACTTACATCATGTCTGGTCTAAAGAAATGGATGAGGGCACACAGTGCTAGCC